TGTGAGTATTTACAATGAATTCACATTGAAAGCAGTCAAACTCAAAATGAAATAATTCAGAATGTCTCGATTTTGATCATTCTAATCGCTTTCAATCGTGATCGCTTTTACACTTAATAATATATGTTAATATCATTCGTTTTATTACAGTTACTCTGTGCTTCTAGAGACTGGAATCAACATTCAGCGAATTACGCTAATGAGAGATTATACGATTAAATCCATTCTCTCGCATTTTGGCTTAAAAACCAGAAGGAAAACAGACGATTTCGATCTTTATTCATTGTCTGCATCACCACTCAAAGTTTCCAATTTTAAAGGCTTATTTATACTTCAATTTTTCATTGCAGTCATTGCTGCCTTTATTGAATTTGGTTCCCAAATTTATCATCGATGTGATAGATTAAATTTAAAATTCGTAGCAACTGAAATCTGATATTCATTACATAAAACTTTTAGATCGCAAAAAAGCTTGGATATTGGCTTGGAAGCTTATCGTCGGTTCTCTTGATTTCGACCATTTGACTTAAAACTTTGAACAACGAATCTCGAGAACGATATAACTTACAATCACCATTCTTTTACCAGTTTTGGCACAATATGATTGATTAATAAGGAGATCTGTCCATATCCAAGGTACCAACAAATATCTTGTAACACACCACAAGTCAGATGAAGTCAAGTGAAGATGAATAACCATTAACCTTTAATGAAGCGCCAATCTAATCTCATAAGTAATGATGTACGCTTTCTGATCTCCGATGATCGCATACTTTTATTACAGTCCATTTTATAACATATCTCGATGTTTTTAATATGGAAAATAGTAAAGTCGCTTCATTGCATACAAATGTAATGGAAAATTTAATTTATCATTATTTCGTCTTCATTGATAATTTAAAATTGGTTAGTGAAAGGCAAAAATTCATTGATCTACGAAATCGACTCGTTAAATTGAAACATCTTTTATGTGACAACATTAGTATTTTTCATTTATTATTTTATAGCACAATATTGAATGTCTGAATCGAGGGACGATCCTTTTCATCTGTTTTTTAAATGTTATAATGATGAAGATTAAATTTGAATAATTTATTTAGATGCTAATTATATAAATTTAGTTTATTTTTAATATTTTCATCTTAAAAATAGTAATTTGTTTTGTTTCACCAGACAGTGTAAATGAAATAAAAGTAATTGCATGGCTATTGGAATATGATATTGATTTCGTTAGAAAAGAAGAGCAAACTGTCCAAATTTTCCTCGCGCCATTGAATAGTTATTAGTGGGCCGATCCTCAAATACGACAATCTCGATAAATGACAATATTTATGTGGCCAAATCAGTATTTTTTCACTTAATTTTATTATTTTCGATCAAAATACTAAAAGCCTGAATTAATGGCCAGTCCTTTTCATCTGTTAAATGTTATATTTGGGACTTTTGGTCAAAAAGTATTACTTTGTTTTGTTTCATCAAACAGTGTAAATGAAATAAAGAGTTGAGTTTTAGTGTTGAATATTCATTGTCCTTAAACGTATTCCTTAGAAACACTTTATCTAAATAATTTCTTGCCAATTTTAGTCAACATTTACCAAAATTCATACATGCATATGTCAATGTGTGCTTGAATTATTGCTACTGAAATACGAGTAAATACGAAATAATCTCAAGTTTTTTTATTGGTAATCAAAGAGGGGAATATTATGAATTCAACTGAACATTTAAAGTCTGTCATCTTCAATATAACAATCGCCTTTTATCAAGTAAGTTCAAAATAACATCTCGAGTTGAGATTTTTCAAGTTCGTGTTTTATTTGAAATGCATTAGTTTACATTGAATACGCTCTATGAAGAGGTTGACGGTGAAATTAGATTTACTGCTAAGGCATTAAAAGATCTGCCAGAGATGTACTCACGTTATACAAAGTCAAGGTATGTTGAATGCTCCTGATTAAAGTGATTTGACTCAATCGCTTGATCATTCTATGGATTAATCAAATTCATAATGAAACAGAATAAAACTGAAGGTGGTCGAGGAAGGCCAGTGGGGTGTTTGGAAGGAAGGAGTTGGTTACACCGATGGTATGCTTGGTGCTCTCCAAAACAATGTGAGTGCCAATTTGATTCATTGATTTTCTCTGGCTATATTTTAACTATAAATTTTATTGCTAGGAAGCTAACAAGCCATTCTTCCCTGTGCCGTTAGACACAAAGGATCCACCGGGTGTCTTCACTGCTGCGATTGAGGAAAATACTTATCACTTGATCAGCATAACTCAGAAGAGTATTCCTCATTCTTCGTTCAGTTTACTCATCAATTTAATTTCGATTGAATTGTTCTGTTGGCTGTTATATTTTACTTTACTTTTCACGATCTTTTCCATTTCCAATTTTGTTCTTTTACCTAAACTGATTCATTTGAAATGCAGATTATACGGCGTCTTATTTAAAGCTGTTCAGGCCATTCTTACAGGACACATATTTGGTTCATCGAAAACATTCTTTTTATTGACTTTTGCTTGTCTATTAACAGCTCTATTTGGTGCCATCATCAATGCATCTTTTAACACCAGTGCTATTGTTAGATCAACCAAGGAACAAGTGAAAAGCTTATCGGATATCATAAAGATGAATAAAAATCCATGGTTTTTTGATGGACTCTCCCAATATGAACTTTTCGAGGCTGGAGTTACACCTGAGTTTAAACAAGTATATAAACATGCAGAGAAAAAAGGCTTAGCAACGGCAAAACCACTCGTTGAAAGTACAACGAGTTTATTGAGTCGTGATTGGTGCTTAAACGCGGTGGCTTTAACGACATTACGAGCAACTGAATTCATTAAAATCTACTTTGAATATCTTTGTTCCAGTGAATTAGGATCACCTCAAAATGTTTTTATCTCGAACCCTTACCACAAAGCACTTAGGGTAAGTTTATTCAATCCATGCACTGATGGCCTCATAGCTGAAGAGATGATAAGACGGGATGAAGCTTTGTGAGTATCCAAATAATGCAGATTGAAAGCGATCAAACTTAAAATGAAATAATCCAACGTCAACCTCAAAAAAGTACAAGAAATATTAGGTTCACCAGAGAGTTTTGCACAAACAGTCTATAACTGTAACTCTTAAAGCAATGCTTTATAAAAATCAAAACGCTTTTTTGCGTCAAAGGCGGAACTAGTAGTTTAAATCAAATTAGATGAGAATAATTAATTACTTCAAAAGCAATTTGCGTGCAATACTTTTGGCATACAGTATTGCGTTATTCAGTAACCTTGTAATCATTTTGATCGCTCTCAACCGCAATCACTTTTACGCTTTCTAATAATAATGTAATATCATTCGTTTTATTACAGTTACTCTGTGCTTCTAGAAGCTGGAATCAACTTTCATGGACTCGAAATATTGAAAAAATTTGTGATTAAAAGTACTAGCACGCTTTCGAGCCTAAAAACTGGCAGTCCAACAGACGATTCCGATCTTTATTCGTTGTCGGCATCACCACTCAAATTTTCCAATTTTAAAGATTTGCTTTTACTTCAATTTTTCACTGCAGTCATTGCTGCATTCATTGAATTTGGTTCCCAAATTTATCATCGCTGTGATAGATTAAATTTAAAATTCGTAGCAACTGAAATCTGATATTCATTACATAAAACTTTTAGATCGCAAAAAAGCTTGGATATTGGTGTAGAGTCAGACGTAGATGCAGAAAAAGGTGTTTGGAATCAGCTCATTTCTACTCGAGACTACCTGATTCAATGCGAACTGAATGTTATAAATTCTTTTGCAATAAATAATTGCAAGTCCTTCGAAGGCATTATGTTGGTAATAGACAGCGAGACTCAGAAACAAGGAAAGTTTCAGTTTTTAACAGATACCAGGATTTCGTCGCAATCTTTCATGTAATATTTTTTCAACTATCGTTTAGAATTAGTAAATTTTTTTGTCAAAAGTAATCTGAAATTAAAGTAATTAGTTTACTTTACATAAAATTGATTTTTTTCATTATAAGCTTCCTTTTGCTCAAACAAATTCACCGAATAGCCCTAAGACAATGTTCACAAATCTATCTTGAATATTACTGCTCCAGTGGTTTAGGACCACCATAAAGTGTTTTTATCTCAGATCCTTATCATAATTTTGATCCCTTTCAATCGTGATCACTTTCACGCTTTATAATAGATGTTATTATCATTCGTTTTATTACAGTTACTCTGTGCTTCTAGAAACTGGATGAAAATTTGAAAATGAAATATTGCAAGAAATTGTGATCGAAACTGCTATCGCTTTCGGGCTTGAAAACCAGAAGTCAAACAGAAGATTCCGATCTTTATTCATTGTCTGCATCATCCCTCAAAATTTCAAATTTCAAAGATTTATTTATACTACAATTTTTCGCTGCAATCACAGCGTTGTTTATTGAATCTGGTTCACAAATTTACCCACGCTATGTAAAATTGAACTTGAATTGAATCAGAGCCTTTGTCTATTCATTTCATTAATATTACGTTGTTGAGTTTCGCGATCAAATCCCTAGAACTACATATTGAAATCCAAGACTAAAAAGTAATAAGTTTGACCCTGATTAGTGTCTATTTAATTAGTTATCGAACCAACTAAAAATCATAGATATGTTGGTTTGTGAAATCGAGTCGTAACCGATGAAATCTGATCTATTCTTTTAGATGGCAAAAAATCTTGGAAATCTATGAAAGTTAATTTGAACTGCATTTTTATTATTAGATGTCGAGGCCAAGAGTTTCATCAAATTCATTACTTTTTATCGTCAAAAATTTACTTCATCGTCATTAATAAATATGATTTATTCATCTTCAGGTTTCTTGGTTAGATTGTTGAGATTACAATTGCTTCGGAGTTCATGACATGAATATCACATTACATATGAGTTAAATGCTCAGCTTTTGGTGTTTGACGTGAAACCAATAATTTCAGGTTTAATCAGACCTGTTATTTGACTAAACGGATACAAGTAACATTTTTAATTCTAATTTATTGATTTCTTCTCATCTTTAACCTTGTTACATTGAAATAAAATCGCTCTTGCACATTGGAATCTTTCTGGCTTTGATTCAGCTATTAGATGGGAAATTAAACGATATAATAACGGTTCAAGAATTTATTACAAGATATCTTAAAATGGTCAATCTACACCACATATAGACAAGATTTTATTTCTTCAATATAATCATGTCAAACAAAATTTTACGTGAAAGCCTTGTCTACGACATATAACTGTGGATTTGGGATTTCAACACCTTTGAACCAATATCCACATTCGCATCTTTTACACTCATCTTTGTGAACCCACATATAATTGAAATAAGTTTGATCGGGTTCGCATTGACATCCAATCATTCTTTTATCCGTCAGCATCAAAACCATCATAGGATCCTCCTTTGAACCACCGTTCAAGTAAATTGGATTTTCCAAAAATGGGTCCTGAAAACAATTAAAATAAACAAAGAATAATAACAAATTAAAATAAATTCAAAAACATGTAGCACATAACATGCAAATCAAAAATATACATCAAGTTCGTATTTTTCTGTACTTACAGTGACTCCCATTTCCTCAAGCATCAATTCCATTTTTGTATTACCAATGGCAGCTTCAATGGGGTCAGGTAAACCAACAGGTCCTGAAATAAATAAAACAATAAATGAATGAAATAAATTCTAAAAAAACAATCAATTGCAGATATTTACTATAAATTTACTCACTTTTATCAAACAAAAATCCAAGTACTGGCAGCTTGGACAGTTCCAGTCCTCTACGACTTTGGATCATTGGAGCAACGCGATTGGCAAGGATCGCACCACGTCGTAATAAACTCATTTTCAAATTTAATTGATTCAAATAATCAATTAACACAAAATAAATTAAGATAAACTAAATTTGTTTTCAGTCAATTTGACCTTCCTGCTGAATGTTTATCGGTAGGGGGCATTGCTTAATATCAGTAAGCATTTCTGAATGAAATAGCAGCTGTAAATGACTGCCATCTACCATTAGCTAAATTAAAATATTGGATCAAACTCAAATTTACATTATTAGATGGTGCTGTAAAATTATAAACAAAACTAGAAGGTTAAATTGTGTTTTCACTTTATTTCAATTTTAATTTCTTAATTAATTTGTGTAATTTATAATCACAATGTGGTGGGCAGTGAATATCTTTCTTGCATCTACACCTTTGATGTACCACTATTCTTGGAAATATTTAGCGAGTGAGGAAACAATGCGATTCCACTTCTACGAAAGGCTTATGATGAATGCTCCATCTTTTAAAGGGTATTTATTATTATATTATTTGATTTATTCAATCATTTAATTACTTCTTGATCTTTTACAGTACGATGTTGGATCCAAATAAACCCGCAGATGAAGACGAGTGGGGTAATAAGATCAAAGTTCAACAGTAGGAATCTGTATTGGGTACCAGGTTTTCAATTACCATCCCCATAGTGTAAAATTAAATTTTCAAGATGTCTATATAAGCTGTTTTGGTTTTTGTTTTCCTTACATCACCAACCAGGACTGATTTAATTAGATGACATTTGGAATTATTATTAAAATGATTTAAGAAAATTTAATCTTGAAATGATTCTCATTAACTTCTCTTTAACTCATATTTTCCTCTTTCAGTTTCATGTCTTCTTTTTCATTAACATTATCACAAGACCTATGATTCGGGAAATTTGTTTTGGCTAAAAGTTTATAGTAAAAGAAATCATCAATTTTAGTTGAAGCAAACTGGTAAATATTTAATGCAATAACCGAGATATTCAAATTATTTTTGGCAAAAGGATTTATTAATTCTAATACGTGAAAGAATATTACATCAAAGTGAAATCAGATGAAGATGGTCATGGTTTTATCTTTTACCCAAAAAATGCAATGTCAAAAAGATTTGGTACCCAGTCTATCAAAGATACTTTTCTTGAGAGAAATTTTTGTTCTTGATTGCTGAGGTGATGATTGTTTAGGTTTTATGCTTAAATTGGTGATTTTACGATTAGAATTACTTCCTCTGGACACAAGATTAACTCCTAGACGATCTTTGACACTGGTAGGTTGAGAATATTTAGCCACTGCAGGAGTTTTTTCTTTTAAACCTGTAATGGTCCTTGTTACTTTTGGTTCTCGTACAGAGACTTTTAATTTATTTAATGTAGGCTCGTTATCACCTAACCTATTAAAAACTGAAACTTTCCTTGTTACTGAGTCTTGATGTGTATTACCTAATCTCATTGAAGTGCTTGATCCAGTTTTGATAGAGTTAAAAGTAACTTTGGTTTCAATCGGATTATTCGATGATGTTCTTGTATTTGTATTTGTTGTTCTGCTACTATTTGCCACTGAATTAATTACTCTTCTGACTTTCATTGGTCCTATAGAATCATCGTCAACAGCAGTTCGTTTAGCTATTTTAATGGTTGAACCAGATGTGGATGAAGAAACACTTGGACCTGAGATTGGCTCCTTGCTAATCGAGGCTACCTGCATTTTGGGTTTACTCGTGCTCACGGCCAAGTTAGATTTGCCCAACAATTGAAGTTGAATTTTCTCTTCGTTAACTTCTTTAGCATGCTTTAAGATGGCAATAACGTCACCCATTGTCTTAATTCCCATGTCATAGAGCATATCTTTAGTCAAATCTCCAAGCATGTTTTCTTGAATGCGATGATCAGTGAAAGTTACAGCATATCTGGTAGCTACAGATTGAGGAAGATTGGCATCTAAAAAAAAGCTCATCCAATAGTTTGAGTTTCCTGAGCAATCAATATAAAGAAAATAATTATTAATAATCAACTCGAATAAAAATAATAAGAAATAATTTGAACTCTAAAGATAAATAAGAAATGGTCAAAATACAAACTTACTAGAACCCATTGTGAAATTTCCTGTTTCAAGAACTTGATTGCGAACGGAAGAGCAGTAAAAAAATCTGATAATCACACCATTAAGTTGCTTTAAGCAATCAATGAATAAAATTAAATTTATAAGAAATAATTGACAATCAGTTGTTTAGATTAGTAAAATTCACAAAATAAACAATACAAAATTACCTTTCAAACAAAACAAAACCATTGGGAAATTGTCATTGGTTCGCGTAGAAACGCCATCTATTATTGCAAGATGCTATCTAGATTTCCAGAGGAAGATTTAAAAATGAATTGACACAATTTTAAGAGTTAATTAAGATTTGATTTAATATTTCTTTTTTATTATTTTGGTATTCAATCTTTGAGGAAAAATCTTTTAATAAATTGTTGAACCGTTATTATATCGTTTAATTTCCCATCTAATAGTTGAATCAAAGCCAGAAAGTCAGAAAGCCAGAAAGATTCCAATTTGCAAGAGCAAATTTATTTCAATGTAACAAGGTTAAAGATGAGAAGAAATCAATAAATTAGAATTAAAAATGTTACTTGTATCCGTTTAGTCAAATAACAGGTCTGATTAAACCTGAAATTATTGGTTTCACGTCAAACACCAAAAGTTGAGCATTTAACTCATATGTAATGTGATATTCATGTCATGAACTCCGAAGCAATTGTAATCTCAACAATCTAACCAAGAAACCTGAAGATGAATAAATCATATTTATTAATGACGATAGAGTAAAATTTTTGAGGATAAAAAAAGTAATCAAGCTGATTGGACCCTTTTAGTTAAAGAGATAAACTGACTTTAAATGTATTAAAAACGCGACTAGCTGCAATTAAAGCATTGGTTTAAATAAACATCAAAAGAGATGAGGCAAAAATCAATTTAATCAATAGAAGTTTGAATGATTGAATGTTTACTTGTATCACACTTAATTAACCTAAATAGCAGAAATTTTAGTTAAAAATTCTGGTCAATAAATGAAAACAAATTTCGTCGCTTTGGCAAATGATAGACAATTAAAATACAATGAAATCAATATTGTGACAGGAAAAAAACTGGTGTAACCAAAAGTAATTGATACCAGTTACCAAATAAAACAGCTTTGAATTGTTATCATCATGCAAAAGTTATTCAAATCAATCTTGCATTAGTTTTTACATACATATGAAAAGTTGTTTACAATGTACTGAATATTGGTGATGCGTTACGATTAATCATGTCTGATCTTTTTCCTCTTCTTCAACATGAAATATTTTTTTTGAATTTGATTTTATTTAAAGCTTATTCAGTAATAGTGGTGGTAATAATAATGATAATATGTCAAAAGTTGCTAATCTCGGATAAGATCTTGGTACATTAAGACTTTATGATTTGATTTATTATTACATGATTTTGGCCAAAGAAGAAGAAATGAAGATTGGTTGTTCACATCAATGGTCAATAATAGACCGGGAACAATTGTCATTAATTAAAGTTTATATATAATAAGTTATCTCGTCATCACTTTTTGTCCACCATGGAGTCTTTCTTTGTATCCTGAACAGAATTTTGATAATTAGCTGACTGTTTGTCGAGGTATTTAATGGATTCCGTCAAAAAATTTTGAACTGCGGTGAGAGCCGCGGCGATTGCTGGACTACCAAAACCATGGGTGATTAGGGAGAATTGTGTTAAACTTCTTTGAATATTGGGTTCCAATAAACTTGGCTGCCTATTATTACACAGTGGTGATCGATCTTGATTCAAAAGGTCCACAAATTCTTTGATAACTTGTTTAGTTCCAAGTATAAGTTCTTTACGGCGATATAAATCAGCTGGATCAGAATGATTGCGATGAAGGTATTCGGCAACTTGACGTGATGGGAATTCAGTTTCACACACATAACCAAAATCTCGTGCTAAATGAAGAGCTTCTCCTTCCACTAATGAGGTGAGTAGTGTGACATTAGCAGCTTTTCTTCGACCTGCAGGTAAATTTAAACCGATGTTTTCCAATTTTTCTCTTAGAGATCGACCACCATTCTTTGATTTTGCTCGCCTAAGAACACCTCCTAGCAAGGAGGCATTCAAACACTCAGGTGGATTGAGTCTACGTTGAACCTCACCGACCGTTACTTTGTACTTGCTTGTAGAACTTAGTAAGGATAACCGTCCAGGTACGGAACAGAAAACGTCACCTGTAGCGGCTAACCCGGTTATAACCATTTCTTTATTATCACTTGTTCGTTTTGCACCTAAAAAAGAAGAGAGAAGAAAAGAATATGAGAATCAAGAAATAAAAATTAGTCTAAGCCAATGTAGGACTTGAACACAGAGTCGTGATACATACCATTGGTAAAACACTTTCGGATAACACTATTGTGCTCTCCTGGGAACATGTTGTGGCTATCCTGTTCTGCATTGGAACCCTGTAAATACAAAGAAAAGAATGAATGAAATTATATGACTTCTTTAGTATATTTCCTATAGTTGGTCTTTGATAGATTTAGGAAAATAAAAACACTGACGGAGATGCACATTGGAGCAATATTGTATGGTAAAAGATTGAAGCAAACTATAGAAGAAGTGATACCCAAAACATATAGCTTAAAGGGTGTTCATGAAGACATTTGTAAGTTTATTTGATTCGATTGCTATGATAAAGTTGAGATTCAAGATACACAAATGTGATAGGATAAGTGATCGATTACTAGGCTAGACTTTGACACAAAAATAAAGACAATATTTCATCAAATTATCGGATTTACGCCAAAATCTTGATGGACGCTAAATAAGACTCACTTTCTTTCACATATGAACTCTCAGTCCACCCTGTAAACTAAGTCAATGAAGCAAGTTAATGGTTTGGGTGCAGTCAAGCTGAGAAAACCCATAATTGCCTTGTAAGATAATATTAAAGAAAGGTGAAAGACTAAGCAGCTAGTGAAGAGCGTGCATATTAGAGTAAATGAGACAAGGGGCTAAGCAGAGGCTGGAGATAGAATAAATATAAGCATGTGAGATGGTACATAAGATGTGTAGGTAATCTAATTTACCTCGTTAAAATCTGATGAGCTATCATCGTCTTCATAATTATAGTCATTTTCATTGTTTAGTTGGTGGTGACAATGGAGATGTTGATGACACTGGTGACTAGCATTTTCACGATTTTCTGAACAATTAGCACAATCATTCGAATCTGGCTTATTTCTTTTTACCAATTCTAATGGTTTCTCTTGAATTGGCAAGCCTTCAAGAGATAAACCCGTTTTTGTGTTTTGGTTAGTATTTAGCATGTTGATCACAAGGGATACAAGATAACAATATCAGAAAGAAAATATATAAACTTAGATGGCCCACATATAGATTCTTTGAGAACAATATGATTTAAATAAGACTAGGTAACCAATTGTTGACAATTGCGTTGACTGATTTCAGTAAAAAAACAATGTAACTGTCCATATAAACAGTTATGCTCTAAGTTTATTTTTCTTTTCGATAGATGGCAACCCTCAAGTGGAAATTTTGCTTCCAAGTTGAGCAGCTCAACAGATGTGGTTAAAGCGGAAAACTAATAAAGGTCCGGGGTAAAAGACAAACAAGAGCAAATAGGCAAAACACGGAAAAAGGAGGCAAAAACAAAGCAATTTGACTGTGATTATTGTTCATTTTTTTATATTAATTACTAAATTTGAATAGTGAGCGATTTCGTATAAAGCTCAGCAAAGAAACTTCTAAGCTGAAAGAAAATAATTTCAGATTTCAATATCTTCAAATATTTTTGTAAAATCACTCGTGTCAGGCTTAACAACCTGTCCACTTGGTTTGCTCAGTTTTGCTGATTTGTCTTTTACTCCAGACCAAGTAATAAATGTTCGGCTATTTTGGCGTCTAATGAGTGTCATGTTTAATTTTCAAGTGTTCACAATTCACAAATTTATGCATTATGTGCATATAGACTATAAATTAAACTAACTATTCGCTAAAATCAAGACTGCAAAGTATACTTTCATCTATCATAGGGAAACATAAGAGAAACAAAAAATCTCACTGATTTAAAAAATATTTCAATATTAGTCAATTTTTTAAAGACAATATATCAAACTCTCAATGTGCAATTTTCAAAGTTAAAGAGGAAGCTTTCTTCACTTTTACTTGAAGGTGTCTAAACTTTTAGAGGACTCCTAACAAAAATCAGGTGCACAAAGGGGTGAACACTTGAAAATGCACAGGTGAAAAAGGTAACAAAGCATATCTTACCTTAATCACAAAATTTGACGATATTGAATATGATAATGAAGCAACAGAGACAATGAAACCAAAATCAAATCTTTTGCTTCAAAATCTTCATTATCTTAGGCAATGTCACCAAATTTTGTGATTAAGGTAAGATTTGCTTTCTTGTTACCTCCTTCTGTGCCTTTCTAAGTGTCACACCTGTGTTAAGGCCTGTAATTTATTTGTTTGTCTTTTCTCATTGACCAAACTTTTACTCGTAAATGAAAAAATTGTACTTACCAGTCCATCGTCTAAAGGTTGTAAAGTTCCTGAGTTGATGAGTTCCTGGTCATTTAAAACATGATGATGAAGCACATCGGGTCTTCTCACATTGACATATGCTAGCTCTGAATTGCGACGAGCGGCTGCAGCCGAATCACCGTATCCATGATGATGATGATGGTATTGCTGAGGATCATGTCCTAATGAATTAAAATGTGAATATGGTTCACCAACGGAGGCTGCAGCGGCAGCATTCACTCCATGTAAGTCCAATTGTTGATGAGGTAAGTTGTACGGTGGAGGAAAGTATGGAGGTTGAAAATCTGATGATGGAGCATGGCTTAACCGGGGTCCACTACTAAAGGTGGATGTATGTGATATTGAGGCAATGGGTCCCAAACTTCCACCAGAATGGCCTTGGACCAGATCACGGCGGTCCTGTTCAGAATCACAAAGATAGTCGGTTAGATCGCAGTAATCAAAATCGTACATCATTTTAAATTAGAGGATGGATGAGACTAAGTGAGACTAGTTGGGACTAGATGAGACTAGATGTTCACAAAATTGAAGAGTAAACGTCGATGCGACTAGATGTCGTTCACTAGATTGACAGAACCCAAATAATGACCATTTCAAACATCGTCAGCCCTTTTAAAATGTCAAGTTACCAAGTGACATAGCAACCAAAATCATTCTAAGAGGTTTAAATTGTGTTTTCTGACAACGAATGGTTGATCAAACCTGTTTTTATATGCTTCTTAAAAACACTTTGTACTGGTCATGTTGAAACAAAATGTCCAGGTCAAGGGTTAGGCTTAAAATTGGATTAAATTAAGACTTCTTTCAAAACTAGAAGGCGCTTATCCTAAGTCAGTGGAAAAATTTCATCAAAGGTTGAAAATTAAATTTTTTGATGAAAACTAAATACTAATTTTGAAAATTAATATTTGCAAATCATCTCAAAATGTGTTGACAGTTGACTGACCATACAATAGTAGATCAATTCAATTTATGAGAGCAAATATTAAACAGGTTAAGATGATAAATAGATGAAGTGAGCAACTGTGTAACAATTGGATTAACAATTTGATTGGTTAAGTAAACATGAATCTAATAGAGTTGTAAAGTTTTTTGATGAAAATGAATGAAAAAGTTATCCTCATCATTGTCAAAACTCAACTCATAATTGAATAAGATGTTGATTATGATGATAAGTATTTGTAATGAACCATATCAATTGTAAACAAATTGCAGTTTGAAGCTGTTTGAAACAGTGTGAGCGAATCAGCAAAACACCAGAGCAATTGAGACACTTTTTTTTGTCCGTTTCTCAGTTTTTTTCAAAACTCTTTGTATACTGAAAGAAAACTTTGATATCCTCACTTACTCACCATAAATATATCCACAAGTGAAATTAACAAAAAAAGGTATAACAACAAAAATTAACAACAAAACGAAACAACAAAAAACGAGTCAACAATGTGATAATGTTAGGTCCAAGATGTACACGGAGACACAGAAAATATGGCCAAAAGAAATCCTCTGGAAAATGAAACACCAAACATACACATATATAATTTGCTATTTTTTGTCTTTACAACGAGAGAAAAACAAAGTTACTTGTTACAAAAAAGAGGAGAGATGAGACAAGTTTTACTTTGAGAGGTTGTACAAAAAAATGCAAAAAGTACAAGCAGAGGAAAAAAGTTAACCTGTACTTTGCTGCTGTTACTGTTGGAAAAGTGGAAAACAAGAATTATTGAAAAAAAAGTGCCATCTATCGGCAAGGTAAAGGGAAAAGGCTCTCTCTCTTGAGATAGCTTTTTTTAAGCTATGATGAAGAGAGTTCAAGTGTATAGATATTTGTTGTATATATTCATCACTCTTGTTTTATTTTGTGTGGCAACATGAAAACTTGAATCTCTTTCTCTCTTTCTCTATCCTTCAAACCGGGAATCAGGATGATTAAAGATGATACTAAGGTAAGATGTTGAGTTAAGCAAGAAGAAGATGGCTTTAATGACAACAAAACTTTGATACATTGAGAGTCCCATTTGGTATTTAGCTTAAACGTTTCTTTCTGTCTTTTTCAATCTTTCTCCAGTTTTTACCGCTTGTCGCCATTTTGACTCTCTTCTATCTCTCTCTCTCTCCTTTACCAGCCAACAACGAAGACACATAAACAATCAACATTAACATCGATTAGCGGTTAATTATTGGACATTTTTCGTGAATAATTTGATTATAATCACAAATGGTCAACAATTACAGCATTACAAGTATTACAAGCAACTACAACAGTTACAATAACACAAGCATGGGACACAACAATGGTTAAAGCCACCTTGGTTTCATCAACATAATCATCAAACTAATCGTCAACAATCTCATCAACCATCTCACTAACAACAACAATAATTGAACATTAAAAAGCAAAATGGCTTCTACAAATTGTTTTTTTACCAAACATTTCTCTCCATTGTCATAATTTTAAGGAAATGGAGACACAAAAATTTGGACAAACTCACAATAAGACTTTCACTTTCGTCTTTTTTTTCCTTTTCCATCTCAACACACATTAACTGTTTCTTTTGGCCTTAAAATTGTTTGACTTGCCTGTTGATTAACTCTCATTAAGTTCATGATAGGTGCTTAATGGTGATTAAATTCATAAAAAGGTACATACCAATCAAAGTAATAGTGATAAAAGCAAATTATTATATGGTTAAAAGTGGAAGAAAAAGCAAGAAAAATATTTGTCTTTCAATCTGTTTCATGTGCAATCCTTGATCAACCCAATCCATCGTTAACCTGACCATCTTATACATACAATTGTATCATAATCATCAGTTATTATTACACTGTATCCATCAATCTTAACATTATTATTAGTAGTAGCGATAGTAATATAAAGCTTGAATAAAGTATCAGTATTAAATTATATAATTAACTAAATTTGTAATAAATATTTGATACTTAAACGATTTTATTTATCAGTTCAATCTGATCTCTTTTTGCACCAATTTTAAAACCAAAAGAAATAGATTAATGTAATGTGTATTATTTTAAGGTAAAATGCAGTTGAAACAGTAACCTGAATTTAAGAGTGAGATGAAGTTAACTTCTCGAATATCCTTGAATCGCAAGTTGTTTTTTGATCAACATCAACAGAAGCATCATCATCACCATCAGTATCATCATCATCATCATCTTCATCTTCATCTGCATAATCTTTTTCTGTCGATGATTGACCTCAAGTTAACTGCGGAAACAAACATTCCTACATTCATTTGACCCTGATCATCTTTAGGTCGACTTGATCATCATCATTAACAACAAGTTTCTCCTCAAATCACGAGGTTTTCACATTCCTCATCATCATCATCATCATCAAAATATCATCATCAGTTTTATAGTTTTTTTTATATAGAGACTGAATTGCGCCTTCTATCGGTTAAATGGTGCATGAAACGATTAATTGATTTCATTAGCAATTGTTTTTATATAAATCACTTTGTCTTACCATTTGTTGTGATCAATGTTTATCAAACTTAACAATCCTAATGATCACCAAATTAACGTTTTAATCGTCTTCAAGTCGACTTTAAGAATTAACGAATTAAAATTGTTAATCGTCTTTAATAGTTTGTTAAATTGAACACACACAAAAATCATTTCTTTCAGCTTTTATTTTCATTGCTCAGTCAACTTTATGTTTCCACTTTTCACAAATCATAATTTTTTGTTTCATTATGATTAACTATTTAGATTCTGACTTGATTTTCATTTAATTTTGTCTCTTAATTTAATTCACAGGAAACCTTCTTAAGGGATTTAGATTAAGGAAACAGATTTGTCATCGTCAAAAGTCACCTTGATAATCATTGACACTAATTTATCATCATCTTATTGGCTTTGCTTTAAGTTTAATTGAAACCTTTACATTAAACAACAATCTTAATTGCATTACTAATGTACTCTACAGTTTCAAATGCAATTTTGTGGTCAAACAATAAGTTGATTTGCGTTAATTGATCAATTTTGTCATTAAATTTGCACCTATTTTCATGAGCAAAAAATGCTTAAATTTAGATTCAATAAAATCAGTATTTTTGCAATTTTTCACAGTCAAAGTTACTTATTAAAAGTGGTTAAATCAAGATTTGAAAAAATTAACAGCAAAAGCTTAAAGTTAATATAATCACTGATAAAAATTTTAATCCTTACCATTATTTAATTATTCAGTAACAGTCTGGTTATACGGACACAAGGTAACAAACTAAGACGACTTTAAAATCAGTATCCAAATAAGACGATCTTTTAAGTTTAATATCAATCACTGAAATGAAAACATTGACAACTAAAAAGGATACAAAAAACTGATTCTGGAGGTAATTGATGGTCAATGTTGTCCACTAATGTAACGATAATATTGGTAAACACAGTTGGTCCAGTTTTTTTCCCTTGTAGTTCAATTAGATGGCAGCATTCAAAAATATCTAATTACGAGGATCCATTGAAAGTTGACCAACAGAAATATCATTTTGATTAAATTAACATATTGTCCTTTTGTGATTGGTCCAATTTGTGTGTGTTAATTGCTGCTCCTCCTTGTATCAGTATAACTAGACTGGACCAATTAGTCAGAATTAAATTTAAAAAACTCATCGATTGACCGCTTTCTATGACATTTTTATACGAAATGCAAAAAATGTTAATCAATATTTTCGATCGTGAAAATAGATGCAAATTAAAGCGCAAAATTTGATTAATCAATGGGGTAAATTTTGCCCATTAAACTTGTCTAATGAGTTCGTTATTGAGATTCCAAATGAGCAGTTTCATTACGGGCCATTTCATATGCATCAATCTAATAACAAGTTATTAGTTAATTCATTTCATTTGCTTCTCTATTTGAATCAGAGAAATAAAACTTGAAATGGGAAAGAAAAACTTGATTTTTCTCTTAGGAAAACAACATTTTCAATTTATGTTTTTTTTCACTTCACTTTGATTTAACAAAAATTCAGTTTTTTTGCAAACATTATTAGCTTGTTCAATACCTGAATTATTGTCTGTTCACCATCCACATTGGGTGCTAAAGCATTATATTGTTATTACCAGCAATTGAATTTCGTATACACACAGAGAGAGAAGGAGAAAACTAACAAAATAATAATTGTTAACATGATCTTAAACATAATTTAAGTCATTTTGTTTTCTTTGTTTCTATCATTTACTTTTACTTTTTCTCTCATCTTGTTCATGTTCATCAGAATTGTCTGAACTTGACGAAGTCACGATCTATTCATATTAATACTCTTGTGAGGGGAAAAGAGAGTGAGAGAGTAAATATTGAACGCGCGATCAACAGCGCGTGCTAACCTCATCATCTCTTGTGTTCATCGTTTCAATGAATATTCATTCATCATCAGGAGAGAAAGAGTAACTGACTCGACTAAAGTCATAGACTTGATCATCATAATAATAATGATCATAATGTTATTACTATCACTATTATCGCCAACCGATGAATAAACAGTGAAAAATCAAGTTTGGTTCTGAAGTGAAACCTTGAAATGGTTATGAGAATGGTGATTCCTTCGGTGTATTGGTTACAACAATAAGCACATACAAAAACCATCATAAAACACAAAGTATACTGTAAAAGAGAAAAATAAAAGAAGAATAAGTAAGAGTGAAAAAAAACAAGATGATGATGAGTAAAAAAACTGTTAACGTTGCCTTAAGCTTCTGTCTATCGAGCACAAGAAACACAAATACTTAAATGTATTCAATGTTAACTTTCACTTGCCGAAAGCGTCCTCAAGCAGAAGAGGGTGGAGAAGAGGAAGAAGCAAAAGGTGAAGTAACTTTCTCTCTTTCTCTTTCTCTTACTTGGACTCTTCCTCATCTTTTCGTCTTCCTTATTTCTTTATCTATCTTCACCCCGAGACATTTTCGTCCCCAGGCTAACAAGAAGAGGAAACAGGCTAAGCCAAACTCCTATGGATTAAGCCGTTATACAGTTCAATCCTTAAGGCTATTATACAATAAATACACATATATATATTTACACATACCAAGTGTACAACTACTCAATGAAATAGTTAAAGACATCATGGGTGACACACAATAAAAAAAGTAACTAATGTTATAATTTCGATCACAATTAAAACAATTTTAAGACAATATTAAACGACAAACGTGAATAGACACAAAATTTTTAAAGATTCATTGTCTAAATAGGGACCGTTATCTAAGTACGACTGTGTAACAAGGAATCGTTAATCAGGATTACAATATTGACCATGACTTTTGTTTAACGCAGTTCGAATTGTAATGATTGGCCGAAAAATCAATTTTCATTACTAATTAGACATTAAGATGGTTAATTCACCATTAACTAATAGTTGGTGAGTAATTAACTTGCATTAACATCTAATTATCCGCTTTTATTTGCTGCTTGGTACTAGATATGTAAGATCCGATAAGATTCAGATAAGATCAGGAATAGCTATAAGGTTTGTTTCTGTTTATGTGTTTAGGTTTGTTAATTTTGCCAGTTATTCCCTTTGATTAAAGAATTAATTGACCAAACCAGTTTGATTAAAGAAGCAAGAGTAGATAATAACTAAATCATTAAAACCATTATCTTCATCATCTTGTTCATTTTTCTTGTTGTCTATTCATCTTTTCCTTACAATCTTTTTTTTCAGAAGCTTCTTGATCATTTTGTATTGCTCTTCATGTGAATATCATGTTATCAACTCCGCCTGCGTCAACAATACAGAACTATCAAATGATAATAATCACATGTATAATAGTTTTGTAGGAGGAGATGGATTTGCTGCTAATAATATTATTATTAGCAACATTTCACAACACATGATCATTGTGTTAAGCCAGATGACCTGATACAGATACAATTGAAAATGATTTGGATTTGCGTTTCCTCCTAGCTTATTTTGATGGGTTTTCAATAACGATTCATGAAAGTCACAAACTCCGAGAAGGTATGTGTATTTTTAATTTTTTTTATATAATGATTAAGTATCAATAGCATTAAGAATAGATTTTTACCATGAATCTTGTCTCTTTAAGAAGGTTAATAGTCATCATTTTCATCAATTCAAGTTCAAGAGTGTAAAATAAGATTCATGGTCAAGAGCAGAAGAAGAAAAAGAAGAAGAAAAAAGAGATTGAACAATTTTTTATTATTATTATTATAATACTACTCATGACTTTAATGATGTTTCATGTTTTTGTATTTTAAGGTGTGACCCAAGTATTTAATAAATCAATTTCAGAAAGATTCAATGAAGATGGAGATGAAGAGAAATCAAGGAAAGAGGAGCCAAAAAGAAGGAGCCAAGGAAAGGAACCAGTGAAAGGAGCTTCAAGTTGCAAGAGAAAGAAAGAGATGTTGAAGGAGCTAGAAGAGGCAATAAGTAAAAATCAGTCAAGATACATGAAAATAACAGGAAAATACATAATATTTTGTAATGGAGCGAGAAAAGAGAGAGAGAGAAGATGAAGATGAAATGATCTTTCTCTCTCTTTCTACTTTTTCTTCTCTCGAAGTTTTAGCCCTAAGGCATTTTCCCACCGAAAGCCGAAGTTTCGATGATATCATTAGCGTTTATTTAACATATCTTTTCCTTTAAAATCAAACCTCTTCAAGGTGGCTCTTTCTCCTTCTCTTTCTCTTCTTGCTAATCAACTTAGCAAACTCAAATTATATCAGGAAGAAGTATTAACATTAACTGTCTTGCAACCATTAGTTATACCCAATTGAAGCAATAATCAACAACGAAATGACCACTCTTCTAAATCAACTGATCAAACAAGTCTCGAATCTCTAATCATATTGTTTGCTTGATTCCTGCTGATTAACACTGATTTGAGCCACATTTTGTGACATTTACCTGATAATTATCTGCACTTATAATATTACATCTCGTACTGCACCCAAACTTGATTTAAAGTGAACCAAGAATGTCAGTAAAACATCAGAGTAATCATTAAATCACAGTAATTTGTAATTGAAGGGTGAACGTTAAACACATTTGCATTAACTTATTACTTGCAATAAACGTTTAGACTTGACGTGAAAATTGCTATTCACTCATCAGACTCACGTAAATAAATGAGATTTTAATTTATTGACAAAACAATCATTAAGATTAAACATTTTTTTAATGTTAAATTAATTTAATGTAAATTAATTACATTTTTGTATTGCGCGCAAAATGTCCTTAACAACGGATTGCTCATTCATTGATCGACTCCATTAGCTAATGTTGCTAATGGATAATCTTGCTTTACTTAAAGATTGTTTTAAAAATGTTTTATTTTAAATCCTGATCTGCTTTTGTTACCCGTTAATTTATTCAAACATCTTAATTGTTATCATTGTTATTTCAACTCATCTCACCTTTTATCATCATCATCATCTCCATCTCATCTATCATCTTAGACTTGCTTCCTTTGTTTTCCTTGGTTGAACCAATTAATAGTTTAACATTGTATTTATTTGCTTCACTTGAGATTAACCTCATCTTCAGCAGTTTCCAGAGTCACATCATCACACCATTTTTTGTTATTTTTGTTATTATTATATGTGTATTAATATACTTTGTTGTGTTGCACGCAAACAGAAGCAAAACTTTAACCTTTCATTATGATTACCTTCTATTAATCAGTTAGCAATACTATTGATCACGAATTAACCTTCTGCTTTAATTTCTAAATTGTGTCTGTTTCTCTTTGAAGCCTTAATCAATCAAACAGCTTTTTTGGTACTAATCTTTCTCATCTCTTTTCTCTTCCTTACCTAAACAATGTTGATTTAGTAGGTAACACAAAGAGCAACTATGTTAACCTGTTCAATCTTTAATGAGATCATTAGTATTTGTGACAATGTGAAACATGTTCATTATGCTTTTTGAATATTAACATTGTTAAAGAAAAGAAAAAGGAAAGAAAATCATTTCAACCTGGGCAATTAACAGAAACATCAACAGTAACAACACACAAACCAATGGAGAAAGAAGATACCGACAAGCAAGGATCAACAAAGATCATGAAAACCAAAAGGCCGGGACTAACAATCCTTGAAGGAGTGAAAGTAACCATTATCACTTGAAAAGAAGGAAAAAAAGAGATGTAAACAGTTTTGAATAATCAAGAATAATCAGGAATAATCAAGGACATTCATCATCTATTTAATTTGATATGTGCAATTTGGCTAAGCGATTTTTAAAAGACTGGATGGACCGAATTAAATTGGACTTTTTTTATTTCAAATCTAAAGACAAACTTAATGAGCTTGAAGAAAGTCGAAGAAATATTTCCAAACTTGCAGCCTTTACTTTGGATCACTTTTAGCAAATGAAAAAGTGTTAATCTTGGCCCACATTTAAGCCTCTCCTAATTCAACCTTTTCAATCCATTGGTTTTCAAAACAAAAAATTCTTTCACTGAAAAAAGTCTTTTTCTAAAACAATGTTTGAGACAGTTTGGGCAGCTTTACTCAAAACAAAGATTCAGACACAGACTGCCCATCAGGTAACCTGGGCAACTTAGCAAACTTGTTTTGAGAACCAATGGATTAGCTTAACTCGGAAAAAGCTTAAATCTGAGCCAAGATTAACACTTTTTCATTTGTTAAAAGTGGCCAATTCAAAAGGAAAAGGTGGTAGGATAATCAAACTTGTAATAATAATCAACTTACAAGTGTTGAAGGAAACTGAAAGGGAAATTGAAGAAGGTGAACCTTCTCGACCAGTTTCTTGGCTAATCTAAGGCTCACTTTCAATTGTCCATCAATCGAGTAATCATATAATCATATAATAATCATTGTAAACTCATTTTTGTTCAATAATGAGTATTTTGACTTTTACCTTGAATGAAAAGGTTTTCTGTCTCACTGAAGTTATCTGATTTTAATGACTTACACAAGTATCAGATCATTATATTTTGTATGTATTGCTTTACTTTATATTATGTGATCTGTAAAAATAGCTTCTTTTCAGAAGAAAGTTCCACTAGTTTATCATTAATGCTGATAATGTCATTAGAAAGTGAAACTAGAACGAAAGCCTAAAAGCTGTAAATTGATATTTGGTTAACGCGATTAGCATCAATCACTATTGATATTGAATGGCAAAAATTTAGGCCCAAAAATTTGATACAAATCTAATGGTTTTTAGCTCATTTTTGTGTCATTTGGTTTTAGCTCAATATAAAGTAAAAAAGCTAAAAATAGTAAAAAAATGATAACAATTGATGAAGAGCAGCAGAAGAAAATGATCAACCTTGAGCTAAATTTCGATTTACCATTGATTGAGTTGGTGTTTTGCGTATTATTGATGCACATGTAGCAGTTTCTTCCGGTAAACTTCCGACTGAACATCAAATGATACAATTTTTACCATCTAACAATATCTATTTTCATGTACAAGTTGCCAAAAAAACATGAAACCATTTTAATATCATTACAAGTCTGCTAACCGAAATCATAATTATCTGGATTGTCTACCTAACATTGTGATGGTAAATATAAGCAAAATACTGTTAAATGTTTCATTCACTGTTTAATGGTTGAGATCAATTAAATTGAATCAAATTGAGAAGGCAAATGCTTAAGAATATTAAATTAACAATCAATTGAATTTACTTTTCATCATGTAGTGAGCATTGGCAAGAAGCGAGTATTTGATCAATAAAACGTTGATGATCGTTTATTATGAGACTTGTGAATGTGAATCTCGTTATTGATGCAAATTGTGTTACAACTCACAATATCAATTGGCACAAAAAAATGTAGATTGAATATTACAAATGATATAAGGAAAGTTGAAGAAAGGTTAAGGTAACATTGAATAACAATGAGAAGAAACCTTTTCTTTTCTGTATTCTTTGGCTTTTACATTTTACATTCAAGTCACGTTAATATTATCAAATATTGGTGAGAATGATGATGGTGATGGTGATATGATGATAGTAATGATTATTATTGTTGCCGTTGTTGGTTAAGATTGTTGATCAAGTAAAGATTATCAGTTGAATCCAAGAATTTTTTTTCTTCTTACCAAATCTTTATCTAAACACTGCATCAAGCTCAGTCAATGTCAGTTGATTTTTTTTCACTAATACATTTGATTGATTTATCACCTGAATTTTAAATTTAATTCTTACCTTTAATATCATTTGATGATTCTCTTGGTTTAATAAACTACCTCTGATTTCAATTTACTTTAGCTTGGATTACAACTGGCTCATCTTGTTGGTAGCCTGTCTTCCTGGTCAATACCATTATACCATTTCACAATTGAATGTATGTTTCAAGGAAATAGCTTTTGCTGTTGTTTATCCAAAATCTTCCAGAACCAGAATTTTTGATATGATTTATCAAAAAATATATTATACATCTATGTTTGGTATTATAATATATTTTTATGTGAATATAAAGGAAGATTAAATTGCCTCAAGGAAAGTTGACTTGCTTTCCTTTTTTAACTGGTAAGTCTCTTTGGTTTTGGTGTTGGACAAAAGTGGGTCTACTTGTTCACAGAGCAAAGGACAAACTTTTTTTCAACATAATATTGAATTGAAGATGAATCTGGTTCACGATTTTACCTTCAAAAAAAATATTTCAACTTCTGGTTTCATTTGTAATCAAATGAGTGTTTTAATAAAATTACTGAATGTTGGAAAAATAAAATTTATTGCTCTTGAAATAGCAATTTCTGTTATTTTTACTGTTAACTGTGAAAATAGTAAGTTGATCTTATGTTTACTTTTCACTTGCTTTTGGTTCAATTGTCTTTCAATGTTGTCTATTTTAATTGTGATTAAATTTTAATTTTTAAATTTGTTTCATTGTTCAAATTGATGATTAAGGTATGTATAAGTGTTGGTGGCTGAATAGTTTAATGAGGAAAAAGGTAAAGTGCAAAATGTTTTCAATTTTCAGCAACCTTTATTGTCACTTTGGTACTTTTGTTTGCTTTCTTGTTAGGAGCTATCTTCTGGTAGGCTTCATAATAGATGCCTTTTTTTGTTCATTTGACTATCTCTCATTGCTTTTCGTCCATCAACATTTAGTAATTATTGAGGTGATAAAACTAAGCAAGGTAAAGTATAATTTTTTGACAGATTTAAATAAATTAATGTTAAATGGTTAGAACAATAATTATCTTTCTATCATCCAGGTTCACGAAAGAGAAAGAAGGAAGGAAGAAGAAGAAGGTAAAAACAAAGTGTAATGACCAATGTTGAAGGTTAAGTTAAATTTTGTACGTCCAACATCATCTTGCCTGGCTTGTTTCTGTTATCTTACCGCCGAGTCTGTGAGTCTTTTCACTTAATGTTTAGAGAGTAAAAAAAAGGTAAGGTCAAAGTGATGGCCTTTTACTGGTTCAAATCATCTTCTGATCTTCTCTTTTTACTCTATGACGAACCAGTTTCGAGTTTGAAGCCCATCGATGAGCAAAGTTAAAGGAGAGTTTCATTAGGAGAGTTTTTACAAGGAAAATATTTACAAAGAAAGGAAATATCTCATTCTCTTTTTCATCTTCATCATCATCACTACCGTCATCAGTGTCTTAAAAAGAGGAAAAAAAAGGTAGAAGATTACAACTGGTCATAGTTGTGCTGGGACTATGAAAAAAGAGCTTGACTTCGTTGGTCATAAATTAAAGGTGCAGTAATTCTGGCAAAATGGAGCCAAATAGCTAAAGTTTGGAACCGGTTTATTGTCAGTTAATTGCTCATAGAGCCATTATGGTTGCAATTTTGTTTCTCTTTTTCATCAACTTACACACACTTTAAGACAAAGTAATATTACAAGCTCGCATCGATTCCACAGGACTTTATATATTTTTATTTGGAGTAAAAATTTAGCAAACCTGAATATCTTATTATCTGTAAACTTTGACCTCTTCAATTTTTGTATCTATAGTTAATCTTTTTTTGATAATCTATTTCATTTTTGAAAGAAGAAGCAGAAGAAGAAGAAGAGAAAGAAAGAAGAAGAACGCAGATAATTTTCCAAATTTGAAACTTGCAAAGTTGAAATAATTTTCTTATTATCTCTCCCTCTCCATCTCTAGATGTATATCATTATCATTTTGCTCAAGGTAATTGGATTATTGTTGTTCTTACATTCTTCAACACTGGAAAAGTGTCTCTTTAATAGGTGACACTCCATTGAAACCTTATTATCATCATCATCACCATAATCAACATGATTCAACAACAATTGCAAAAATCTATTTCACCTGATATTCTACTTTACTTTTACTATTATAAAACTGTAAAATCTCACGTACTGAAAACCCTAGAAGCACAGTTTTCACATGGAAATAGAAAAATTGTTATGCAAAATAATAAGAATGCCCGGCAGGCCTTATTTTCACCCGAGCCCTGTTTAAGAATCAAAGAGGTAAGGAAGGATAAATTTAAGAGCAATTTTATTGCAACTATAAACACCGCATATCAACACTTTTAAACATCTTCATCTTCATCTTTTCTCCTTTTTCTCACTCTATTTTATTCTTTTTCTATTATTTTCAGTGCTTCAATCATTATTGCTTCTTACCCTTTCTCCATGTTCCGTTGTGTATCAAAAGGTAAAGATGGAAACAGTAAAAGGATGAATTGAAAAGTAAATTGGAAAGGAACAGTTAAGAGTGAGAGAAAAAAAGAGTAAAAAGAAATGCTAAGTAAATATACATAAATATTGGTATATTTTGATATATTTATACTATTTATACATTGAATTATTTTCATAGAACCATGAAATCAATCTCATATTCATATTCAGTATATCTCATCTTTAGTTATAGATACACAAAATTTCAGAAAGATACAGAAAAAGGTAAAGAATCACAAATATCTTACAGTTTATATGCCTTCAAATAATGACGATACTTACTATACAATAACAAATTCATCTTAAATTTCTCTTTTCTTTTATCATTCATAGTTTTCATCAACAATACGCTAACTGCTCTGGTTTTGGTACTCTTGGTTTTTTTTCATCCCATTCTCATTGTATCTTAAAAAAAAGGAAAAACTCTTCTCACTTCTTGCTTTTTGTGTATGTATTTTAATGCTTACTTGAAATACTATCAGCTATTATGATTTGGCTTGGGTTACACTGAATAGACACACGTTAACCACTACAATAATAGCCAAAATAATAGTATAATTGAAACTTAGCTTTGTTAGTTGATATTTTTTTATAACTCTTGTTTTTTTTTGCATCTCTTTATTCAGCTCAAATCAAAGGAAACTCACCAGAAATCAAGTCTGTCATGAGCGGCCATATTAATTTTGATGCCAAACGGAAACCGACGTGTGAAAAGGCTGACACAATAAAGGATCAGGAAAAATGATGTTGAAGGAAACTGTTTCTGATGTTTGGTTGATTAAATCCAGCGCAAAGTAAAAGCTCTACCTCTAATGGAACCTTAATTGAGAGTGTGATCTAATCAACGGTATTTCTGTTATCCTTAATACTTTCAATTATTATTAATATATGGCCATGTTGCTGATGGTAATGCTAATGATAATGGTGATGCTGATGGTATTGATGATCCTGATGATGAGGATGGTGATGATGAAGATTCATGTTTAAAACCTTAAATCATTGTACTCTAACCATTGCCTGTTATTCATAGTTAATTAATTTCACGTTTTTCTCTTATTACTTTCTCTATCAGTTTGAGTCTCTCTTTACACACTCTCTCCTTTGTGTACTACTTGACTTGATTTTAAGGTGTGATTAATTAATTTCCGTGTAAATTATGTTTGAGCTCAAATTTTGCATTTAAATCAGGGAATCTGATTTTGTTTTCTTTTAAAACTTCATTTACCAAAATGATTATACTTCCTTTCCTAAACTGCCTTCATTGTTGTATTACCATACACTAAATATCTGTGTGTGTGTTGAACAAAATATTATTATTAGTTTTATTATTATATCAACAGAAGAAGAGTTGAAAAGGAAAAGGAGAATTTAAATTTAATATTTACATTGTTAATTAATTAAACATGAAAATGAATTTCTTTACAATCATTTTAAGGGTTGTTAACCTGATACTTAATCATTCAATTGAATCCAGTTAATCAATCATCCCATCTAAATGTTAGTTTAATTGTTTATCTCTAGTCTCATCTCAATTATTGTATAATTTTTCATTAATCTGCATTCATTTCAACATTAATATCCTCAACAATCAGCTTAATTTTAAACATCATTCATATAGATTATTGATTCATCTTTTTTTTTCTTCTTTTTAACCAGTTTTCAGATGAAAAAAAGCTTATCAATTGGATTATCAATTTTGGCCTGAAAATCATCTCTATTCAGCATCATATTCCTCCATTGATGATCAACTTGATTAACCTGGTAAAGTCAATGAACAACTAAAAACCCAGAGTTGAACCTGATTATGTTTATCAAATTAATTGGAAATATTGAACACAAAATGCTCTCCATCAAATGTTATTCAATATATTCATCTGATCAGATTATTCACCTTGTTATCGGTATATATTCTTATCTTAATATATATCATTACTCCATTATTACTTTACCTTTTGCTGCATTTCACTCTCTTGATATTTAGTCTATGATATTATCATGAACTGTAAAAAATACTACGTTTACATCAAAAGCTATTAGCAAAGTGTGAGCAATGTAAAAGGATAAAAAAGAGGTGCGAAGTAAATAGGATAAAGATGGAGGAGGATGTAAAAGCTTCAATAATCTCTATCAATTGATCAACTTGCTTGAACTAGCAGGAATAAACTGAGTGGATAAAAGGGAAAAAAGAGACTTGGAATGTTGAATACAATGAAATATATTATGCTCACAATAATAATGTATAACATGTTTATATCAAAAATTAGGTGAACTATCAAAAACAGAAGATGCAAAAAGATCAAAACTGGGAAAGAAAAGGAAAAAGTAAAAGTAAGTTGACGCTTTGCTTATTCAACTCTATCATCATTTTCATCTTATGATTATTCTGTTTTCATCTTTTATTCTTTTCTCTCTCTCTTCTTCTAAAGGGAACTTAATTTCCTAAATAAATATCATATCAAACCTGATTGCAAAAAAGGAGAAATGCTTCATTCATGGACCAAAGAAAGGGAAAACGCGAAATCTTCTAATAACCATTCCATTCTTATCGTTATTTCCTATTGGGAGTGAAAACTCCCATGATAATTGCTATTGTAAAGTTTACTCTTCATCTTAACTTTATTTCATTTCTCTGTCTTTTTGCTTTTCTTCCCAGTCTTTGGCATTCTGTCGTTTCTTGGTTGGAGCAACTCAACTCGACTTATCAATTCAACTTGAATCATGAAGGTAACTATGAACTTTTGTGTTTATCTTTTACTGAACTAACTTTTTCTTTCACCTTTCATTGTTAGAGCCGGGAAACACTTCATGCTGATGGATTAAAATATTTGGTCAACACTTGCTTAACGTCTGTGGATCAATGATGTAGGTAAAGAAAGCTAACGGATTCAAGGATGATTAAAGGGAATGTAAACTGACAGATGAAAGGTCCTGTTATATGATGTCTTTATCGTGGCGCAAAAGTGCATCAAACAGGTGAATTAAAGGGATCAATTGAACAAGTTTAATAACACATTTTGATAATCTTTCAATGATCTCATCTCTATAATCATCTAAATATAAATATATATTTATGCATTAATATATATATACATTTATATTTTCCAATTTGCTGGTAATATTTATTTCTAGATTGAAGACTAACAAAGATGATGAAGGAAGAGAAGCTGATAAATACTCTCGCTGGAGTTTCCCCTCTTCTCGTATTGATGTTTGAGTTCCGGAGTGAAACCCAAGGGAAAAGCGTATATTGAATTTTTGTGGATCAAAATGAAGAGTAAATTTAGTCCAACAAAGTCTGTCACTTTGGGACTTGATAACTTTCATCTTTTTCTTTCCTCATCTTTATTCCTCTCTGTTTTTAGGCTCTCCTCTTATACGGTTATGTGGTTAATGAGGAAGGCGTTTAAAGCCCAATAACTCGTGTCAAAGCATAAATGGTCTCCAAAGACGACTTAATCAAACCGTGAAAAACCTTTTTTTATGCTCACTCAATCTACTTTATAACCATGGATAACATGAGCGACATCTTTTTTTTCATCTTTATCCTTCATCATCACCATCAACAAAAACATCATCTCAAGTTAGTCCAAAAACACAGTAATGTTTATATTATTATATTTGACTAGATGATAAAATGGTCTGTAAAAGATGATTGAACAGACAAATAACCATGAAAAGCTTGTTAACAGGGACTATATATATTTATATTTAGTGATATAATTTTGATGTGATGATCCCTGTGGAGTGGGACACTCGGTGTAATACCTAATAGAGCGTATAATTTACCCTTTTTTAAATAATGTGCATAATAATATGATAATAATTTGGAGGCCACAAACAGTGTCAAGCGAAAGCGGTGAAAATTAAATTAAATCAAAGCCCATTTGGTGTCTCCACTTTCAACTTGAACCATCAGCAAAATTACCAACAGGAACATTGATTGCAAGTTAACCACAATTTCAGGATGAATTGATGATTATCATCATCATTGTACATTATTATTGTACAATGATATATCAACCTTTACATAACTCAGCCTCATGAATATTGTAATGAGTTATATGCTATAGAAATGATATAATATTTGACTCAAGAGGCATAGCAAATGATGATGGAAGGATAAGTGAAGATGAAAAAAAGGCAAGGAGTGAGTGAAACAAGAAGAGAGGAAAAAAGATGAACAAGATGAAGAGAGAGGAAAAAAAAGGCAAACTAAGGTCATTTTCAAGTGAAACCGCGTGGATAATCATTCGTTCCTCTAATTTCTTTACCTTTAATCATTGATCATTTACTTATTTTCTTCTTATGACAGCCAATCAATTAGCTCTTTTCTTACCCTATCTTCATCATCTCACCCACTTCATTTCTCCTACATATTAGTAGGGAAGATAAAGAGGAAGATCACACACGTATTCAGAATAAAGGAGAAGATGAGAATCACGAGAAGAGCATGATGATGATAATAGTAAAGGGCCATTGAGCCTTAATTGAAAATCTTAATGTGATTTGTCTTTCTAAATATTACCTTTTTATGTTTACCTTGAAAATTTTTCCAAATTTCTCATTTTTCTTCTTTTTCTTTGTTTCTTCCAGATTTTTGTTGATCATTTCTTCATGTTTGATCAATTGTTCCTTCATCATCATTATCATTATGGTTGTTATGAATGAGAATCATTTGGAAACTAAATGAGCAAAACTATCATTTCGACGTTTGGTTCAAAGGGAAGGCAAAATGTAAAGACAAAGTAAATTTTAAAAAGCAAATTGAAAGCAAAGGAGAAAAAAGAAAAGGCAAAATGATTGGAAAATTTTCGTTAATTTAACGTTGATGTTCGTGATTGACTGAATGTTAAACAGGAAAAACGTTAATGGGTAAATTGCCCTCTGTGAGGTCGAGTTTAAAGTTGATTAAGGTAAATGGTCAGAGGGCGTTGAGCTGGTCATCGTTTCTCCTCTTATTACCATTATCATTACAATTGGTGACTTTAAAAGTGTAACTACATGAGTTACCTTTGGGTGCTCTCTAATTATGTGGCTCATGGTTAGTTAAGGTCATCAATTTAAGTCTACCAAAGTACGGCAGACAAGTTAACAATGAACATGTTTTGAATTATTTTTTTTGTTCCTTGTTCATCCAAAGTCAGTTACTAATTTAATTATTATCATTGAATGCAGTCTAAAGGTATCACAATGGATCGATAAATAGAAACAAATTTAGCAGAAAAATATTGCTTCAATTTTGTTGTTTTTACCTTAAATAATAACGATAATGATAATTCAAAGTGTTCATTGGTTTTCCTTTTTGTTGTTTACTTCTTCTTCTTCTTCTTCTTCTTCTTCCTCTTCTTCTTTCTTTTGATGGTCAATAAGATGAGGATGAGCAAGAAAAAAGGTTAACAATCAATAATAATCAATCATTATTAGAAAATTAAAGATCTCACAAGATTTTTCATCTTGTTTACCCTTAAATATTATCCAGAAAAATGCGTAACAAAAATGATGAACAAAATAGATCAACATTTAGTTTCCTTTTCTTGTTCTTTCTTTCACTTTCACGATCAATCTTGGCGAGTTTTACCTTCATCATCATCATCATTATCATCATCTTATTTTTGCCTCTTTTTTTACCTGTAAAAACGATTATTGTTCATTTTAATTCATTCATTTACTCACTTAACTTCTCAATGATAAGATATTATTTTGTTGTTTTTGTTCATCTTCATGTTTCCTTGTCACATAACTACGTCTTAACAACATTTTAGGTTACAAAGTTACCTTAATTTAGATGATTGATATTGATTGATTGAATTTCAACCTTTTCATTCTCGCATCTATTATAGCCAGATATTTATTGATATAATATAAATTGATGTAAATTTAATGCATTTTGTTCACTTTATTTCATCACATCTTTAAGATATACATTTCATTTTTGCTTTCAATTTTCAAAATTACCTTAAAAATGAATATCAAATGAATTGAACGAAATGGTTAAAGTTAATTTTAACCATTTTTGCAATCAAAATGAAAGGTTTGAAGGTAAAATTATCATTCAATAATTGATATTATTTGATGATATTAACTTGAACAAGAAAAGCTTTTATTACTGACAAAACAGTTTCTACTGTGAAATTGATTAAACATCGAATGGTTAATCATTAACTTGTAATAACACTTTAATCACGATTAGCCATTAACTTTACCATTTAGTTTTGTGATTGATCGACATTTAACTTGACCAGCAACCACATTTAATTAATTAACTAACTAATGTTAATAGTTTTTCTTAATGTTGTTCAATTTCTCAATTAATCACAAATTGTTTTCCAGTTGATTGTTGAACATATGAATACATTTGGATGATTTGCAAAATGATTATCAAAGTGATTGGACTAAAAATGCAGCAAAAGATGAAAACTATTAACATCATTTTTTGCTAATTCAAGTTAAATGTTACAATTTAACTGTTGAGTTCATTAATGATTGAGAATCATTTTTAGCAATCAAATTACATTTAACTGTGTTGATTGTCATCATTTAAAATATTAATCAATACACTAATCATTTCCAATGGTGACCATTAACTAACAAATTGTGAAATGAAAATAATCTAAATCTAGGTTGAAGTTTAAACAGCCTAAGGGAACCAGAAAAAGGATGAATACTGTTTACTCATCAAAAAGCAAACTTCATCTTCATCCTTTTTCATCTGGCTAACCTCTTCAGCATCCTCATCATCATCTCAATCGTTATGATGAAACGACCTTGCCTTTAGGTGAATCAGTGAACATTCAAAGTGAATGGTCAACCGTTGAAAAAAAAATTGAAACCAAGTCAAAATGTTAGTCAATGACAACCATTTGTAACAATATTAGTCAACTAATTGATTATCAATTTTAAATAATGCTTAACCTCAAACAGAAACCATTTCAACTTGAATCTCAACATGAACAATATTCAAAATTATTTTTTCTCGTTGACTGGTTATTGTTAATGGAAATTTGATTGCAATCAATGATGATAAACATGGCGTAAGATGATTTAATTTAAAACACAATTTCTGCTTTAACACTATTTTAACAGATGATGATGAGGAGAGGAAAAAGAAGCAAGATTATCTAACTAAGTGTGAAAGTTTCACAGTAATTTGAAGTTGCTGAATATAAGGAGGAATCAAGATGATTAGGGATGAGAATGAGGATGATGAGGTTGTAATGAGACGGAAAAAGGATGCTGATGAAAGAAAAATGACATGAAAATTATGATGAAAAGGATGAAAGCTTTTTGTTGATGAACAAGATGAAATTGTGTTGATAATAATGATGATAATGAAGGTGAATCGAGAGATGATAATAGGTCTGTTTTATAGGAAGAAAGATGAATTATAGAAACAAAATTTGAGAGAAAACCCTTTTTTCCCTGAAAAGCAACTTTCTTTTTCGCTATATACAAACATGGAAAAGATGGGAATTTTTTTCCATCCTTTTCCATTCTTAAAGCAAGAATAAATTTTCTTGACAAATCATATTCCTTCCTTTCATTTTCATCCTTTTTTTCATCTCTTTTGTTGTTACTAAGTTTCATCAACAATTGTTATGAATCAATGAACATGAAAGATTGAACAAATTGCAAAAAAACATGAATTTTGATGATAAACAATTGAAACATTTCTTCTTCTTGTTGTTGTCATTTTTGTTTATTTTGAAAGGTAAATGTTAAAATGAATTTAATATTTTTATTCTGATTTGATGAGATTCAACTTTTTTCCTCCTTTTACTTCAATTTATTAACATTATAATATTTATTGACTTTTACTTGACTAATGAAAGGTTTATTACTCTCTATCATTACAGGTAATATCAATTGAATGGACGGGAGTAAAAATGATTACGGGATAAATTGATGGAAATGTCATTTATATTAAATGTAATGAAACTGGTCAAATCATTGGATGGAAACATTTTTATCAAAATGGACAACTGATTAAAAAAGATTAGACCAAGAAGATGGAGAGGAGAAGGAAAAGCGCAAAGTGTAACTGAATGACATTTTAGCTGTTATACCATTTGTTCAGTGTTTATTTGTTTCACAAGGAGATGGGAAGATGAACAAAGATGATCAAAGATGATGAAAAGATCAGCAAAGGATGAAACACAGAAGACGAATCCTATATAATGTAAAGATAAAGATACGCCTAAGGCATCATCATCATCAACAACAACGCCAACAACATCAACAACAATAATACAAGGAGTAACATCATGAAATGACTAGAGCTGATGGAATATGGAAAGAAAGAAAAAGATGATTAGAATTACTGGGAAAAGAAGAGATTCTGATGCTTTTGCTGCTGCTGCTGTTGCTGTTGATGATGATGATCATGAGGATGGTGATGATGATGGAACAGAAAGAAAAAAATGATTGCCGAGAAAAAAAAGCATGAAAATAATGGTGAATAGGAAAAGCTAAAAGACGAAATGAGATCAAATCTTATTGAGTCTCATCATTATAACCATGATAACATCCTCTTGTACCTTTTTTTATGGCTAAAATAATTACCTATAAGGTAACTTTATCATCATCATTTAGCTGACCAATTCTGTTGGGTACGTTATTGGTTCATCATCACTTAAATGATCAACCAACAACTGGATTCGATGCTTTTTTTGCTGCTGCTTGCTGTTAATACTTGAGATTCAAGTAATTTTCTGGTACAATAAAGGAAACACTGAATGATTATACATTTTTTATGGTTAAATACTGGATCAGGATAATAACTTACCTGATAAAGATATAAAGTAAACTCTCAATCAGTTGACAATTTTGATGTTCATCTCTTTACTCTACCTTTGACCTCATTTTGGATGGATTGTGATTCCCTCTAAATCTCTCAGTAAATCAAATAAGCCGGATGTGGGTCCTAATCTAACCATTTAATTTGGTTAATTTGTTCTTGAAACGGTAAACCATTTCAATTATAATTTGACTTTGAGTCAAGATTCTCATCCATTGTTGCCAATAACATTATTAATATGCATATTTGTATTTTTTCAGGTTCACTTTTTTGTTGTCATTCAATTGTGGCCACATGTACATGGATCAATAGACCATTTTGACTACAAAACGCCGTTGTAATGTAAATATGAATCAGTTTGGATTAACATTGGCAAAAGGTAAACAAAATGACCATTCAATAAACTTGAAGCAACAGCTCAATTTATTAGCATAATAATTTAAATATCTAAATGATTATCCTAAATTGATCTAATTTAAAGTCACAATTCTAATTTCTTGTTCTATTCAATACAGATAACGATGACACAAAGAGGATGAAAGAGAGGAAGAAGAAGAAAAGTGTGAAACATCTTTTTTAAAGTCTAAATCTTGATCTTGTCAAACTGTTCAACTCTTGAGCTTTTTTATCCTCATCCAACATCATCTTTTAAAAGATATTCAGTATTTATAGACTTACAAGTATTAAGTTTTTTTTATCCTATGAAGCTTCTCGTGGTAATTGAATGAGACAAGTAAAGCGACTTGAAAGTTATATAAGATGATGAAGTAAATAAAGATGAAGATGTGATGAAAGAAGAAAAATCTAATTCTTTTTTCTTTCTCTTTCATCTTGAAGTATCTTGCAAACTTAATAATAGGTTAAAATGGACAGGTAAGTTTCCCTGTTGTCATTTTGATCATCTTTTTCCTCCTCATCATCTTGTTGTACAATTTGTTGAAAAGCAAACCAACAGTTGAAAAGACTTACTTACACACAATGAACAAGACAAAAACTCATTTTTTGTGTATTTTTCTTACAGACGCATTTCCATTCTAGATTCATGTTTACTGATTGTCAATTGGACAAAGAGAAGGACAAAAAAGCTTTAAACCAGCACCAAAAGTTAAGTTTCAATGGATACAATCGGTTGGATAAATTTGAAAAGCAGTTAAACATAATACAAATCAGGTAAAGATAGATAGTTTTACAATCATTTAATTGTGAAGTGTTGAACCATAATATTTATACTGAAAATTGTGTATTTTGAGGTTAGCTTTAATCGTCTTCTCTCTTCTTTTTTCCTTCAGATAAACAAGAAGTCACACGAAGGTTTGATGATCATTATCATCACCATGATCATCTCTGAATTGGCTTATATTTCATGCTGATTGCCAAGTACACTTTTCACACTCCAATTGGTACGATTTGTTGGTCCTTTTGCACTGTGTTCGAGTTACAAGTGACATTGACGTGAAGAGGAACCAAATGGATGCAAAAAAACTATGAAAAGATATCGGATAACTTACTAGTTGATACTACAATTGATTGTAATTATTTTACCTTTACACTTGAGTAGCAATCTTTATCTTTATAAACCCATGTGTATACACACATTTATTTATAAATCAATTGTTACTTGAGGTGTTAACAAGGATGAAAGAGAGTCTGAAGATGATGAGAAAAGGTGATGTTAAAGATGTTAATCTCTCTCAACTGTATTGGCCTTTTATTGATTCAAAAACTGATAATAATAGCAATGGTAATGATAATATTATGGGAGTGATATTAATAGGACTTATCAATGAATGAAGTGTTAATAATATCACTGAATCTTATCAAAACGTTTTCTTTTCATTTTTCTTCAGCTTTCCTTCAAACCTTATTTTTTTGTGTTGATTCAATCTTGAACTGTAAATCACAATGAAACAACAACTATTTTAAGGTTTGTTAACATCAACTCTTGTCATCCATTGTAATCATTTAGTTTGGTTAACACGTAATAATAGAAGTGCGTTTAGTACGGATTTTGGCCTTTAAACTGGCCTTAGGCAACCAAACCGTGAGTATTAATGCTGTAAATTATTGTAATCATTAGCAGCGTTTACTCGTTGTTGGTTACATTTATGATTTGTATTACATCTTTACAATGAAAAACCTTTTTTTTTCATCTTCAACACTCAATATGTTACTTTGCAGGTCATCATTTTAACGGAAATTATTATTTTCTCAATAATTTTTTCGCCTTCTTTTCGATATTTTTGAAATGTGGAAAAACAAAAATTCACATTTCAACTCTGATTGCTTCAACTTGCAGTAATGTTAAAAGGTATTTATTGTTTACCTTTGGGCTAAAATATTGCCATTATGATTATACAAGTTGACAGTAAATTTAAAGTAACTATCAATTCATTATCAGTTTCATAACACTGTTATTAACATTACAATTAGATGCTGATAATTTATATCATCATCAGCATCGCTATTATTATCATTAATATCGTTGTTTCAAGCAAGTGCAACAACAAAAATTGAGACATAAATTGAAAGATAAATATCGATACATAAATTAGTCAATTTTTCAGTCAATAAACTCAATTAAGTTTGATGAAAATTTCAATTCAAAATGCTTTTCAAGATGAATTTAAATTTTCAATGTTACGATCAAGCAAATGCTGCAAGCTTTGAAAGCTCATACAAAATGGATAAAAGGTTTGATCATTGAAATGTCGAGACAATTGGATGAATGAAAGTCGACCAACAAAGACGATTGAAATGATCATTATTAACATTTCATTGTTGGAATCGCAATCTTGCTGAGAAACATTGAAATTGTGAGATAAATACAGATAAATTGTAGATAACAAGAAAATAAATGGTCTTTTCAATGGAAACTTCATTGTCTGGGAATTGCTAAACAATTAGCAATTATTATCGATTGCAGACAATTATTTGAAGGAAAACATTCAACCTTTCAACTATCTGAATCAATGTTGACTGTTTATCATTTACAGAATTTTCTTGTTCGCATTTCATTTTTGTTTTTGTTTTACTCTGTTTAAACCTTGAAATTTTCTGCTCATTGCTCCTCCTTTAGTTTTGAAAATGGCCTTAAGCTGTTGGTTGAAAGCGAAATAAGTTGATGTTAAATCGTTGGTCTTATTTCGTTGCAACGAAACCTTGAGGGTAACAGCATTCAGCACTTATCTTGCAATTTATCCAATGATTTTGGAAGAAGAAGATTTTTCATCTTTCAAATATTCATTTGTGTTCACAATTGAAACAATTTGTTTCAATAATATTTTGCTTTCCTTTTCCCTTTTTGATAAATCAGTTATTAATCGTGATCAATTGATTGTTACGATTATTGTGAACTGATTATGATTTGTTGCATAAAAGGAACCAGAAAGAAATATATAATATTAATAACGATAATTATGTTTATAAATAATCGTAACCATGATAAATGTTAATGATAAAGTAATAACAAGTTGTTAGTTAATAATAGTTAATATTACTTGTTATATTTGTTAGTCTTTTATATTTACTTGATTACTCTTCAGTTCGTAGCATATAATGACCATGATAATGCTAATGATAATAGTTTGGGTTAATAAATTTAGATAGTCAAACTATCAAAAGAAAAGTGGTAAAAAATTAATCAAATTTAATTTAGATTAAATTACTTACCTGCCAAGAGCAGGATTCCAAGGTAAGGAAAGACATTTTTGTGTGAATTGTTTTCTTCTAACCTGTTAATTTTGTCTTTCAGATTGATTAAGGTTGCAAATTAACAGAAAGCAATTTGATTGCCACTCAATGAAACGTTTGCAGTTCAATTATTTTTGGTCAACTTTACTTTTGTTTTTGTAAAATTATCCTTTACTTGGCTGGTAACAACACAATTTAAAACACACTCACAGAGTTTATCAATTTGCTGGTCAACAATTTACATTTAATTGTCGCTGTTGAATTTGTCCACATTTAATTTGTTTGGTTAAAGCTGAAGCTGGTTTGAGGATAAGATTTAAACTGATCTTTCAATCTTATTGTTGTTCCGTTTAATAAGATGGTGATGGTGGGTGATGAAGATGGTTATTATGATGAACAGATTAATTGAAAGCTGATGATAATTAAAATGAAACACATGAGAAAAGCTCTTGAGGTTGTTATGTTCATAAGAATCATAAGAATAATATAAATATAATAATAATATAATATATGTAAGTATGTAAAAAGTGAGATGAAAAGTGTAACAGAGTTACGTTGGATATGAAAAAATGTTGATCATCATTTTTCTTCTTCTTTGCTCCATTTTTTTCCACTCTCAATCTTATCCTTTCTTTTTTGTCTTTCTTGTTACAGATGATTATAATGATGATTTCATGGAATCTGGATGAACCACACTCACAGCAAGTAGACACACAGAGCAAAGAGCGAAAAAGTAGAGACAGTGAAAGACAGACACAGATTCACAGTTACGAACAGAGTCTGTATGGTTCAACCCTCGTCATGACTCCCAATAAGATGAATTCAATGTTGACCTCACCTCCAAAGGCGTTTGTTGTCTCTGGTTGAACACAGAAGGGGCAATAAAGGGAAAAGCAAAGCGCACAGGAACAAAAAAGAGAGAGAGAAAAGAAAGGCTTTTGGACAAATGATGATGATGATGATCGAGGAAAGAGAAAGAGGAACACAATTTTCATCAAGAGACAAAAATGGCAATATCTTTGCTTTGCTTTACTTGTTTTTTGTTTGTTGCCTTAAGGGAGGTTCCTTATTGTTATCCTATATCTTTATCATCATGATCCTCATCCTAATCAAGTTCAGGTATCGCGCATCATCCACTCACTCCCTCACTCATTCACATAATCTTGATCCTCCTTCTCCACCCACTCCTGCCACTGTCAAGTCTTACTCCAAGCCTTACTCTTAACCTTACTCTGACTCTGGTTAGTCTCAATTTTACTCAATGTTCACTGTACACTGAACCTTGCCAAGTCTCATTGAAACTCACTATATCGATCCATCATCGCCTTTCCTCTTATTGGTTGCATTTGTATTTCTCAAGGCGGAGACTCTAACGGTACATTGTTATTGTACTTATATTATCATCAACTTCATCATTCTCATCATCTTTTACTTTCTTTGTAACTACTTTTCATCTCTCTCTTTCTCTTCCTCTCTTCAACATTATAAGCTCATTTTTTGGATACAAATTTTTTTCATCATTTTCTTTATGTATTTATGTATTTCCATCATAATAATCATTCCTATTCTTGTTTCATTCAACATTTAAATGCAAAACAAATTGAACATTTTGATTTGCTATCAATTTGTTGGGTCACGCTTTTTCATGGCTTATATCATGATTATCAATTGATTTTCATTTCTATCTTTTTCTCCTTCTTTAACTTCAACCTTTTCAACATTTTTTGCCTCTTATTTGCATTTTTAGAGTAATATTTTTTTCTCATTGAAAAGTCACTTTTTTGTGATGCTTATATTTATGCTGTTGCTCAGGTTTGCGTTTAATGTCAAATTAAGTTTTACCTTGATTGGTGATGGATGATAAAATGTATTTAAAGGAAAGGATAGATGATGATGATGAGCGAAATTTGATGGTGCAAAAAAAGGCAAAAAATTTTGAACAAATTGATATCAGACAAACGCATCAGAATGGCTTGTCAATGGAGAAGAAGAAAAAAAAACAGAAATCTGAATCTTTCCATCTTTTATCCAGCTTCTTCCATCACCTTGCATTTCAAGTTATTACACGTTTTTATATATATTTTTCAGGTCACGATAAAAATGTCGTCTTTGTCTGTCAACTTCATCATTTATCATCAATCTAAATGATCCCTTTTTGCCTCTTTTTTTCACCAGCATCAGCTGATGAAGAAGAAAGTCTATTACAGTCATTCAATTTTTGGATCCTTTTCTTTCCTCTCTTCCATCAGCAGAAAGGCAATTTTGACATTCTCATTCAACATGAAGATTGAAATCAAGATGAAGTGGTGAAACTAAATTCACAAAAAGCAATGATCCTGATTCAGATGATGATAAAAATGAAGCAAAGTGAAGTGAAAAAAAGCAAATGCAAAAATGCAATTGAACATCTTATTGACATTTTTGATCATCTTCAACTCTTGAGAAATTTCATTGATCTTTATCTGTAATCATCTCCATAAGCATGATGGTTTAAACTTGAAAACCCAGAAATGTGACTTAATACAGGATAATGATTTAAAGGGTGAAAAATGACTAAAATTTGGGTTCAAAGCAAATTTGCGATGAAAAAAGGATGAAATAAAAAAAACATTTCTTTAGGTTACATCTCTTTTTGATGAATGAAAAGTGTTACACTGTGTATGAATGTAATGATTATATTAGTAAGTAACTATCCTTTGGCAATGTTTGTAAATTTTTTTACTACAAAATTCTCACTCTTGTAACATATTTCTTTCTCTTTCTGTTTCGCAGTGCCGTTAACCAGTCTGATTCAATACTGACCAGTGAAAAGCCAAAGGAAAGCCCTGAAAGATAAAGAAGTAAAGAAGAAGAAGAAATGTTAACCCAGCAAACTAAAGATATACATACATACATGATATTATGAAAGTGCGGTTTGAAGCAGCAAAAAACTGATTCACCTGCGGCCATTCAAGTTACATCATGAGTGAGAGTGATGAACAAGGTGAAGGAGGAGGCTGAAGACCTTGCGGGAAAGAAGAAGATAATGATGGAAAAGAAGAAAAAAGAATGAACAAAAAAGTACAGTTTGGATGAAGTAGCAAGAAAATAAGGAACCGAGGAAAGACCATTTTTAGGGATTTTCTTAAAGCAAACCAATGTTACCTTTAAAGTTATTCATTCAAGTTTATTGGGATAAAATAAATATTACACTTTGACCAATTGGATTTAGTAATATTTTTCAAGGTTATCATCTCCTTTAAGGCGTTCATCATCATCAGCCATCATCATCTCGCTTAAAGCCAACAGATAACAGAAGCATCAACAAGCCAAAGTAGTAACACTCACACACACACAAAAAACCAAGCCTTGAAGCAGTAACGTCTAGTCGTTAAAATGCCCCATAAAGATCATCAGCTTTTTTTACCCACAGGTTATTTATATGTATTTACTGCTATTGATTTAATATTATGTGTGTACTCATGATGATTATGATTATTATTATCATCATGATCATCTCTTACAACTACTACTACTTACTACTTACTACTAGAACGTGCTATTTACGTTCACTTTGATTTTCACTGTACCGTTACTTGTTGTTTATAATAATCTTGCAAAGGTGTGGTCATAATATTTCCGGTTCTTTAACCGTAAGGCATTTTGGATGCTATTTTTTTCACTCTCTAACAACAAAAGCCTCAAGCATATCGTTCATTTGGTTGTTGACCTTCATCAAGGTTACCCACTTTTGTATTTACTGCTTTTTTAGCTCTTTTAGTTGGCTTTTTTTACTGTTATCTCAGATAATCTTGAAATTCTGATCATATCTTTTGCTTACACATTTAATCACATATTAGGTAATTGACATCAATGATTGGGTTAACAATGGGTGACAATGGGTTGCTTGAAAAGTGCGCTTTATGGGAATCGCTTGTAACTCTGCTGGATGTCGCTAGTTTTGGTGCCTTTTGTTTTATCATTTCAACGATTAATTATATTCAGTTTTTGACTGATTTATATTGATTATCGCTATTTTAATTAATGACTTACTCTTTGGTTTAACCCGGCAACCTTTCGGCTCAACTTGTTTTCAAGTGTCACCCACACATTATGTGGTACGCAAAAAAGGGTCAGTTTTCACTTCATTGTTACCCATTTATTTTGTGAGTGTGTGTTGATCTATTTGTCTTTCATCCTAATTGTTGCCAAGTGTTTGATTAGCAATGCTAATTGTTGATTATCATCTTGATTAGTTGTTAAATGTCACTGTCTAATACCAACTGTTTCCTTGTCATAATCACAAAGAAAAGGAAAGGAGGAGAATTTTGATTCTCATCATTTATTCATAACTAAAATCTTGTTATCACTGTCATCACTGTAATCATTCTCTATTATTAGTCTTCCTTTTTTTTCTCATCACAAAATTATTGATCATAATTGGATGATGATACATTTGTGTGACATATATGTATACCTTTAAGAGAGCAAAGTGTGTCTCAGTTCATCTTTTTCATTGAGTCAAATATTTTTTTCAACTATAAAATGAGTAAAAATAGGCTCCCTGTTGATGAAAATACAAATACAGATATGTAATAATAATAGTATTAATAACAATGGAGTGCAAACGCCTGTAACCTGCTTATTTATCTTGATTCATAACCATTAAATATTACATATTAATAAATGTTAAATCCATTTAGCACTTATCGTAAACTGAATTTCATCGGCAAATGAAAACAAACTCTAAATATGCCAATTAGATGTATATCATTATAATGATGAAATATCAAAAATCGCAGCATGACGTCCATTTTGAGGTATATCCACTCATAATTGTAAATCGTTTGCTTTACCAAAATTGGATCAATACTTGAAAAATGCTAATAAAGGAAGAGAAGCAAAAAAATGAATAAATATATGAATATAAGATAAATATTATTGAAATGTGAATGTATCAATATTACCTCTTTTTTTCATTTTTAACTTGCTTTCAATTTGTTTCAATTGACTCTTCAGCACACTTTCATTTTTATATCATTCAACTTTAATTTTATCCATTTGTCCTCCTCATCCTTTCATCAATTGATATTATTATTAGCCTGAGTATTGTTTTTAAATTCGTGGGAATAAATTATTTCCATGATTCTTTTCGCCATTATGAGATGACTTTTTTTGTAACATTGTATCTTCACTTGCTTTCAGATTAACTGGTTCATTGGATTGCTTCTCCTCGTTCGGTTCTTGTTTATTTTTCGGGTTAAGGCCACTCATCTGGGTGCGTTATTGGTGTGTTGTGATTAAATTGTCAAAGTTTAAAGCTGAAAGGTCAAACATTTGACCACAAGACAAGATGGTGAATAAATAAAGGTTTAGCTAGGTTAAAGTAAACAAAATGAGAGAGAGAGACAAGAGTGAGATTAAAATGAAAAAAACAAAATAAGCTTCTTGTTGCCTTTTGACACGTGCTACGCGGTAAGAGGTAAAGGCATGAAGGAGTACGCAAGGAGGGCGGAAGGGAGGATAAGGAGGTAGAAAGGTTGATAGGAACACGCGTTTCATCAACAAGTAAAATACGTACTTAAGAGCATAATATAAGTAACATATTAGTTCTTCATTGGATGACGATGAAAGGAGCATGATGAGTTTCTCATATAGTGGAAACCCTGTTCATGTAGTATATGATGTAAACAAATAAAGTTGCAAGATGAAAGATTTGTTGGATGATGAGGATAAAAGTCAATAGATGAGATTTGAGAAAAGATTTCTTTCCCAATTGATATTGAAGTAGCAAGAATGTGAATTGGAATGGGTGTTTGTGTATTTAACGAGATCCCAGCAAACCATCTTAAAAGTCAAGTGGATCATATCATCATCTTGACTTGAGGATCAACCTTTTTCCTGATTATCATTTCATTGAAAACTCCATTCGCTCATATGAGAAACCAAAAATGCCAATCTTTAGTTCAACTTTTTTTTAAAAAGTAAATAAAATGACTTCAATACAAAAATTATTCCAGTGTAATGCTGAGTTTGAATCTTTGAAAAAGCACGAAATCCAAATTATCACAATAAATCTCTAGACTGCCAAATGAAGCCAACACAATCCTGCTCTAATTAACATGAACCAATCGTTATAATAATAATGATTGTAGGCCTGAAAAAAATAACAAAATCTTTTAGTCTAATAATAATGGAAGCTGAACACGCATTAAATAACAAAGCTTACCACAAGATCTAACTTGAGACATTAATAAATGCACAAAAATTAGGCTGAATTGTAAGAATAATAGATACATTGAACAAATCACATTTCAAATAACGAACTGATTGAATATATAAGATATGAACAAAATTAACAATTGAATAATTAACCAAAAACACACGTAAACAACAATAGAAAAGCTAAGACAATTTATTAAAGCAAAAGCAAACTTATTACAGTTTTGCCCGACAGAGGGTCGAGGCGGAAAAACTCGGTCATAGAGAAATTCCATCTGGTGTTTTTACAAAAAAATCACACCCATAGCGGTACATTCCACCGCTTAAGTTTACAAAAGACAATAATAAAAAATTTACATAATTATTTGATTAATGGATTAATAAAATTATTAAATTGTTTAGGTCCTTTTATTAAATCCTTTTGTTCAGGTCCATGTTGATTAAGTATATTGTTTAATTTGAGCTAATTTCTTTGAGTATTGCTGACTTCCTTGCTGAGTGGCTTCAGATAGCCATCCTGAGTTTGACCAAGGTCAAGGCAAACGTCCTGGGGTCAACCATCTCCACCACCCAACATGACCAACACTTGATTAATTCAAAATAAATAATTTTATTGAATAATTTTTTATTAATTAGGTAGTGTTAGACTCATCTTGAGTTATTTAGCTGTGTTTGATCTTTTTGATAAGAATATATTTTTATGAGCTTTTCTGTGTTCGTGGTTTTGATTTCATGTTTAATTTTATTAATCGGTTATTCATTTAATAGTTTACTTGTTAAATTATTTATTTGTATTTTGAAATTGTAATTTGACTGTAAAAAGGTCACCTTCACTACACCTCAATCCTTCTCCTGGTCAGAGTCAGTGGAACACATTCTGAGGTTAAAACGACAAATAAGATCACTTATAATAAATATGTACGAACATTTATAGACAAACACTTTAAACTACAAATAATTAAACAATTATTAATACACAATAAAAGTAAAAAATTTAACGAATCTGTTTCAGTAACAAAGAAATCTGCTTGCGTTTAAGGGGTCAGCCATATATTAAGCTTTGCATTGCATAAAAGCATAAATTGATTGAAGATGTAAATTGCAAAAAAGCATTTAATCATCAACCTTTAACATTATCGTATTTAAATGAGAGCTTTAGACAGGCCCAAGTTTAATAAATATTGAACCAGAAAAGAGAGGCTGAATGAACATGAAGCTCATTGAATAATAAGATAATTACAGAGGAAAGTAAATGGAAGGATTGAAAGTTAACAAAAAAAAGCAAATCATACACAGTATTAATAATAGAAGATGAAAGACTTGAAATGATGAATCAAAATCAACAACAGATAGCAGAAAGAAATGGCGATGTAATAATAATAGTAATAATAATGATAATAATAATGATGAAGATAGTGTGTCAACTTTTCTGTCCTTTTTTGTCGATTTGAAATTTCTTTTTTTTCCCAAGTAATTCTTTGACGGATTCCTAATATAGCCCAAAGCAATGTTAGGGAAATACAGCAAAATACAGAAGAAGAGAGAAGATGAAAAGAACAAAAAACTCCTATATAATCATCATCATCATCTCCATCTTCATCTTCTTCATCAATGACAATCTTATAATCTGTTTCCTCTTTCAAACCTTCACTACTAACTGCTATTAAAACCTTATTCAACCCCTAAATTGTGATCAAACACACAATACTCCTACATCATCATCATTATTATCATCATCATCTGTTCAGTAAGAAAAGATCAATTCTGAAAGAAGAAGAGAAAAAAAGATCAAAAGTTGGATGATGATGAAGATGATGAAGGAAGAGGAAATATTTTTGTCAACTAAGCAATGATATTTGATAATACATATTTAGTAATATCTTTCAATATGAAAAGGTTTGGATGTAAAACATTTTCACACTCAACTAAGCAACTGATATGCGCTTTTAATCAAAACCAATTGCATTTATTTCCACCAAATTATCACTAATCACATCTCAATCATTTACAATCATTCAAGATGATTAAAGAAGTGATTTGAATCAAAATCAAAAATATAATTCTCATACAAAAATATTTGCTTTTGTCAATCCTTTCACTTTCATCTTTTCACAAAAACAAATCTTTGCTTTTCTTGTATTGTCTTACCTTTTCCTGATTTAATTGCTGCTGATTAAACAATTACCTTCACAATTGTTTCCTATTGTAATCTTAACAATTACAATGATTGCTATTATTATTAAAATAAATGAACTTGTTGACAATTTTTCAAGTTAAAAACATTTTCAAATTTCCTTACTTCACAACAAACGCTTGTTTACATATATTTTGTGTCAACACTTTGTCATTATAATAGAAGCTAATAATAGCGAATAATAATGAATAATAAAACTACAATCAGTTGAAATGAAGATGATTATTGTTCAGCAAAAATCATGAAAAGCAGAGGAAAAAAAATAATAGTCATAAGAATGAGAAGAAAAAAACTAAAAGTAAAATGAAAATGAATGCAAACACAAGACAAAAAAATTTCATTCAATTTACCCTAAGGTAACTCTTTCCTCATCCTCATCCTCATCCTTATCATCTTGATCATCATCATCATCATCATTATAATGGAAGAATCTTTTTGTTCAGGAAACTTTTCATTCCCTGTTGTTGATGTTTTCAGTTTGAAATAGCAAATATTGTAACCCTAACCTTGCGGGAGAATCCATTAAATGGTTATTTCTTATGTTGCTATTCAGTCTTTTTTACATATTCATCTTTAACCATCTTCAATCATCATCTTTTCATAAATGATAAATATATAGAGTATATAATTCTGTTGATGATGATCATGATGAACATGAAACATTCATTGTCTTCCCTAATTTGCTAATAATCAGGTGATCACGATTACAACTCCTTAAAGGCAATGGAAATCATTTTCATCTTAAAAATGAATTTTCTGTGAAAAAAACATTTCATTCATCTTTCAACATTCAACAATCAATCCAATCACTTAAATATATTCAAATTTCAATAAACGATTAACAGTTAAATCTTTCACTTTGCTTTGTTGGTTTTGATTTCACTTTAATGTTAATCAGTTTAATCTGATCTAATTTGGATTCATTTCAATCATTAATCAACCAATCAGCCGACAATAAATTTAACTTTACCAATATTCAAGAGTTCAACTTTTTATGCTTTTTTCTTGCTTTATATTGCCTTTTGAATTGATAATTAGTTGATCAACAAGTTGATCCAAAGTTAATCTCGATGTTAATCAATTAGGGATTGAACTGAACTGCACCCACAGAAAAGGTGAACATGATAAAGATTATTATAAGTTGAGTTTAAGGTAAAATGTAATTTGCAAGTGAAAAGATGATCAACTTTTTGGATCCATTTTTGCTGGCTTTTACCTTCTTTGAGCTTCTGGTTTTCAATTTTTCTTGACAAATCTTGAAATATTTTCTTCCATCATTATCATCAATATCATGTTCAGGATAAATTGATTTTCAAAAGTCATCAAAGTTTATCCAGAAACTCAATAATTTGAAACATTCTGTCTAATGACATTTCAACCCACTCTTAAAATTGGGTTTGAGCCTTTCAACTTTATATTGAAATCTAATCATTTCTGATTTCATTAGTTTCAACCTAATCATTATCCTGATTTTACTCAATCTTTGGTTAACTTTTAACCATTAATATGATTTTTAATTACAATCCATTTTAATGGTTATTTTAGCAGTCAATTAGTCTGTTAATCATTCACTACCAGTTGAATTGTTGCTATTTAACGCTTTTTGCCTTCCAATTGTTTTTTGCATCTTTTGGACAATTTGAAAGTTGATTGCTTGTCATTTACAGATTCATTGATTTAAATTAAATCGGAAATTAGATTTGAACGTTTTCCAAATCACATCATTTAACATTGGACAGTTCACTGAGTCGATGGTTTGCCTCGTTGTTTTTATGGTCAAACCTGACTGATACAAAACTCAGTCAACTGTTAAGATGATTACAAACACCAGAATCAAATTCAATATTGATCAATACAATTTCCGAATTTCTTCTTCTTCTTCTCGCTCCTTTTATCTCATTTTTTAATTTAATTTTGTGATCAAACTAATTGAATACAATGAAAATTGTTGAACAAGCCTGAAGGCTTTAAAGTCTGATCATCAAGATGATGATGAACAACCAAAAAACCAAGTCAATGTTTTATTATTGAATAAAATGTCTACTTTTTTTGAAACATTTCAACCAAAAAATAGAAGGAAAAAGTTTAGTTGAAAATGAACAAAAATTTAATTTAATTGTTGTAGAGACAAGCAATTTAGATCAATATCAATAGCAAAATGAAACTATTGAGAGCATATTAAACCCAAAAATTACATCAAAATGCACCTTAACGTATTCATTAAAGTGTTCATTAAATATTGATTGAAAATTTGTTTAAGATTTTGTGTTTAGGAAACAATTTAATGCAATTTAGATCATTAAAATCTAAGGTTAAGGTTAATTTTATTAAATCCATTGTAAAGGCTAAATTGCTTAACCTGACTTTTCAACCTTTCAAGTGTATTTCTGTATTTGGGGTTCCTCTTTGATTGCAATTATGATTATTATTAAAACGATTAACCATTGAGACAATCAATTCAAGTCAATTATCAACATTTAATCTTCTTCTGGTCATTTTAACAATAATTTAAGGTTGATTCTGGGAAATTATTTAATAACATTTAGTTTGCTGGTGCAATTTTTATTGCGTGTTAATTCATAATCAATTGTAACGAAAGATTGTTAATCATTTTCAATGTTAATTCAACTTGATTATCCATAATTATAAATATAGTCTCAGGTTAACAGCGCTTCAACATTAATTTTGATTATAAGATTTAGAGTTAATCTCGTTCAGAATTGAACATTTTTCACCATCAGATTTATATGTTAATCAGAAAGGAACTGATTTGCTTATCTTCTTAACAACAATAATGGTTAACTTAGTGATCAGATCGGAATTATGTTAATATAAGATTCAACAATTTCAATTACTATTGAATGAAATGTTTTAAATAACAATTTTTACATTTTTGTGATTTCATTTAAAAAGACATTTTAAATTTTCCAATTTTAACATTTGACAGTCATAAGAGTTAATTGCATTTAGAGATGGACAATTAGGTAATTAGTTTTAATCAAAATTTCATTAAAACATCGATTTATCGACTACAACCGATGAATCGATGTAATCACCCACCCTAATTGCGTCTGATTGGTTGGTACAATTTTTTGTAAGATTGGTGCGCTTTTGTTTATGCTTAGTAACGGTTAACCGTTTCTTTTTTTTGTTTTAACTTTTGCTTTTTTGAATTAATTAACTGTTTTAATTAATAGACTATGATGACAATGTTTGTCTTAATTTATCCTAATTTTGTCATCACATCAGTTTGTCATCTTCTTTTCTCATCCATTCCAGTCTTCCTGTTGGATAATCATTTTCCCTGGCTTACCATTTTGGCGCATCACCTTTAATGCTGCTATTGTTGTTTTTATTTTTTTCATCTTCTTTCTCATGACCCTACAACTTTGGATGTATGGACTGGCAGCATGAACCCAGAAAAGACATTGGATAATCTTAAGGGTTATACAAGGATAAAAGAAACGCTTAAACCATCAACTGATTATGATTAGAATGATGAGTTGATGATGGGAAGTGTGTAACTTTCAAGTGGACATAAGTTTATTGTTATACAGTCGAGATTCAATCAGTTATGGTGTACAAGGAGAAAGACCAAAAAAAGGTTGAATGAAAACAGAATTGTTTCCATCAAAAAGACAGCTACAGTTGACGAAGATAATGATAGTGATAAGTTTGTTGTACACTATTATTTGAGATTGTTCATCTTCAATGGTTAATCGTTTAGATCAACAAACTGACCTCAAATTGATTATCCCGTTGGCCTTTTTATTTCTCCTCTCTTTTACCCTTACAATGGTAAAGGGTAAATATTGGCTATTTACTCCTTTTTTGCCTTCCTTCCTATCGTCACCACTATCATCCTGGTCATCATCATTTGTCATTATCAATTGTCCAATCGCGCTCAAATCAATATTAAAAGGTATATCAAGTATATTAATTGTAGTTTATTCAATTAGATTTATTGCTTTTATTTTCATCTGCTTCTCACTAGTAGCAAATCGTTAACCCTTTTTCATAATCATAACAGTAACAAAAGACTGCAATAATGTTGATCATTTAACATAATCTTTCCCCTTCCTTTCACTCACAATTAAATTATTCTAGTTGATTTAGTTGTACCACGAAAACCTGATGGTCAGCTAGTGTGTTGGTAACAAGTTGATATTAATAAGACAAGAAATTCAATCAAATTCAATTAATAGCTGCTAATTCAATTTAAACTTTATTCTTGTTCCTGTAATCCTTTTCCTTGCATTATTGATTCACTCAGTATATATTAAACCATTCTTATCATTTTATATTGGTGAGACAAACAGTGTGATCATCAAATTAAATTATATTTTGTCCAAACCAAAATCACCTTAAGAGTATTATCATTGAGAGAGTTGACCAAGCAAAGGAACAGGCAAATTTAAATCAAATAATGTTAACCAGGCAGAATTAAAATGCGCAATAACTCAAATAAGACAATGATCAATAGCTCAATTCATTGCAATCAATCTATCAAAGATAATATCTTTCAATTCCAAGTTTTAATAACCACCAAATAAAAAAGCAAAACTCAACCCCAATCGATAATTAGAGCTAATTCAATATTTTTTTTTCTTTTTCAGCTGAATCATGATTAAACTTGGACTCGGAGCTTCTATATTGAAACTATTTGTTTGGTGGAATTTAAAATTAGATTAATGTTTACACTTGATGGTTACCATTATTATCAACACAAAAATCAACAGCAAGGTAAAGAAAATCAAAAATTGTTATCTTCCTATCAAGGCCACCCTGATTGAATTAACTGAAAAATCAATTGTTGAAATTAAAATTGATATAAGATTGTAATATAATCAGGTTGAAATGATTTAACAAGAGTAAGTACAAAAAGTCTAAAGAAAACTCAGAAACTAATTTTTTTTTCCTCTCTTCATCATTATCTTAGGTAAGAAAGATTATTTGGAAGACCAGATAACCATTAATCATCAACCTGAGAAGATATTCAAGAAGACGATGGTGAAGATATTGATGCTACTGATGAAGATGATGATGATGATGGCGTAAGCAAAGTAAAAAAGCAAGGAGAAAAATGGCCAAATATAATGATCTTTTCATAGACAGAAGATAACTAATGGGATGAAAATGCATTAAATAATGGTCAAAGTGAAAAGTCAACTGGCCCTCCTCATTCTTCTCGTTCTCATCTTATCCTCCTCATCTTAATTTTCATCTTTCTTCATCAACTCACAACAGGCAAAGGAAAAGAAGGAGAAGAAAAAATTATCAATATTTTTCAACTTTTTACAACAGATTAATTGAAGTGTTCAGAGGCTCCTGTAAGAGAGAAGGCAACAAATTTGAAGTGAAGAGATGATGATAAAGAAGGAATAAGTGATAATGATTAGTGAAAGAAGAGAGAGAAAGTAAAGAGTTTACCTTGTTAATAATTGAAAGTTTCACTGGAGCAATTATCATTTCTATTAATTCAATTAATTTACCTCGCAAAGGTTGTACTCGCTCTGGACCGGCTAGCCTGCTACAGCATTGTAAAAGCAGGGAGATTCTTAAATCTCCGAAGATGGCGTTACCAAATTTGACAATCTTTGAACAATTTTTCTTTTCCTTCAAATTATGATGATAATTCATTTTAAAATGAACATTTTTTACCTGTTTTTTGCTCCTTTTTCTCACTCTCTCTAGTTCTATCTCTCTTGCTCTTTAATGTTAAATTAGAAGCTGTAAAATAAATAATCATAATGATAATGATAATAACATTACAAATGTAATAAATCTTACCACGACAATGATGATTATCACTAACTTTACCTGGCCTAACCCTAAGTCTTTCAAGCACAAAACCAATGTTGCTAACAGGTACAAAAAAACACACACAGAGATATTCACATTAAAGGTACATTAAGGCACAAATGTGTTTAGTATTAATTGAATAAATTGTATATGCGAAATAAATTGTTACAAATCTTTGTTTTCATCTTTTCTCTTTCACTGTTTCAGTGTAAAATTAAACATGGCGCGCAAAATAAAACCGTCATAATGACAATAACACTTTACATTACATTTTTAAACACTACATTTTTTGTTAACATTACATTTGATTAAACTAGTCTTTCGTGATTATGTTGATGATAATGATCAAGATGATTGTGATGACCAGGAAGATGTGTGTATTTATACATTGTTCATGCTTGTCACGGCTACTTAAACCCATTCCATCTTTACCTCTTAACTCTTACTCTTTTACTGTCGCTGTTGTCATTTGTTTCTCAACAGTTTTTTCAAATCTTATATAAAAGGTGTAATGAACGTTTAACATTTTGCCTCAAATTAACTACTAATGAAGGTACTAATGTAGATCATCATCAACTTATGAACACACACACAATTAAAGTTAATTACGAGGTGTATCATATGTATATTTATGTGTTAAGGGAAAAAAAAGGATTTAATGTGGGGAGACAATTTGTTGTTGCTGTTGTTGTTGCTGTTACCTCTTTTGTTTAACCTGGTAAAGTAAGTTGTTATAATTTTATTATTAACAAAACTGCCAATTGAACTACAATTAAACTACTGTTAAGTGCTACATTATTATCATCATTATTATGATTGTGATTACATTCATCTTTTTTATATATTTGCAGGGTAACATTCAAACAAACAATGAAAGCATAATTGTTGACTCTGGCTTTACCTCTCTTTTAATGTTTATCAAGCAAGCAAAGCAACCTTTTATACATTCTTCTGGTTTTATATGGATGTAATGGCAAGCAATCATCATTCGTTAATGATTATAATTATCCAAAGATTATAATTAAAAGACCAGTGGATAGTTTGATTAACATTTCACCCATGAGATGGTTTCTTAATCAGTTACATTGTCTTGGCCAAGTCTATCAATGTTTAATGTACAAGTAACAAGTGTATGTAACAAGTATACATTTTACACGTTAGGGTTTGCACTTGAAATGAGCTGAGCAATCAGCTGGAATTAATACAATTGAATTTAATAACATTATTAGATTACAATTTATCTATATAAAAGTAAATAATTCAAATTGTTCTTTTTCCTTTTTTTAGTTCATCTCCCAGCCGGTCAATTGTGTACATCTATTGTGCTTTTCATATAAAATATGGATGTCAAGCATAGCTCTTCGAGTGACTGCATAATATTGCTGAAAATATTTGATGTAATACTTTAACTGCTTCAATTATTTTGAATTATGAGTTATTCAACAAACAAATGTAAGTACAATTCATTTTTCACCCTAAATTTTATTGATAACTGTTCCTATTCTCATACGATTATTTTTGTTTTGTCTTTCAGCTTCTCTCTCCAGGCTTAACCAACTGCTCAAATCATATTAATGCATCGCTATTTAATCGTCTTTTCAAGTCTTTACATGGATCAGGCTAAATCTTGACCAGAACTGAGAGTCGCCAAAATGTTGTGACTACCAGTGAACTTGAGGATAACATATGGGATGATTGAGCTGTTCACCTTACCTTAAAATCTGAATGATTCCTAATCAGCAAATTAAGCGACTTTGGATTATCATTAATTCAGTTATTACCATTCCATCCATCATAATTATGTACCATCTGATAGGGAATCAAAGTCTTATTAAGATCATGAGACGATTAGTGTAATTACTTCGCTATGATAACAGCAATGGAAACAATGTTTGATTAATCTGACTATATTAATGTAACAATACAAGTTATTGTTACACGTTTAAAGTCAAATATTTTGATCAATTTTAATGATGAATCGATAGCACATAAATCAATCAATATTATTGTTTTTTAGTATCAATTTAACGAGTTAATACAACATTCAATTTGATTTATAAGTATTGATGAACAATGTTTAATTTGTAGGTAAAAAAGTATTAGGCCTACAATTAACTTGAACAACTCAAACCGCCCATTAAAACCTCCCAATTTCATGTAAACAACAGCATCTTCAACCAATTTTAGGTATTTTTCAACTAATTTTGATTTCCTTTATTTTCCTTCTTCTCTCATCATAATGATGATGTTGATGGTTATGATGAAAGGCTGTCAACATTTACTTTTATGGCTAAAATAGATTATTAACTTAATACAATTTAAATGATGATCTGTTAACGAATGTTAACTTGATTGTTGGATATCAATATTACAATATCGATTTCAGTGTTAACTTTGCGCAAAATAATGGGTAAAATGTTTCCATTTTTTGCTGTTATCCTCTTGATTATATTGTTAATTTGATAGTAATTTAGATTAATACCTTAATCTGATGTATAAAAGGGTATTAATAAAATTATATTATATTCAATCAATCAAATTAATTAAAGGTTTCAAGTTTAATATGGTTTTATGTAATCATCTTTTCCAATCACCAACAGCAACAAACAAACACTTCAACAATCATCTTAAATATTTCATTGGTATTATAATTAATCAGTTAAGCATTTAGTGATTTAAAGCATCAAAGTTAACTCCTATTAAAATCATAATCACTGTTAATCACAATTAGACAGTAAAAATGACTTTAAATGAAGTAACCAAGAGTCATCTTCATGAGGTAAACTCTTAAATGAAACAAAAAACCAGAATTAACCCATTCTTGATCACAAATTTTCACAACAATCAATTATCATTCATTTATAATTGTATAATTGATTGTTACTTATCATCATGATCATTATAATTATTAACTTTTATGCTTCTGATTATGATTATTAAAAAATATGATCACAACAAGAACAAGAAAATGATGTTAACCCGATTCTTAGCCGTTTAAAAGCAAATACAGCAAATCAGAGTAACCTTATAATTGCTTGACTCTCTCAACAATTTATACTCAACATGACAGAATCAACAATTACAGGCCAACAATTTCAGCCTAAAGGTAAATAATATTAAACTAATATTATATATATAATAACTATATGTTGAGATTAATTATTTTTTACTCAACCTATACCTTTTAATCACAATTAAAGACATTGATCAATCGTAAATATTGGTTATAACCTTCAATGCAATGTGATAGGAAACTTGATCAAAGATGAACAGAAACAAAAGGCCATTTATTGTATTCAATTGTAAATTGTTAAAATTGATAATTTGATAAATTTTGAAAATTCATAAATAATCATTTTGTAAATGGATTTGAATTTGGCAGAATCGCGAAACCCATTGATCAACTTGTAATAACAATGGGTGAGAAGATTAGGTGATGAAAACAAATGTGATTCTTGTTTTTGTTTCTCATTCACCAAACCTTATATTGTTTGTTTTCATTGATTCCTGTTGATTATTATTATCATTATTAACATTATTAGTGTTTATACCTTTAATACAAATGAAAGGCTGAATGGGAAAAGGTAAGAAATTGTTTTAATAAATGTATTTTAATGTTTAATTTGCCAATCCCACTGAACTCTCCTCCTTTTCACTGTAACTTGTGACTTTGTATACATTGCTATTATCTTGATGATTATTATCAAGGCAAGGCAGAATCGATTGAAAATTAGGAACAATCGTTCAATTTTTCAGCATAAACTATATTTAAGTTGATAATTATTTGATAAGATGAACTTGCCTGATCAAATTAACTCCATAGCTCTAAAATTATGCGATTTTCTTCTCCTAATTTTAAATCGATTCTGCCTTGCCTTGATTGTTATTACAATTGCCTAACTCCACCTACTTTCTTGAAGATGATGGTGAAAATGATGGTGAAGATGATGGTGAAGATGATGATAGTGATGGTGAAGAGGAAAATGAAGAAGACGATGAAGAAAATGTTGAAGAAAATGATGAAGAAGCTTGTAAGAAGCAGTAAGCAGTTGAGAAGAGAGGAGTTAATTTACCACTCCTTTTCATGTTGATGAAGATAATTAATTGACATTTTATTCAGATTAAAATATCGTTTACTTAATTATAGAGGATCGGGAATTTGATTAAGTTTTGACTTGGGTCAAGATTTATGATGACATCAAATAAAACACATACCAATATGGACGACAACCTCGCCAATAATATTTTTCATGGAAATTTTTTCAATATTTTTGACTTTTCCATTTTTCAATTTGCGCGCTTTACTTTTCCATACGATTCTCATTGGTTGTCAATGTTGTTATGTTAATGTTGTCGGCGTTTTGTTTCACTTTATTTCAACTTTTGATTTCTGTTTAATTTTTTATATTTTATTCAACTACTTTTTTTAATACATTTTAATTGTGTTCCTTTTAATTTTGTGATTATTATGAATCTCTCTTTGCCTTCTTTATTCACCTTAATCATTATGATTACCTTATTAAGTGAAAAACGAGTGAGTGAGTTAATTAATGTACTGCTATTGAAGGTTAGAAACAAGTTGAACTATTATTATCTTTAGCATTTTTTTCGGTACCTGAATGTTAATGTTTACTAATGAATATTTAATCGCAACGAGAAGAGAGAAAGTTAATCATTTAACATTGATTTCTATTGCTATTATTTAATGGTAATAAAATAATAAATATAATCATAATGATAATAGTGGTAATCATAATAAGGGAATAATCAAGGAGAAGAAGACAAAAATCTTTTTTTTGTGTGTTCGCTTCGCTTTTCTTTTGCGATGCTTTGGTTGCAGTTTTTTCTTGAATTGGTCCAATGTAATCAACTTTTTTGCCAACCCAAAATTTCATTTATATTTTCTGGTTAAATAGAGTAATAAACAGAAGGTAAAAGATGATGTTAATTAAAACGGTTTGGTTTGGATCTAATTAACTGATAGTGAACGCTAATTAAAAGCAAATCAACAGTAAAACCTCTTTTGCTAGTTAATTAAACATCAAGTAATTTTTATTTAGTTTAGTGAGTGAAAAAACGACAAGAGATGCTGATGAAGTTGATCTTGATTATAAAGACTATGGTGATAATGATGGAGTAAAAATTAAGCTAATAATTGAAGATGTGATTGCTTGATTGTAGGGAGTGAAAAACTGTTCAACTAAAAAATAGGGAAAAAACTAAAACAACAATTTACTCAATCAATAACAATTGTCAGTGATCAGTTTGATTAGTTTCAATAGTAATTTTCGCTAATTACAACACTCTGGTATGCCGTGTTTAAACAATGTGATAAATAATCATTCCCAGTAGCAATTAACATTGGTAAGCAAATGATTTCAACTAACTTGTTTAACTTGATTGAATCACAATTTATACACTCATGTTTCATTAACTACACCTTTCTTAATTTCTTTACAGCAATTACAGAAACTATGATAAATTGGATTTCATGAAGCAACAATAAGAGTTGGATTTCCATTGTACATCATTATAATCAATCAAAGGAATGGATAATTATTACAATGTTCACTGGAAGAAGCTTAACCAATGGATGGCTGCCGTTGATTGTGATGATAATTCAGATGATTATTGTAATCGTGATTGTTGATTGAAACTGATAAAAGGCCTGTTTAATGATGAGTGGGTTAAGTTTATCAACCAATCGAGAAGTAGAGAAGACCAATCTGATTAAATCATTTAGTGTAAAAATGACCAGGTAAAAACAAGGTAAGATTACAGACACACAGAAAGGCATAATTATAATGTTTAATGTTTTGTTTTGTTTTTTACCTATGATATTAATAAAGGTCTGTGACCTTTTTACAACAATTTCAATGATCAGTTTTCAATGAGAAAATTATTCAGCCTCAAATGTTGATCATCATTTTCTCATCATCTTCAGAAGCAACTTCATGTAGTAGCTATTATTAACAGCAATTATTAATGAAACCAAACAAAGTTAAAACAGAATCTTGTGAAAGTAATTTTGATTTGAGGCGCAGTTTCGATGATTTGATTATTATGAGTATTATTATTTTGTTTATTATTACTGGACAAATGAGAGTAAACAAATTGTTTTAACTACAGCAAAATGAAAATGAACGCAACAGAGGAAGAGAGAGTATTTTATGTTCATTTACCTGCCTTTTGCTAGTTATTTTATCTTCTATCATCATCTTCACCATTCTTTTTGTTTTACCTTGTTTCGTTTCATTATACTTACCATCATTATTAACATTATTATTATTGCCTTGCAAAAAAATCAAATTTATGAGCGTGATTCTAATCGTGAACTGATTTGCTTACAGATGATCATCTTGATTTACTTGAGACGCTTGGATGTTGTCATTGCCTCTATGGAACCTCGCACCCAAATGTAATATGTGGTGGTAAAGAAAGGCTCAAAGTAATCAATTGTAATAGTTAATTAAGATGGAACCATAAATTGCTTTCACCAATTAACCAAGGAATACTTTAACTTCACTTTAGGGTATTGAGATTGAAAAGAAGCAAATGAAAAGCCAAAAAAACTAACATGAAACAAAATAGTTGAGATTAAGCCGATGATGAAGATATCTTCATTATTCAGTTTTGTTTGTTAACAACATTCAGCTTTGTGTCACAATCACAATTTACTGATTGATAAATTCATTGCCTAAGATGTCAATTAAAAAAAACACATTCAATTGCCTTGATTTTTAAACATTTAAATCTTTATTTTTGGGTTGGAAAGAAGATTGAGATGAGAGAAAAAAAGAAGGAAAATTCAATGTTAATTGAACAAGAAGCAATTCATCTTAATAGTAACTTGTTAGTTAAATCACACATACTTAATTGACTTTTCTTGTATTTCTTTTCATGTTTCCAGGTTTATCTTTGTTTTAATGCAACTTTAATTCATTGTCTTTCTAATTTGATTCACCAACTAATCAAAGTTTAACGATATTAGACATTTCAATGCTTTTGTAATATTTTAATGTTACCCAACTGAACAAATATCTTTCAATTAATGATTCAAGAAATTAAGTAACAACAAGTTGATTATTTTAGCTTCAGTTTTGGTTAATCATCAAAATTAATTGGACTGTCAGTTGAAATGTTTAATGGTTTGTCTCGTCAATATAATTAAATTAGTTTTAATTGAAGATTGATAATAATAAACTATGAAAAGCGAATCAATCAAAAAAACAAAAAATTGGGAAAATTTACAATCAAATAGACAACAATTTGCAATTTCCAATGTTAACGTTAATTTTGTTGAGGTTAATCTTCTTCAATAAATAACCACTTTTTTAACTAGTTTAGTGACAATCGAGTAATTAAAGCTGATAAAAATACTTCAATTAAAAGGTTAGTTGAACATTAAGACATGAAAAAGTGGTGAACAGTTAGCATGGCGATTCTGTATCTCAAACTAATTAAAATTATCACATCAATGTTTATCTGATTTATTAATATGAATGAGAACTGAAAAGCTGTTACCAAAAATTTGGATTAAGAAGCTTAATATAAATAATAACATAACCTTAATAAGAGACTTTACTATTACAATATTGTTTGCATTAAACCCGAGTCTAGTTAATCTTTATTTTGACAATTATTGAATAAACGCTCATAGATTAATATCTAGGCTTGTAATTGATTTAGTTGTTTATTCAATCCAGTTTTGCATTGAATCTTATTTTTCATCATCATGAGTCTTCCCTTTTTGAATAAACCGCTTGCCTTTTGAGCTTTTGCTATCTATTCTAGAGCCATCTATTGGTTCGCATTCAAAGGGATTTTATTTATTTAATTTATTGATACAATATACTTTTTTAGTTAAACTGAAACAAAATATTTTAACTGTTGCATTATTCATTAGTCTAAACAAACATTCCTTTTTTGGTCCACACTTTGCATATTTGGACCAGTTTATCTGAATTAACAATATTATGTTCTGTCGTTAATGTATTTCGTGTCTTCATTTCATCCTTTTTGTGTGATATCAACTTTGATTAATTTAAATTTTGGTTACTCTAAAGTTCTTTCATTATGGAAATATTGCTGTTTTCTCATGCCTGTGACTCTCGATCATGTTCTGGAAAAACTCTGTTTTTGTCACTCAGTTTCCATCTCTTTTCCTTAAATGGGTCGTGTACTTAGTTTGTCCTTTTAATTTAATCAATTCAAGATTGGCGGGTGACGACTAATAGAAGCTAACTGGTGTAGGCATGTGTGAAGCATGATTTGCCTTTAAAGATTCAAAGTTTGTATGTTGATTGTAATGAAATCCCATTTCTCAAACTTATTTCTGTTATTATCAAGTTAACTGGTTTTTGCACGTTTTTGTTCATCCATTTGTCGTCATCTAAAGATTGATTTGTCAAAATGTCCAATCATTTGAATATCATTGTTGAATTTAAAGGTGGAATGGAGCTATTATTTGATAACGTTACCAAGAAAGAGTTGTCTTTGCCTGTGAATAGTGGTGAGGATGGATCAGCTCCGGTAGAGTGGACAATCAAAGATTTGATCAATCATTTGAAAGAAAAACATTTAAAAGAACGACCTGAACTGTTTGTTAACGATGATTCTATTCGTCCGGGAGTTCTTATTTTGGTTAACGATGTTGATTGGGAAATATTAGGAGAAAATGAGTACAAATTAGCTGATGGTGATAAAGTACTCTTTATTTCGACTTTACATGGTGGTTAAATTGTTATGTTGATAATTACGTGAACATGATGATTTTTATTTACACTATTGCAACATCATTGTGAATCCAATTAAAGGTTAATACGAGAAAAGGTTCTTTTTTAAAGATAAAATGAACAAACTGAATTAAAATTGAAAACAAAAATTAACTGAACATTGTCGATATAGTTTTAGTTATTGAGAGGATGAAGAATGAAGAGTAAGCAGTTGAAGGGGCATCTTCAGAAAACAAAGTTGATCAGGTATAAGTGCATGATGATTTCCTTTTGCTCTGGTCTCTTCAAAATTAAATGGACTTGTGAATGTGTTGATAATGGATGGTGACATTAATGACGACGGCGGTGGTGGTATCAATGTTGATGTAATTTAGATATGATGATAAGGACTAACTTTCACTCGCAAGCTTGGGTAAGGAATTGCACAATTACAGGGGAGAAGCTTGCTTGTTTTTTCTTATCAGAGTACATCTGTAATAATTGTAAATTCAATGAGTCGATTCATCAACTATTCGAATAAATTTCGGCTAGTAAAAATTTCTCTTGAAAAAAACACATTCGTATAAATGACAAATTGGCAACTTTGGGAGAAAACGATAGAGAAAGTGTAATGTCACTTTTGTAAATATGAGAGAAGAGCAGGTACATTTTAGATTCCAATCGTAGACACTTAAACCATCAACTGGACTTAACACGGTAATCGACCAACAAAAAATTTGCTATTTGGTTATTTCTTCCTTATGACTAGATTAATCGTGACCTCAATTTCGTATCATTTGTTCGTCAAAATTTGTTTGTTTACATTCATTTCCATGATGACCATAAGCACCACAATTATAACAGCTAACTACAGAGGATTTGGCAGTCTGGAATGTTGCCGCTGCCGCAACTAGTGAATTAACCCCAGTCGTAATAGGTGTTGGCATTCCAGTGAAAGGACTTGCGGTTATTGGGCCATTAGGAGCTTGAAAATGTGGCCAATAGGGTGTTGTAGAGGCTGCTGAATTACCGAACGTTGATGCTGCAGCGGCCATGGCTACAGCGTAATAATAATTAAATAATTGTTCTGTTGCTTGAGCTGGTGAAGTGTAACCATTAATGAGAGGAGCTTGAGTAGGTATGGGAGGAGGGGGAAAATAGAACCAATAAGGATGCATAGGAGATGTTGACATAGTTGTTGGTTGAGCAGAGACTGTCGATTGCCCAGAACCGACATGATTAATAGGATGTTGACCAGATAGTGCGGTTGGCGGCGGTGTGGATGAAGGTGTAGTGGCTAGTGAATTATTGTTACTAAAATTACATGTGCATTTGTAAGAACAGCTTTGGCAACTTGTTGTGGCTATTACTGGGGTCGGTGAATGGCCTTTAATAGCAGATGATTCAATTATTGTTGTGGTTGTTGTGGTAAGAGTAGGAGGGGGAGGAGGAGCTGGTAATGTTTTTTGTGTTTCACTAGGTAAGGGTATACAGCTTGTTTTGTGATCACTTAGGGTTGATTTAAGAGATAGTTTACTAGTTAAATTGACAAGTTGAGATTGATTTAAATCTGTAATGGATGTTGTTGGTGGCACAACCGGGATATTGGGAGGAGTCGAGGAAGAGGAGAGAGAATTAGCTGAGGCAGTGGCTGCCGCAGCAAACATAACAGCATCCATCCATTGTTGGACTTTTTGTAGCTGTTCGCTGAGAAGAGTTTGTTGATCAAACGTGAAAGCTGGATGATGTATAGCTAACGTATGGAGTAAAACAATCTCTGAATAGAATTTATTATCCAATACAAGATGAGAATAGCCAAGTTCATTGGATTGACATTTTATATTGTGATGTATAGTTGGTGACTCTTTAGCACCAGTTCCTGATTTACCAGAAACTGAATTAAGAGTACAGGAAGGTGTCTGAGTCCCATTTGTATAACTATTTGCCGTCGATGAGTCCATTACAGATCCAAATAGATGGCGAGAAATATTTTCAAGGCAAAGTTGACTTCGGAAAGCCTTGTACACTAAAGTGGCACAAACGCGATTTGTTGAATTCAATAAGCACAGATATACAACAATCTTTGATCGAACAGAGCTCAAATGTTTGTCCATTGAATTTGTGTCATTGTTATGAATCGATACACTTCCACCATTCATTGGAATAGATTGATTCACGTTACCATTACAGATTCCGCCAGTATTAATATTCATAGATTGACCATTAGTTACATCACCAACATGATGGTGATCATCTGGCTGAGGTCCTATATCAGCAGCGAGCCAATCTAATTGGGTGAGTTTTTCTAGTTCTTCTAATGAATTTGCTTTGATTTCTGCTTCTTTAAGCGAATTGTAATCTCTTTTAGCAGCTTGTTCGAGAAAAGTAGCAAAGAATCTCCATTCCAAGGGTATACAAAGGTTAAGGAGACCACACATCAGCTCTATTCGTTTCCCACCAGAGAGTTTCTTAAACCAGTCAAAAACATCTTCTTTACATATTACCACCATTTTTAATCAAGAAAAAAACCGTTGAATGGTATTTGAAGCCGTTTAGTCCTGGTTAAATAACAAAAACTTCCTATTTGCGTCTGTTCAACTGTTGCTGTATAATAGTGTTAAATGAACTCAATGTTGTATCCAAAAAAATACAATAAATTAAAACCTGCAAAAAAAAGGAGGACAAGATAAGAGACAAAACATTATGGTTTTAAAATACTTTAAGGTGTGTGAGAAGTAACTGAAAATGTTCATTAAAGGAAGTCCGAAAAGGAATGGAAAGAAAAATTTGAAGGTTAGTCATTCACATGGAAAAAAATGCACCGGTGAGTAAAAAGAAAGAAAGCATTGAGAGAGAAAGAAAAGAGAAAGTGCGAAAGTGAGAAAGTGAGAGAGAGAGTATGCAAAAATAGTAAAAGTGAGAAATAAAAAAGAGTCGGAATTTTACCTGAAATAATTGGATTAAAGGTGAAAATTTAGGATATAAACCAGACCAGATCAATCATATAGTCAAAAAAGTGGAATCCCGTAAGATGAAATCAAAAATTATAAATGAAAAAATTAGATGAGTATCAAAATTTAGTTAAATTAGCGAGTAAATGATTATGGTGTATAAATGTATAAGTGTGGATTTATCACCAATCTCACTGTTTTTTAAACGTTTGTTTACTTATTTTGTTGTAGTAAACTGTTCGAACCAAAGAATAAAAAGATAGGAAAAAAATAACAGAAAATTGAATTCTTTGATGGTAGAATAATTCACTAAAGAGAGTTATGAAAAAAATCAAATGATTCACGTTGACTATAAACTGTTGAATGATTATTCAAACAAATTTAAGATTATTACTTTAATCTATTAATTTTACAATAAATATAAATAGGCAAATTAAATTAATAGAGAGTCCAGTACTGGAGCATTGAGCACAGATGGAGCTGTTTTGTACTGCATTGATAAATCGATAGATCTCATCGATACTTACTAGAAAAATTGTTATCGATAATCGAAAATGCTCTTAGCGGATTAACTTTTTAAATTTAAATTGCTAAGAGACATTGTCCAGCTAATCATTGTTTCAACGACCAGCAGATGAAATAGCCACTTTGTCACATCTTTTTGACCCATCGTGTTATGACATTATTGGTCTTACCATCATGATTGAATACAGTTTACTTCTAGTAGCTTTAAATCGATTAATTATAACCTTGGCTTTACTCGTATTAATCAAATTTATATACAATTATTTTAAAGTTGTTCGACATTTTTCTAAATTCCCTCATGTCAAGGGCCACTGTATACTTGGAAATTTAGTTGATATAAAGACGAACTTGTTAAAAAGCGATGAATTTGCAGAGCAGCAGCGTAAGTCGCCTTTTATTTGTATTCCCTCTCATTTTCTGTTAATTGTTCCATTTATTTTCAACTAATCTAACTAATCAACTTGTTCCGTCCATTTTCCACCCTTTTGGATTATCCAGTTCAAATACAATTTATGCAAAAACATGCTCAACCAGTACAAAAGGAAGGTGTATTTTTAGCTTGGATTTTCTGCAAGCCAATGGTATTCTTGACCAACTATCAATCGATTAAGGTAAGTTCAATGTCATTGACCAATTTTATTTCTCTTGTGATGCAATTGATTTGTTTAAGATTTTTACTATTTTCGTTGAATATAAGATTTGATCAGAGCTCAGATTGTAATTTAATTTTTATAAATATCACCCTTCATTCCCATCCTTCAATGTATTATAGCTTGTGTTATCAAGCTCGAAGCATCTTGAGAAAGGTGATGTTTACTATTTTTGGCATCCACAAATGGGACTTGGACTATTGACTCAACATGTTAATAAATGGAGGTCTCGTCGAAAGATGTTGGAGCCAGCCTTCCATATCGATAATTTACGTAATAGTGTTGAAACTGTTGGTAAACATGCAGATTCTCTGGTCAAATATTTTCAAGGACATGTTGGAACTGTGTTGGATGTCAAGGAATTGATGCCTCGAGCTGCTCTAGATATTGTATGTGATACTGTGCTAGGAGTTTCACCAGATGCAATCAACGTTCCTAACTCATCTTATGTTCGCGCCATAATGAACTTGAAGAAGAGAGTTATCACTCGTTTATTTAATCCACATTACTGGTTGGATTTCATCTTTTATCGAGCACAAATCGGAAAAGAGTATAAGAAGGACATAGATACTATTAATGCTTTTTCAACCCAAGTGATCAATGAATGGAAATCCCGAGCTGTTAAAGAAAAAAAGATGATGAATGGGAATGACCTTAATGGTAATTCCAACGGAGTAACATTATCATCCAAACCAGCAATAAATGGATCAGCTGGCGCACACAATCCTTCCGAAGCAAATAGCCAGGTTGATGATGATGATGATGTCTTTTCCTCCAAAAAACGACCAAATTTAATGGACATTCTTTTACGCCATCATTTAGATGATTCAATCACCGATGAATCTCTCAAGATAGATGAAATCGATATGCAAGACGAAGTCAACACTTTCATCGAGGCTGGACATGATCCTGCAGGTGTTGTACTCACATGGATAATGCAACTATTAGGATGTCATACCGATATTCAAGAGCGCGTTTATAATGAAATCAAAGAAACATTGGCCGATGTTCCATTTCCCTATTCTTGGAATGATCTTGCCAATTTAACCTACACAGAAGCCGTGATTAAAGAGTGTCTTCGTATTCGTCCTCCAGTTCCTTTCTTGCAGCGCATTTTAGATGAGGATGTAACCTATGGTCCCTATGTCATTCCCAAAGGAGAATGTGTTACATTATCCATTTTTTCACTCCACCAAGATCCTGAAATATATCCTGAACCGCATGTCTTCAACCCTGATCGATTCCTTCCCGAGCAAATCAAATCAATCCCTCCGTTTGCATTTCTTCCCTTCTCCGGTGGTAAACGCGGCTGTCTAGGCCAAAGGTTTACATATATGGAGTTGAAAATGATCCTTTCACGTTTATTGCTACGTTATCGTTTTAAATCAGTCAAACCATTCGAATCTATTCCATATGCCTTTGAGTTGGTCAATCGACCCAAAGCTCCTGTTGAAATATTGATTGAACAACGTTAAAATAATAGTGAAACTAAAAGTAGAAAATTATTCAATTATAAAAGCAAAAAAGCAGTAACTCTCAAAATCCCACCTTTAAGTACAAATACGTACAAATACGTACTCATGCAATACCTCAATCATCACATTTACTTCAGTCTTTCTCTCCTCTTCCTTGCTTTCTTGCCATATAAACTGCTCTTTGTGATATTTTCCTTTTTTTTATTCTTTTATTGTCTAAAACAAAATCTAACAAAGATTTAATAAACATGTTAAACTAACATACCTTGGTAAATTTTATTTAAATCAACCTTTCCACCAATCCCTGAGAAAAGAGACTAATCCAAAGAAAGCAAGTGAACACGAAATGTGAACATTCCAAGTGCTTATTTGCTTATTCGGAAAGCCTGCTGGAAATTTCAGGTCACTCCTAGGTCAATCTGGAAAGGGCCGGAAATATTTAATCTAATCCTTAAAGTAAACTTGAAATTTTAAGCCATTCAGCTTTGGAAGTGGTTCCAACTTGCCAAAACTCGAAAATACAAGGGTCCACTAATTGTTAAACCAATCCAGACCTAGTAAATAGACTAAATAGTCAAGGACTGACCTTGAGCTAACCTTTAATAATTAATAAAATCCTAATCTGTCAAGTTTTAGCTTAAAGATTAAATGAAAAAATGATGAAAAAAATAAGCTTCACTTGAAAATATATTGACAAAAATATTGCAGTATTTTTGATTGATTGATTGAAGTGCTTCCTTGTATGCAAAATCAACTGATTGCTAATTCATTTCTAATTTTCCCTCATTTTGTTTCATTCCAATTTACAATTGATATTGATAGCTGAATTGTTTATGAATCAAATGTTTACTCACTCACAGAATGAGCTTGACTTTGACCGTCACCTCATGACACCTTACAATCACCTACAATCAAGGTATAGTTTGATGATTCTTGGAAAGAGGTCATAATCGCGGAAAAGTCCACTTTTTGCTTTCACTTTGCCTCTTCTAATACACAATCCAAACGAGTTTCAATAACTCTTCCAGCTTACAGACTTAGTCATAGTAATAATGGTCAAATAACTGGCCATATTACTGGCCATATCACCAATCATAGTACTTATCATATTGTTAATGATAATGCTGATCATAATGCTAAAACTATCATCATTAACTCTCAATGGTTGCTGAATGTGGTTACTGAAAGAAGCTGATGATAACTGAAGCAAAAAAAGTTAAAATTTTGATTTAGCTAACGCTTTAGGCCTTTTCATTTTTTGCCAGTCTTAATCTTGTCCAAGTTTAAGTTAAAGATACCTTGGCTTTGACCAATCAATTGTTGATTAGTAAACAATTTACTGATTACCAGGCTGTTAATGATGAGACAACTTACCTAAAGATTTACATTTAGTTGAAGTGAAAACGCAATGGAAACCAAAACAAGTGAAAAAAGCAAAATGAACACACAAATTGAAATATTGATATCTATAGTCAATTTTGATCAAGTTGATTGATTTAGATGATTTGGTAAATTGGATTTCGATTGATGATGACGACGAAGATTATTATTAAATTTTTAATGGTGATTAGTGAATAATTTTTGGTGTATAAATTGACAGAATTAAAAAAAGAAGGATTTATCTGTTTCAAGCAAACACCAGATTTGATCAACAACATTTTCAAACACTGAAAGCCAAAACCAGTCCAGTAAGAATTGAAATTAAATTTACTTTTCACAATTAGCCTGAAGCTGTTGGAAGGTAAAGAAATCATGATAAAAAATTTTTAAATCAAGGTAACACTTTCAATTTTCATTTCTTAGCAACAATCAGCCATTCCTCGAAAGGCTCGCACTTTGACGTTGTTTTCAACTTTTCAATCCATTTCACTATATTTAACAATAATTATTAACATTTCACTATTAAAATTAATTGTAATTACTATTATTATAATTATCACATTGGATAATTATCATTAGTAATATTATTCTAGTTCTAACTTTGAATAGTCAGAACATTAACATGAAAAAATTGAGAAGAGATATTTTCCAAGCTAACAATCCATCTCATAATGTATTGAATAAGTCGTAATTGAATTACCAGGTAATATAACATCATTTACTGTTTCTAATTTTACCCAAAAAATAATTAAGTTAATCATATACAATAAAACAAAACAAAATGAATGAGGTAAAGCAAAACGAGTTTGCAAAAGCCAAGTACATTTTTTACCCTTTAAATTGTTGACTACTATGGATGTTTGCTAGATTAATTTGATTATTTTAACTCAGCAAATCGTAATTTTAATCAACATCATCATTAACATTTTATTTGCTATTTTATTTCGACCTGGTCAAGGTTGATTCTAATGACTGTATTGATTACCATTTCAATACTTTCAGGAATAACCAGAACCTTCAAATCTTAGAGAACCCAAATTTTATATTAATATCTATTTGATTTGCTCATCTAATGCTCCAATCGTGTTGATCAAATTTAAAGATCAACAATAGATGTTAATTTAGGTAAAATAAGATTGAATAGGCCTTCATTAGTCTTACAGGTTGAACTTACCTAAGGTTGACTATGGATCTAGAGTCTCTATGGGTTGCTATTGGGTTGATGGTTGGTTTTTGGGTTTTGGGTTTTGAAAATGACTCAATAAGAAAGGATTATTACAGTGAAAACAGTTAACCCAAAATAAGCAGAAAAAGTAAAATAAAATTACTTTAGGTTTAATGGAAACCGAAAAGTGAATGTTAATCATCAATATTCAATTCTAATTTTCCTGTTCTCCAATCATTATTATACAACAAAATGATGTAAAATTTTCTAGCCCATGACCGACTTTTAGCGTAATCTTAAACTTTCACTTTTTGCTTTCTTAAAATGAAACTCGGACTACTTTTAACAAAATGAGCCTGAAGTTCATTACAGCTTTCATCTTCTCTGTCGCCATTTTATTAGCTTCTGTATTACTTTTCGCAGTCTCTTTCTTTTTTATTCCTTTCTCTCCTTCTTTCATCGTATCTTACAATTGAAATCTGTTGATTATCGCAATGTTTTTTTTCTGCAAATCATCAAAAGAACCAAAAATCAGTCTTAAACTTGTCTTTTTAAATATCTTCTGAACAATTTATTGAGACTCTCCAACTCCCTTTCTATCTCCACCGTCTGAATCATTCCTTATTCCTCCCCCTCAGATCATCATCTCTCTCTTTCTCTCCTCCCCTTATCTCTTTCTCTTGATTTGTCTTCTGCATTTCTTTGGATCTTTTTCACCATTTTAACCTCACTTGTAATCATTTTCATTTTATTTTCATATATTTTTTTGTTACTTTTTTGCCTTTGTCTTAATCGTTATACTCAAAGTGTTTACTTTTATGTTTACCTATTGTTAAACGCTATTCTGATGGCATCCATTTCAGTTCCTAGCATTTAAATAATGAATTACACCTTTTGAACTTTCCAAGCAATATCTTCTGCTAATTGAAATTGTGATTCTAGTTTTAAACTTGAACAAGACGTGTTTTTAATACTGTTTTCTGGATCCATAATCAATGAAAACCTATGCTTCCTTTGTTTCAATCTAAACAATCTTATTTCTGCCTTTTGTTTACATTCTTTTTCTATCTTATGACTACTTTTACTGTTCATCAACATCACCATAATCATCAAATTAATGTACTGTCGGTGGAGAAACGATTCCCCACACTTTAACAAATGAGAATATCATCAAAGGAGAGAAGGTTTATATTAAGTGTAATAATTTCTAGTTGTATTCTTGATTTGTTTGATTTAATCGCTCAATGGAATCACTCATGTCGTCATCCATCACCACCTATCCTTCACCATTATCATCATTATTCCCATCGTCATTTTCATCATGTTCACAAGTCATTACAGCCTCACCATCTAATCCACTATCAAGACCAACATCAATTTCATCAGTTGTCAGTTTTCGGAGGTGTCAATGGACTGGTATTAAATTACAACACAGGAAATCCTTCCGGCGACGATGTTCGACCCTCTCCTCACCACACTTCATCTGATTCTTGGGTGTCTGAGGAGTTATGGCCAAAAGAGAAATCAATTATTCATATTAAATTAATTAAACCAGTTCCTAAAGAAATATCAATCCGTGAATCACGGGATAAAGATTATTATTTGACTGACACAAGTTTAGATTTTGATTCACCTTATCGTACCCTGTTTCAAAACAATTGTGCCATTTCATTTAAATCCTATTATGATGGTTTTACATCTGAACCAAATAACCAGGAGATTAGTCGAGAAGTTTCCAGTATTCAAGTTCAAATAACAGGTGGTATCGACTGCAAAGAGTTACCCTTGTCTCTGTTAACCCCTTTTGCAGCCAACTTGACACATCTTGTTGTCAAAGATACTGGAATTACTAATTTAACCAAATTTTTGTTCGGTGCATATCGTCTGGACAAACTTATTAGACTTGATTTGATCAGTAATAGTCAATTGGTATCTCTTCAGTCTCGTGCTTTTGATGGACTAACAAGACTTTCTTATTTAAGTTTAATCAATAACAATCTTCTAACGGAAATATCACTGGAATCATTTGCAGGTCTTAAAAGTCTTGAAGAGCTTATTTTTCTTGGTAATGGTCCATTTTGGGATCAAAGTTATTTTCTTTCAATCCTAAGAGCATCTTCAGATAAAATTTTGCCCAATTTGATTCATCTTCATTTATGCGGAGCCAAAGTTGTTGACGTTAATAATACAAATATCAACCCTAGCGATGTAAACAATCTAGAGAAAATTGAATATATTTATAATGAAATGTCCACCAACCATTCAGTTCCAATCGATGGCCACAAAAGCAATGACGATGCAGTGAAATCACGTTCTGTGTTACTATCTGTGTTAAGATCATCGGATAGTGAAGCTGCTCAAGAAAATGGCCCCACTTCTGTTAACAAACCTGGAGTCGTTATTAATTGGAAGAGGAACAATAATCACAAAAGTGGCCTTAAGATAAACAAGGACGACTTTCAGGCATTAACTCAAGTTAAATATCTTCAATTGAGTGACTGTGATATAACTTACATCCACCCCTTAGCTTTAGCACCTCTCGCAAGAAATATTATTAGTTTAAATTTGGCTGGTAATCCCAAACTTCGTATACACAATTTAAAGTCAATTTTATCACCTTTTTATGTTTCAAATATGAAACAGCTTCAACTTGAGGTTGAACAATCAATGGCCAACTCATCCTTTTCTCATTCCCTTACCAGTCCAACAAATATTGGCCTTAACATGCTAGATCTTTCCAACTCTTTAAGTACCTCATTTGTCCCAAAGGATTTACTTACAGTCATCAGTAAAACAACAATAACTGAACTTTACATGGCCAATGTTCCCTGGAAAGTGCTGAGGGAAGGTGACATACCACCAATGCCTAATCTCAAAGTGTTGCACATTGATTCCAGTCAAATTGAAACCGTTGATGAAAAAGCTTTCGATGGCTTAGAGGATTTAAGAAAATTGAGTTTAAGAGGAAATTTAATTCAAGAAATACCACTTTACCTACTGGAACCTTTTCGAGAACTTGAATATCTTGACCTGTCTGGGTATCAGGTTAAATTTGATGATGGCAATCGTGTTATTGATGGCAAAGATAATAATCAGAACGAAATCGCTCGATATACTCCATTAAACATTCCAAGAAAAGCTTTTGTACATCGTACTCATTTAAAGGAACTCAATTTAAGTTACAAAAATTTAACTCAATTACCTCGTTACTTGTTTATGGGATTATTCAAGATGGAGAAACTTCATCTGCGAGGATGTAACCTTCAAAGTATCGAATATTTAACATTCTTTCCGTTAAAATCAATAATCTACATTGATTTGAGTGAAAATCCTCAGCTAATAAGTAATGTGAGAACATCTGAAGAAGATACATTTGTTGGCCTGGAAGCCATTGAAATGATTCGTTTAAGTAATTGTAATTTAACCTCCGATGATATTAACGATTTCAACATTTGGCGTCGAATGCATGAACACGTTCAAATGTTGGATTTATCACACAACTCAATCGATTTGATCAACAGTACAACGTTACAAAATTTTGCTGAACTCAGACACATTAACTTGTCTCACAATAAAATCAAAAGTTGGCACAATTATACTATTTTTGGTAAAAATAGTTTCATCACTACCTTGGACATATCGGCTAACCAAATAACTCATATAACAGCTGAAATGTTGGGTGATTTTCGTAATTTGAAAAATTTATCTTTTGCCTTTAATCCATTGCAATGTGAATGTGACTGGGATGGACCCTTGTTATTGTTGGACCAAAAGCAAAAAAGATTGAACCATGTTCACCACGCCAAGATTCAAGATCACATTCAACAATTGGTTCATCGACAACAAGAGATTGTTTCAACAGCCTTTGCGTCCTCCCAAGCTCCACCAAAAAGCATTATTGAATGGTTAAATACAACAAGTATCCATTTTCTTCATGATCATCATCCCCTCCGATCAAATAGACATTACTTTTGCCAATCTAAATCCCCTCTTGAACCACCGATTGTTTTTAAAAAATTTTTCTACCATGATTGCCCTTCCATGTCTTCCTCACGAAGTAGTGCCCGCGTCTCTGTGGGCATCTTAATGGTCACCGTGTCTGCAGCTCTTCTTTTGGCTGTCTTCTTTCTCATAATAGCTTTCATTTACAATTCAACTATACGCAATTTGTTATCAATGGTTGATGATGATTTTCTTCATAGCTATCAATACGATGCTTTTGTTTGCTACAATGTAAATGACTCTGATTGGGTTTTCAACGTTCTGGTTCCCAGTTTAGAGGAGCTACCATATGATGAACATTTTGACAGCAGCCATTCATCTGTTAAATTCAACCAATCTTCATCAACAACAATCACATCAACAACTCTACCATCAACTGATCATCCAGCTAAAAGTCATGTAAAGTTGTGTGTTTATGATCGAGATTTTATCGCTGGTAGACCAATTAGTGAATGCATTACTGAATCAATACGTAACAGCCGTAAAGTAATTCTTATCATCTCCAATAATTTTGCTCAAAGTCCTTGGTGCCGATTTGAGACTGACCTTGCCCACAACACTCTATTAGATCAAAATCGTGAAGGTCTGATTCTAATCAAATTAGAAGAGATGAGCAGTGAAGTGTTGGAAAAAGTTGCCCCTCAACTTCATTTTCTTCTCAAGACTCGTATTTATCTCTCCTGGTCCGATGATTCCAGTGAACAGGAGATATTCTGGAAAAAATTACGACGAGCATTAGGATTCAACAAATCTTATGGGACAGTGAAACAATATTACAGAAGCTATGTTGGTGGATTAACCAAAGATCGGCGACCTCCTGGCTTTGAGTCAACTCAAACTCCTAAAATAGTTAATACCAATCAAACTGGTAATCATAAAGAAGAGGTTTATGTCTCTTTTACACGGAAAACATTATCAGCCTCTCGAGACATAAATGATCTCGATGAAATAACTGTAAATGATCATGATAGTGGCATTGCTGTTGTCGATGATAGTGGCTGTGTATCTGTTAATGGCGATGATACCAGTGATGATGTTTTAGAGTTTATTGTTGACCAAAGAAATGCCGCAGAGGATAATAATACTGTCCATCTCAAGGATAACGAGCAGAACAACTTAGATCAAGAGACTAAGAGAAGGCACGAAACGAAAGATAAATCAGGAAAGATTCAATCATTGAATGTTGTTGTTGATAAAGAAAGTGAAGAGTTGCGAGTAGAACGATTTGTTTCTCTTGAAATGGACTCTTAGTTGCTAATAATTTTTAATTTCCTAAGAGATTAAAGAGAAGGAAAGAAAAATTAAAGAAACAAGAATATGATCAAGAAAAGCTATTATTATTTTTATACTCATCAAATTTCAAGGATAAAATGGAAATTATTTTTTCTTTTTCGCTTAAAAATTATTCCTTTAAAGAGAGAGAGAAAGTAATAAAAGAAAAGAATCCCTGATGATATTTCCATGAAGCTTTCAAGCTTTATAATTATGATAGTAAACTCCGGTGATGCTAATTATCCTTATGATTAGCAAGATGATGCCAATCTTTGTCCATCTTTTGATTGATTGGCCAAACATTGAATTGAACAAAAACCTGTTGAACAAAAAATATAATTAATGATTCACCCTCATTTGAGGCTTTAATGCCCCTTGTATGTTTAAAATCATTTGTAGATATAAAAGAATCACAATTTTAAATTTTGTATTCAAAATAAATTAAAACCAATTTTTACCTTTTAATTTGCTGTGTCCTTGTAATTACTCAGATAAATGAACGCATTTCTCATGAACTTGTTTTTGTACAAAATTGTTTTAAAAACGGTTCACATTAATATTTGAATGGCACTTTTCAACAATCGGTATAAGTTTGAAAGTGACAATAATTTTTCGTTTTTAAGATTTTTTATTTTTGTAGTGTTGGTTGTTTTAAAAATGAAATAGTTGAACATATAAAATTATTAGGAAACATGTGAAAAAATAGTGGTCAAACTAGAACTCAACTCAATTTTCGAAGTGAAAAATCGAGCGAGAACGAGAAAGGTTGAGACACATAATGAAAGAGACAAAAGTATCAAAAGATGACATTGATGTTTTCGCCTCGTCGGATCATCATTAAATTTTAATGGTATGTTGATGGACAAATGAGTGGTGATTGTGTGAGTGTTTGGATATGTGTTAATGTATTTGTTGAAGGTGTGTGTGTGTGCAAGGTGTTAGTTGATTGTGAAAAGTGAGTGTTATTTTGTTGTATGCATTTCTTTATGTCACCATTAATTATTATTTCTTTTCATCTTAATACAAGTTATTAACCAACTTGTCTAACTCCTGATTGACTTGGTCTGAATTGTGGTGGAAGTGGACCTTGTGGTTGTCTTGGTGCAGGATTTGAGTTTCCTGAGTTACCAGAATTTGATGCTGGAGCTGGACCTTCTTCTTCTTCATCAGGTTGAGGTGTGGTTGGCGGTGGTTCACTATGAAAACAAAAAAAGGAAGACAAATAAAAGAGTTAACATTCATACCGTCAAATTATCAGGCTGCTTATTTTATTTCTATGTAAACAAAAACCTTTACAGGCATAAACAATTTAATCAGAATTAGGACAATTCTTGAAATGAATCAACTTCCTACTTGTATTGTCTATTGTTTTACGAATGATAAAGGTAAATTTGAAGAAAAATCAATGCATAACTATTGTATTAAGAGATAAATTATGGCATAATATAATTTAGAGATAAATTTGAAAAGAATAATGAAACTCTAATTTGATAATTAACAGTCTACACTATACTTGATGGACTCGCCCTTTACCTAACTCGGATGTTACGCATTTTAAATCAAACAATGAGCGCTTTAATTTAATCTCTCAATATTTAAGAAAACTAATGGACAATCGAAAATGAAAGCACTAATTTAAAGGAGTAAAATTAACTTACCATCCAGGAACTGTTGAAGCTAATTCACATCTTAATGTGGTTGGGTTGACTGCAAGTCCAGCAGGACAACGTTGAAGTCGTGGGTAACCACCAACGCAAAGCCAGTATCGAACACAGCTCTTCTCTATTGGGACTGGACCATTTGGCACATCCTTACAGATTGCTGGTTACATCCAAGAAAGACAAACATAAATCCGGAAGCGAAATAGAAATTAAATAATATAAATAATTGATTAGCAAAAAAGATAAATAATGTTGTATGGGAATAAGACAAGATTTATAAGGAATGAGAGAGAGAGAGATAGAGGCAGAAATAAAGGTAATCGGAAGTAACTGATGCTTTATTAGTCGATGGACTCGCAATAAAGCCTTGAGGGTTCATCGTATGATACTCATACTGTAAGCAAACGGAATAATGATGATTGTAATCATTTAATTCGACTCACGGTGTTTTTGACAATCAGGAACATTATCAGGCCAATCACAGGCGTGGATAGCATCATTGTAGAGAAGTGAGAATGGACATTGTTGGATGGTTGAGGTTCCGTTCCAACAGTGCCAGTATCGAGTGCATGATGTTGCATGAGGGAAAACACCATATTGCCAATGGCAGTTTTCAGTTGAAGCTGGTTGTTCTGATATAATAAACAATAAAATTTAGAATTAGTATTTTAAAAATAGATCAAAAAATTAAAGTTGGCAATGATTTAATGGCCGTAATATAATTTTATGAACCTTAATAATCGGTTGAGATTTATTTTAGCTTTCATGTGAAATAGTTTCAATGTAACTTTCACTAATTACTGATATTGATAGCTTTCTGTATCGAAAACATGTTTTGGCCTCGTTTCCATGTTGTTTATTCATTTGTACTTTAATTTGATAACATCATCATGACCTTTCCTTTACTGTGAATTGCGATTTATCTTTATCATTTATTTGGCTTTGGTTCATTCTCATATATATATAAACACAAAAAACTGATGTATTAAGGCCAAAACTTGATTGGGTCACTGACCTAATGTTAATTGTGGGCTGAGTTCGAAAGGTTCAAGATAGTGATGAGAATCATAATGACTTCATACTCAAGACGACCTCGCCCAATCGTGATAATAGTTATGATCTTTATCGTCACAATCAAGGAAAACATTGCATTACAACAATAACATCAAGGGACGTATCAATCCTCGCAATATAAAGTTAAGATGACGGAAGCCATGGTGTATCCAATACAAAGCTCAATTGGCCTTTTGTAAAGTTGATAAAGTAAACAACAAATCATGACCTATTCTAATAACATACTGAACAAATTGGATACATAAACAAGATAAGTTTATCTTCAGAAAGCTGTAACATTAATTTCAACAAACAATCATCAAGAAAAGCATGATTTGATTGTGAAAATTTTGATGTCGTTTGTATAAAATAACCATACAAATTTGCCATAATGATCGGATAGAAACGTTCTAATTGATAGATTACTTACGTCCCATAACTCGGGTTCCATCAGGACATCCAATTCGGTGAGGATAATCACAGTTTTGGATTAAACCTCTCTTTGAACCAGCGAAAGCAAGACCATTTGGACAGGCTTGGAGGACAGCATCACCAGTTGCTGAGTCACATTCATAATAGTAATCACAATAATCTTCGTGAGGGAAAAGAGTTCCTCCTTTTGGATTATTACGACAAAGTTGTTGAGCTGTTTGACCTGCTCTAGGTTGACCCCAAACTATTGATAATTGGAATAAAAATAATAAATAGAAATGTTGATTAAATCAGAGAATCAAATAAATTAAGAAAAAAATTGGACAATAACATTGCTTCACACTTATGCTTAAACAAAAGATCGATTTATCGGTACAAGTAACTGAAAAACATCAATACTATCAATTAATAACGATCGCAATCTTTACAGACTTTGATCGTTGATTTATTTTAAATCAACCAAGAAATGTTAAGTCTTCAAATTACTAAATTTTAATTAGCAACTAATTTTCGTTAAATTAAAAACTTGAAGTAAATATTGAAGTAACTTCGATCCAAAGAGTAGGATAACTTACTCTTTGCTTCGATCAACTCCATAGCTGATTGTAACCTTATGCCTAATTTTTGAATTGATTACTGACAAATTACTTGACAATTATCAAAAATTAACAGCATTTAAATTGAAATGGATCCTGAAATGTTCCACTTCTAATTTGTCTGTTTGTTTGAATCAATTGAATGATATATTTTGAAAATAAAAAGCTGTCATTATTGGTTATACAATCTTGACTGATGTTTGATGCCTTTTCAATGCAACCATTTTTATGCTGTTATTAAGATTATCTTCAAGTATTAGTTAACTACTTAATCGGTCTGGATTATGAATTAATCGTTGAAAAATGTAATGAATACACCTTGACCTTGTTAACAGTTCACAATCAAACCAATGAACCGTGTTACAATCATTTTTTTACACTTGGTGTTAAGTGATGTGAATCGAGGAGACGATTTATGACAATGATTACCATTATTATCAGGTATTTATGTTTAGTCTATTCATGCTTTGTTTTCATTGTTTGCTTGTTAAACAAATCATCATTTCATGATGATAATAATGATAATAATCGTCATTGTCTTAATAATAACTGGACGAAAACAGATTAACATGATGTTGATGGTTTACTGAGATTTGCTGAAACAACAAATCCATGAATCTTGACATAAATATCTGGATAATAGGAAAGATTTGTTCATCAATCAAACTAAATTTATCTTAAATCTCGTTCTTACAGCTGAAATAATTACTGTTGATTAAACCATTAACACCAAGACTATCTGATGTTCAACCAACAATCAGTGAACATAATTTAACCCTCAATCAAATTAAAGCCTCAAACTTAAAATGAATCAACAAGTGATCTTATCGTACTAGATGTACATCAACAGCACGCATTTGATGCACTAATTAATGATTGTGGTTCAATCAGCTTGAGTATCAGGTTAAATGATTAATCTGTTTCTGTAGAAAGGTGTGAATATTGAAATGAAACCATTAGATTATCTTTTTTTAAAATAATCATTACCATCATCATGGAGATGAATTAAAAGTAATATTAATAACAAATAGAAACAACGAACTAAATTAAGGGAGTGAATTTAGTTCTGGCTTTGCTGACCTGAACACATTTAAGGTTGAGGCTTGGTTGTAAATCATTGTTGACCCAAATTGAATGGCTCAAAACTCCCACAAAAATAAAAGTAAATTACTATTTTAAGACACAATCAGACGATCATCATCAACTTCATCAGTGATAATAATAATAATAATAAATGATAATATAATAACCAGCAAACCAGATTGTAATCCTCAGTAACAATCCCAATTTAATGTTGTGTGTAACCACGATATAACTCTTATAACTGTAAAATATAACCTTAAGGCGATCATTTCACCTTTTTTTAAATTCACTGCATCTCATGATTGCCTCGTCCATTACTTTCCCTATCAATTATGGATGATTAACAGTTTTAAAAACGGTAAAATCGATAAATTAAGACATTAATGATGATTGCTTTGAACCAGATTAGCAGCTCGATCAGCTTCAAACATTTCAAGTAAAACTGAAATTCATATTCTCAACTCAAGACATCAGATTGACTTTCAATCTTATCTTAATATTTGATCAATTAAAGGTAACTAAATCGCTGAAAAATTAAAGTGATTGACTTTCAATTTGGTTGCTGTTAAGCAAAACAAACTCATACTTTAACGCTAATCATTTACTTTCATTTTTTTAATTCAACTGACTCGGTTATCTCAATTTAACCGTTGAAATTGAATTTTTTAGTTGCTAACCGAATCAAATTGATTAACATTGAGCATAAATGTTATGAGTTGGTAAACAAAAAACAAAAAAGCAATGTTGGTCAGTGGAAAGACCAGGAGTTGTTGGAATCAAATGGACAGTGAATTAGACTTACCTAGAGGAACCAGGAAAACCAGGATGGTTAATGTGAAACTATGGAATTGCATATTGATTTAAAATTAAGTTGATCACAGTGATTTATATTTGAAACAATTAAAAGGCACAAAAAAAAGGTTAAACTCAACTTGCTTCTTGAGCCAGCCAAGTCAATACTGAATTGTAAACTGGGATTGATGGTGAAGAGATGGATAAATTTTGAGACTCACTCACTTAAAAGAGGGATGAGCAAGATGATGATGTGAATGATGATGATGAGCGATTCAATGACCTGATGCCGCCCTAATACGTTCAAACTCAACGGAGTAACCTGAACATGTAACAGGAATGAGTGAAAAAAATAGAGCAAGATTAAACTGGAACAGTCAGGAAAGTAAAGATGTTTATTAAAAAAGAAGACGAAAATGATGATAAAAAAGATGATGATGAGGAGGATGACGAAGATGATGATAATCGTGAAAATTGAGACGAAGATAAATAAGAAAAGTTAATCACGTAATGAAAATGTTCAGCCTGAACGTTATCACGCCTGGAACAAGCATATTCAGATTTTACTTTATGTTGAAGTTTAGATGGTTCAACCTTTAACCATTTTATATTATCATTTGATTAGCAATACAAGCGTTTTAAGGGATTGTTATTAATATGTATTTGTACCGTCATTATCATTATTATTTGACAATCAATGTCTGGACATAAATCAAAAATCATGTTTACGATCATTATGTTAATCAATATCAATTTTGGAAGGAAATCTTTTGTTTGCCTTTTTTTTAAGTTGATTGTCAACCATTTTTTGATTGTTATTTTTGCAGTTAGTCAAAAAAATTAAGATAATTTGGGAACAAAAAGGTGAGAGAATCAAAAATAACAAGTTAAATTGATCAATTGAACGTTAATATTATGTATTTTGATGAGCTTACCCGGAACATTTTGGTGAGTTGATTTGGTTTAATGAACAGCAATCAACTTTGCACTAACAAGTTACTTCAAATAAAATTGGATTAAAAACAAACCACATTTTTTTGTTCACTCAAATCATCAACAATAGTTACAACAATCAATTTCCCAACCATTAAATAAAAAAATTCACTCAAGTATTTTAGTTAATTGTTTATAATTGGCTATTGATTGTCTTTTTTCAATCTATTTAAGTTGCCCGCTTCAATTTTATCCCGGTTTTTTGTTTGCTTACGGTTTTTGTTTACAATCTTGATCCTCATTGAGTTGCTATAAGGAAGATGATACTTTAACTTGATTACATTAAACTTATCCTAATTATGGAATCAATTCATTGTCGACTGTTAAATTTTGCTAATTGTTCTGTCTGATCACTCAACCTTTAATTATGTTCAGCTGTTTGTGTCTTTAAATGTTTTATTATTGTACAAATTTGTTACGTTGTTTAGTCAAAGTCAATACTGGAAACACTTCACCAATCGTTAACCAGTCATCTAATACAATGATAATGTGATATGATTAAGTTTATTTATGTGACATTGAGAGGTAATTAAGAAGCAATTGTGTGTTACAAAAACAATCAATTATGTTTTGTTTAAAGACAAAATTGAATACAAAAGTGCCATCTTTTATTATGCATAACCTAATGTGATATCTTTTTCTGTTTCTCATTTTTCCTTATTCCTTTTCCTGCAGATTTATGTCAATCGGATTATTGTCATCTTTAACTCAATTTAATTTATATCATCTTTTAATTGGGTGATCATTACAATGGTAAAGCCATCAGTTATTCAAGTCGAGTTCAAATTCAAATTTAATCTGAAGACGGACAGGACCAGATGAATGAGTACAACGTTGCTGGTCTGCGCCTGAATTGAGATCATATCTTTCCTTCAGTTGAAGTAATGATTATGATCGTGATTACAATGCATAAACTGTTTACACGAAACTAATAGTTTTTTTGATTAACCATAATGCTATTCATTTCTGTGAACATTGATTAGCTTTATTTGAAAAGCCAATTGTGTCCTATTCATTCATTTATCAATTTATCCAAAATTATAAGCTTAAATAATCATGTATTGAAGCTTGATTGATATTGCAATAATGGTTTGATATAAACCATTTGATTCTGAATGCCTGGAAAAATCAGATTGTTGTTATAATGATAACAGTTATGATGGTGACAACAATGATTTGTTTTCAGATTCAGAAAGTTACATGAATTAGAGGAACAAATAGGCTATTTGATAGCTGTTTTGCAGGTAGTCTCGATAAATGATGAGTTACTGATGATTGAACTTATTGATTGATAAATGAATGACAATAATGGGTTGACATTGATGAGATTCTTGTCTCTCTTTTTTTCATTCAACATCTTTTCCCCTACATCTTTGTCTTGATGTTATTAATGAAGTAAAATGACCAGTCAAGTGTAAATCTATTAGTGGGTTACAGTTAAATTGCCATATATTTTTGGTAATTAATTTAGTTTAAGGGTGAGACAAAATCGTTACCTTAAAGGGAGGTTATTAAAGGTAATCATTAGTAGGAAAGGTTTGTAAGATGTTTAGTTTACAATGTTAATGATTGTGAAGAAGGTGCAAACAATTTTTTTAATGTTAACATAAATTGTAAGTCTTTATTCATGTTTCTGTATCTAAATAAAGATGATTATAATTTAAATATACCCATTAGTAATGAGTCAATGAAGGTAAATTAAGGGTGAGATGATCTTATTCTCGTTGATGAGTTTTTACAATGATATTGTAATATTAATGAATAGCTGAAATCAATGAGTTTTGATTAATCTTGCAAGATGTTCAATCATTGAGATTGTTTCGAGTGACAGCTGTCAGATGAAAGGCTTACTTCATGTTAATACATGATTGTGTGTAAGCTCATGAGACTCTTGTTGAATCATAAACAATTGGAATATTGGAAGTTAAATTGTTTAGAAGAAGACTTTAGACTTTTGATTGGGAAAATTTTCCATAAACTCTCATTGCTTTAATTGCTGCAACTGTGATTCTTTGATCTCAATTTGTTCATTTGAAGACTTTTCATGTTTAGTTCGATATTTTTCCGGTATTATTTTGACCTTTAGTTGATTGTCATTGATAATTCATTAATGACGTTTTCCGAGGTTATCAACTTGAGAAACTTGTTTTGCCTCGTCCATGGACCGTCTTGGTAAGGCAGACATTTTGAAGGTAAATCTGACTCTGGATAGATTTTATTGCTGTTGGAGTGAATTTTACTATGAAATGGTATTTTTTGGCAAATCAGATTAACCATCGATAGATTTAATGAAACTGATGATTCAAATTTCCATAATATTGGAAAATATTGAATTCTGTTTCATCTCATATTTTTGAACATGAAGTGTGCCTGGTTACCTTCCTACAATGCAATGAAAGGATGATGGATTAATCAGATATTTATTTGTATTTTTTGACTCACTGATTTCGAGGACATCCTGATATTGGTATTCAAAGTAAACAGGCATCAGGTATCATTTATTTTTACTAGTCTTTGTAGATTTGCCTTGGTGGAGTCAACTATTTATTTGTGATCGATAGTTTTGTTTTCAAATTTTTCCACCTTTAAATTAAATTAATTAACAATGAGTCGGATACGGAAGTTTTTTCTCATGCTTTTTCTGAGGAAACAGAAAAAGTCGTTCACCAAAAAGATGAAAGAAAAGGTAAGTTAACGTTTCGTACTTTGTATTTTGTAGTTTTCCGACTGTGTTTCAACGCCATGTTAGTTCATGTAAATGTATTACTTATACTAAAGATGTCTTTTCTTTGAATCTTTTTTGTCCCCAATGTTTAGGTGACACCATCTGACTGATAAATGGTTTGAGTGATCAAGGAAACACTTATATTTTGACTACACTTTGATTATCACTTGCTATCCTTCAATGTAAAGTCTTTGGATTAATTCTTATTAATAAAGAAGGTTTATATTTGAATTTTGATCTATTTCCGAAAATCCTTTTTTCTTTATCATTAAAAAAAGTTAAATAACACCCAAGTTATCGCCATTAGTTCATTTCAGTGTTAATATGAAGAGATAGCATGCAAAAAGTTGATGAAAGGATAGCAATAAATCGAGAAGATAACATAATCCTAAATGAAACAAATGCTTGCCAAGAATGAAAATATGACAATTTTATATCACTCATTAGGTGTAGGGATGATAGGTAAAGCAACCAGTGAGAATATAAAACCTGAAACGGATAAGCTCTGAAATGGAAACAATTACAATGAAAACAGTGAATGTCCTACAACATTAAATCTCAAAACTTATAAAAATTAGATGGATTCAATCCAGATGTTATCTGTCTTCAAGAAGTTGGATGAAACCATTTCTCAACAATAGATAATTGGTCCAAGTATGATGGCTAAACACTTATCAAACATCAAGGTTTACTTCATTAGTTCACTTAGAAATCGAAGTGGCCATCGTGATTTAATACACAATTTAGACTGGGATTAAAATCACTATTCAACAAACTCAATATTCTCGAGATGGCGACACATGAAAACCAACTCAATCCTACAAAATGTATCGTTAAAAAGACCGATATCAATGATAAAGATATCGAGTATTTAATAAATAAAATTAAAGCATGGGTTTGTGTAATGAGTCACTCTCAGGACTTTTAGAAACAACTGAAACCTTAATTTTGTAATTCTTTGCGCGATAATTTCATCAGATCGTGCGTTTTATTGGTATCGAGCACTAAATTTACAGTATCAAGTATTATCGACAGGCAAAGTATCGATACTTTGTTCACACAATATTGTCCGGGAAACAGAAGGAGCGGTTTGAAAGATGTTGAGCTCACATTGATATTGAAGAAGGAGCAAGAAATTTTGATTTTAAATGAATGGTGAAGGTTATGATAGTAATAATCATGATACTGATAATGAATAAAGAAATAACAATTAAAGAAACTGCACAACAAGCAATAAACAAAACTAATTGTGATCAATGTTTAGTTGTTTTGACCGTTGACAAAATTCAAATTTCCCATGTAAAATTAATTTTCACCAGATGGCGTTAGGGCTATAGGTGTACATTTTAGTGCCAAACCTAATCTAACAAACCTAATGGTCTGGGGCAAATCTTTGTTTCTAAAAAGTAATTTCTCTTGTTCTTCCTATCTTCTTATCATTCATGGTTATTCATTATTTATTATTAATTGTGGTCCATTTCTTCAGTTGCCAACACTTATTTTGATACAAGTTAAATAAAGTCTCGTTATATTCCATAAAACATGTATCCTGCTCGGCATACCGGACCCCCTCAGCCAGGACAAGGAAGAGGTTTCTCTATCAATGAGACCCTTGAGCGGATTAAAGATGAATTTGGTTATCTTCAAAATCAATATCACGCTCTGAGGATGGATTTGGAAAAATTAAATGCTGAAAAAACTGATATGCAACGTCATTATGTTATGTATTATGAAATGTCTTATGGTCTCAATGTCGAAATGCACAAACAAACAGAAATAGCCAAACGTTTGAACACGATCATAGCCCAGATAATGCCTTACTTACCACCTGACCATCAACCTTCAGTCGCACAAGCCGTTGAACGAGCCAAAACAGTAACCATGACGGAATTAAATCAAATCATTGGTCAACAACAACAAACAGGTATGACACATTTTATGCAGCAACTGCAAGCCCAACAAAATCTCCCAGCAGCGGCAGCGGCAGCGGCGGCAGCAGCAGCAGCTGCGGCCGGCCATCCTCATGCTCCAGTGATACCGATGATGCCTCATCCTGCAGCTTTAGCTGGACCAGCTCCTCCTCCCCCTGGCTTACCACCCAATTCAGCGGCAGCAGGACTTCTCGCACTGACTGCTGGTTCATCAGCCGCTTCAGGACCAGCAAACAATGCTGTGACCTTGTCATCCATCTCAACAGCTTCATCTCCCGTCTCCAAAGACTCTGCAACTTCGAGGGAAGTTAACGATGTTAAACGTAACCATTTAGACGATAGACAACGTAATAATTTCTCACCTCACGTGGACTGTGATCGTAATCGTCATCGCAGTCGATCTCCAGACTCTGATATTAAACTTAAGAAAAGAAGAGATCATGTGAGTTGTGACAGTGATGGTGAAAAAAGTGACCAAGAACTGGTTGTTGATGTTGCCAATGATGAGCCTTTAGGACCTTCTAATGGTAATGCCAACTCACCCCGAGAAAATGGGCAAGATAAATCAATTAAAAAAGAACAATCTTCACATAGTCCTCATTCCAGTATCTCATCAAATTCTAATACTCCTTCAGCGAAACATAAGGAAAATGAAAAGTCCATTACACCACTTCCTAAAGCTACAACTCCAAACAGCTCTGGAGCATCTACACCGGGCGTTAGTGGATTGAAATCAATGCCTAAAGGACCTCCATTAGGGCCTCCTTATCCATATCCTTTACATGCTGCTCCTCCAGGAGCTGCAGGCCATCTCGCCACTGATTTAACTACCGGCGCCGTTGCCGCTGCATTTCCACCAGGTATGCTTCATAATAATATATCACCGGCTCTTAATTCATACTCACGAGGTTTTGCTGGCTATGACCCTCATCCAAATATGAGAACACCGGGCTTTTCTACTATAACTGGTAAGGCGGCTTATTCAATGCATATTGGTGCAGATGGAACAGCACAACCTGTACATATTGCTCCTGAAAATTTAAATGGGATTGGTATAGCTCGTCAAGCGAGAGCAATAGACACTCTTAATCATGGCGAAGTTGTCTGTGCCGTCACCATCAGTCAGAATAATAAGTTTGTGTATACTGGAGGAAAGGGTTGTGTAAAAGTTTGGGATATAAGTAAATCCGGTGCTAAACAAGCAGTTCACACTCTTGAGTGTTTGGTGAGTTTAATTTCTTCATGAGTTGAAAAAGCAACTTGTTTTGTTATCTCATAAGCTAACTTATTTCATAATCTTATTCATCTTTTAAACAGCAACGAGACAACTATATTAGATCTTGCAAATTATTGCCAGATGGAAGAACACTTATTGTCGGTGGTGAAGCATCGACTATATCTATTTGGGATTTGACAGGGGTATGTTTTCAGAGTCATTATTAACTTAAATTATTCACCGTTCATTTAATGATTCTTATCAATTTCATTTTTAGGCTCCAAGAATAAAGAGCGAATTACCATCAACAGCTCCGGCCTGTTATGCCTTGGCTATTAGTCCAGATTCTAAGAGTTGTTTCAGTTGTTGCAGTGATGGTAATATTGCTGTATGGGATCTTCATAATAATACTTTAAGCCGTCAATTTCAAGGCCACACTGACGGGGCTTCATGTATCGATATTAGTAGTGATGGTACAAAATTGTGGACTGGTGGTCTCGATAACACTGTTAGATCTTGGGATCTTAGAGAAGTAAGTTTATAAAATATAAAAAGAAATTTGACATTTGGTTTTATTGAAATATGCAATTTATTGCATTTTATGATGTATAATTAGTCCGCAGTTAATATAGTGTTAGCTAATTGTTGAATGAATTTGAGGAAATTAATTGAGCTTGATTAGGCTATTTGCAACATCCTGCGTTCATTTATAATTCTATAATACATTGCTACATTATTAATTTATTAATCGCAATTTTCTTTCTTTCTCATTTTCAGGGCCGTCAATTGCACCAACATGATTTCAGTTCACAAATATTTTCGCTTGGATATTGTCCGACCGGAGAATGGCTCGCTGTTGGGTAAATATTGAATCACAAAAATTTGACTTTTTTTCGTTCAAATTTCTAACTGTTTTTGTTTCAACTTATCTTCCTCTTTCAAATTCCGCCTGTTGAATCAATCTTCCAAATCAATAGCATGGAAAGCAGTAGCGTTGAAGTTCTCCACACCTCCAAACCTGACAAGTATCAATTACATCTCCATGAGAGCTGTGTTCTATCGCTTAAGTTTGCTAACAGTGGTAAATGGTTTATAAGCACTGGAAAAGATAACTTACTTAATGCTTGGCGAACACCTTACGGAGCCAATCTCTTCTCGGTTAGTGATCATTTGATGATAAGATTCATCGTCTGTCTATTTTTGTCCTCTTTCTTAATGCTATCTACCAACTATATTAGTTTTCATTGTTTACAAGTCATCAGTTAACCTGTGACATTTCTTTTCTAATACTATTCTTTTAATATTTTTCCCCTTAACAGCTTAAAGAAACTTCTTCTGTTTTGAGTTGCGACATATCTTCTGATGATAAATACATTGTTACTGGTTCGGGAGACAAGAAGGCCACAGTTTACGAGGTTTATTTATGATCTTGATTTTAATTAACATCGATATAACATCGTCATCTTCCTATTCATCCATGTTGATCTCATAAATTATACATTAATCACAAATGAACGTTGAAAACAATGATTGCTAAAACTAATCCACCTCTCCAATCAATGGCAAAGTCAATCAATACCCAATCAGCATTTACAGCCATGTTTAACGAGTGTTCAAATAGTTAACCATGGACTGATGAAAAATAATGATTCAAAATCAATCGCCATCAGCATCATCTTGAATTAACCATCTCATATTTTTCTCCACAACCATCCATTAATATTTATTGTATAATGGAAGTGTGACACTAACTCAGACGCAGGATTGCATTTCTTATTTCGTTCATTCATCAAAATGATGAAAATTTCAACTGTGTTCTTCACACTACCATAACTTCGACTTACTAATCGCCCGACCCTCACGGAATCATCATCTCCATTATCATTCGATCATCTTGCTTTTCTTTAAAAATTCTCATTGCTCTTCATGCTTTCGGCTCTCTCTTCACTAGATCAGTTGGGACCTCGTAGGAGGGTCAGAAGAAGAGAGAAACTTCATAACAAAGCAAATTCTTGAACTGATGAATAGAGATCGAACCATGGGATACAGTAAAATGGAAACAGCATCACCTTTCTAACTACTCTACCATTCGTTCTTCATTTCTTTCCTGATTGCAATATTTATCAAAATTTGATTTTGTGCATCTTTCCAACTTTTGCTCTTTTTGTTCTACTATCTCTTCATATTTTGCTCCTTTTTCTCTCGCATTCATCAATATCTTATTCGAACCAAAATCTCCCAAAGAAACTTTCAACGACTCAAGTTAATCAACGAAAAGGCCAACAATGTATATTGAAACCCCCCACAGAGATGAGTGTCTAGCTCGAAAGTTGAACCAGAAAAGAAAACCCTCAAAGCGAATTAATTGTAATAAAGTCGTTCTCATTCTCTTCACATCCTGGATTAAAGTTCTCTCGATTTTCAATAATTTAATCTTGTCACAATTTCTCCTAAAAGTGAAATTTTCAACATGACTTTCCCTATCTAGTTGAATAAACTTTGCATCTTTTCAAGACAAGATTCAGCGTTAACCAACAAAACGAAGAAAAAAGATGATTAAATATTTATTCAACACAATGGTCATCTTTTGGATCACAAAATTCATCCTAAATATCATCATTACCATTTCCCCTCTTTTTACCTCACCTTTTTGACTTTCCTTTCAATATCACCTTCATTTGTCCCATCTGTAAACATTGTCTTTAGCATAATTCCTTCAGCATTTGACAAAAACAAAATCTTTAAAAAGACGAGCAAAAATAACATTAACAAATGTTGAAACATTCCTAAACGATTCATTCACTTTACTTTCCAACTAACGCGATTTTAATAATTTCAAAGAATGACCAACAGTCTTAAATCGGCGACGGTTAAAAGCCAACGTACCAAAGACACAAAAGTAACTAATCAAAGAGATAAATTATCAAATCAGTTCTTAAAATGAATGTGAATCTTTTGGAGCTTCAATACAAAAATCCGCTTAAATCAAAGGAGTATTAACAAAACCTTTGACATTAGAGCGAGAGTTTGTGGATTAGAGAGAAGTTTATTTTTGCAACTAAAAATTCTTATGATGTAAAGTTTTCGATGAAGCCACTTTCAAAGTATGATGACGAGAGCGTGCTAGAAAAACAGGAAGAAAACGATTAAATCTGAACAGTAAATCCTAATTTCCGTGTGAAATATTTCATTGTTTACTTATTCTTACCTAACATTTGTATATTTTTGTTAGTTATAATATCTTGACCAATTACTTTTTATTTGAACAAATGGTTAACGTTTGAAGGTAAGGATCAATAAGAAACACCAAGTTGGTAAAATACACTTAAAGGGAAAACTCGTTTTGCTTTCTTTCTATGGGTCAAATGCTAAGAAGTTTAAATATTAAACTAATTAACCTCGATAAACTGATTAGAATTAAATTGTGTATTAGCAAATCATAGGGTCAAGGAGGTCACAATAAATGTTAATTAATTGAAAATAAGACAATGAAAATTAAACACTTTCTAAAATCTCCATAGAAAGAAAGCAAAACAAGTTTGTCCAAAATATTTTTTCCCTTTATGTAATAATAATTTGAAAAAAAGGTGAAAATTTTCATTGATAGTTAAAATGCCGTGAATTTTAATGATGATACATTGATGTTTTGTTTAATAGACATTCAAAAATTGAGATTGTAATTTTTGTTTATTTACTTTTGCTAATCTGACCCAAATCAAATCAACCAATCCAGCTAGGATGACTGGATTATGATGATCAATATTATATGTTTCATAAATTGTTTTAATTGTGGTCACAAGTTGTTGTAATTCAACAGATTTTTGAAAGAAGCGATTCAATTGATTCAAATACGATTTGAATTTGCTCGCTTAGACTATCGATAATTCAACCAGTAACTCAAGATTAATTAATTATTGCCAAAAAACAAAGCATAACGTAATTAGAAAGAAGTGGGCATAATTATATCACTGTGTTTAGGTTAAGTTCTAGGTCAATGTTTGTGCTTTTAATCAATTGTCACTAGGAAAATGATTCAGTGATTAAACAAGACAATTATCATGAAATGAGTCCAAGAGCAATGGATGTAAATACAGAAGGAAGTGAAAATTTTGCGTCCTCGTAACATTAAAATTAATGTATACTAAAGATATGCTTCTTTTCTGGTCTGTTCACTTGTAATACACCAAGCCCAAAGATTGAACTAATTGACGAGACCAAATAGTGCTGAGGTCGAATGTCAATTAAGGATATGGCCCTGAGGGTGATTATCAATTTACAAGTAAACTCTTATCATCCAACTCATTTGGAAAGCTCTATCTTCTGCAGTAGAGCTGGTTACTCTTTCTCTGCTCTCGTTTTTGTCTTCGCTTTTGTTTATACCTTGTTTTATCTTCCTGTCCTATGGGAAGGTAGAGATGGATGATGATGACGACGATGATGGTGAGGAGGAGAAAAGCTTATTTTCTTGGAGTTATAAAAGCTCAAAACTTTAGTACAAATATTTCTTGTCTTTAGGTCAACAATTGTTGGTTGAAAGAAAGAGAGAAAATAGCTGGACAAATAGAGAAAGTGAATCTTTCCGATTATCTCTCTGATTGTCATCAGTCAAATTTATCTTTAAATTGTTAAACTTGAGTTTAATTATATTTCCGTGATGAAGCCTCTAATTTGTTATGTAACATGTATTTGTTGTTTTGTGTTGAGTGTAACTGCATTTGATGCGTTTGATATTGTGTCAACAACAACGACTTCATTTGACCAAGAAGATTCAGATGAAGATGATAACCAGCCAACTTGTGGTAAACAAACGGTTCAAAGATTAGGTAGAGGTGGACGAGTTGTTGGTGGTCAAAATTCGTATCCTGGAGAGTTCCCATGGACGGTGAGTTTGTCAAAATTAACAGCTACTTCAATGAATTTTCATTTCATTCTCACTAATAGTTTTTGTCTTTATTTTACAATTAGGTCTCGATTCGCTTACCTTTAAAACATCATTGTGGTGGAGCCATTGTCAGTCCAGAGTGGATTTTAACTGCTGCTCATTGTGTTGCTAATTATGGACCTGAAGACTATCGAGTCCGATTAGGATCAATATTAAAGGATGATCAATTCCAAGAAAGGGGTCTTGTAATGAAAGTTGTTGATGTCATTATACATGAACAGTACGCATCTCCTAGAAGATACTCGCATGATATCGCTTTGTTAAGGTAAATTTAATTGTTTATCTCTATTTTTAAACTTAATTTTTCAAACTATCAACAAATATTTATCCATTTTTTAATCAATTACAACTTTGTGTACAAGCAGATTGGAAAGCCCGCTTAATTTTACGGATTTTGTTTCACCGATATGTTTACCGCCGCCTGAATATGTTACCAAAGATAATAGCTACAAAGGAATCAAAGCAACAGTTGTAGGCTGGGGATGGACATCTTTCAAGCAGAAGCCGGTCATTATTGGTTAGTAATTGTTTAAGTTTGCTAATCCATACTAATCCTTTGTACTCTATTTCAACAGGAACTTATCCTCAGCTTCTCCAGAAAGTCGACTTGAAAGTTATACACAATTTAGAATGCATGAGTTGGTTCAAGTCTAGAGGAATCAACTTGATTTTGGATAACAAACAATTTTGCGCCGGTTACAAAGACGGAGGAAAAGATTCTTGCAGTGTAAGCTATTAATTTCATTGTTGAACTTTGATTTACCATTATATTGGTAAACAAAATTGAAAAATGATAAAATATTTGATTATTTTTATCGTGTTTCTCTTCCATTTTTAGGGTGACTCAGGAGGACCTTTAGTGGTCAAAAATAACTTAACAAAAAAATTTTACATTATTGGTATTGTAAGTGCTGGAGTTGCCTGCGCCGAACCTCGACTACCGGGTGTTTATACAAGGGTCACAGCTTATCTGGACTGGATCAATGAGAGAATCCAGGAAAAGTATTGAGTTATTTCAATAACTGTGAATAGATTGTCCATTTTACCTTTGTGTACATTTTTTGTAAATAAAACTGATACTGTTTATCCTCAATTATATTCAATTTTATTCATATTGTGAAAATATTAATATGGTTAAAGATTCATTTACTTCATTTAAATGCTGCTCCTTGGGATTTAGATTTAATATTCACTAGCAGATGGCGCTGTTGTCCTGTCAAACATGTTTGTTGTGTTTGTTTATTAGCAACCGTTTTAATTGATCACCGGGTAGTTTTTGATTTGAATAATTGTTCTCTGTGTACTTTGTTTATTACTTCAAAAGTCTAAAACATATCTTCGAACCATGGCTCGAAATTCTGAAAAGGCGATGACAACCCTTGCTCGATGGAGGCAAGCCCAATTAGAAACTGATAAAGGGAAACGTCGAAGACCTTATCTAGCGTCTGAATGTAATGATCTTAAAGAAGCTGAACGATGGAGATTGGAAATTATTCGAGAAATCAGTAAGAAAGTTACTCAAATTCAAAATGCCGGATTAGGAGAGTACAGAATACGTGATTTGAATGACCAAATCAATAAGCTTCTGCGAGAGAAAAGACATTGGGAATATCGATGTGCTGAACTTGGAGGGGTTAACTATCGTCGTACTCCTGGTCCTAAATTTGATTTTTCTGGTAGAGAAGTGCCGGGGACACGAGGGTATCGGTATTTTGGCGCAGCAAAAGATTTACCAGGTGTCAGAGAGCTCTTTGCAACTGAGCCTCCACCTTTAATTCGTAAAACTAGAGCTGAATTGATGAAAGAGGTAGATGCTGATTATTATGGTTATAGAGATGAAGATGATGGAGTAATTGTTCCATTGGAAACTGAGACTCAAAAAGAAACAATCGTTAAGGTATAAAAAATTTGCTCACTTATCAATCTTAAATCATCTTATCTAATACTTTTTTTTCTTTCAGGCTGTTGCTGAACTCTCGGAATCTGAAACTCATATTGAAGTTGATCTAAATACATTAGATATTGAAGATGAAAAGATAGACGATGATGATGAAGGTGCTGATTTCCGTGGACCAAAGAGTTTTATTTCACATGTTCCTCACATACCAAGTTTAGAAGAAATTAAACAAGTCCTTCTGGAGAAAAAGAAAGCTGAACTTTTGCAAAAAATATTAAGTGGAAAAGTTGATGACGATGACGACGATGATGATGAAGAAGAAGCCGATGAAACAATAAAAAAGACTAGCAAATAATTTAAATTTTAAACTTTACTGTGAAATCTCGCTCTTATAATTTTGATTACGAGAAATTGTCAAAATGAGTATTTAACTGTTAAAATTGGAACCAGATCGCTTCAATCCAACTTTACAAATAGATTCTCTATCGAGTCCCAGCCGACAGATTCTGAACTGAATGTGTTGACAATTTAATTCTACATAATTGGACTTTAATTGTCCCATCTTGATAAACTATATAAATTATTTTTATATTTTTTGTTGATTAAACTTAATTCATTGATATCTTGACTAATTAAATTGATTGACTCTGATGAGTGTTGATGAATATTATACTTTTGATGATCTGATATCTTTATCGATATTTCTACTTGATATATAGGATTTACCATTCATTTAGCATATGAGTGATGAAATAACTTATTTCAAATAAAGCTTATTAATTGTTGATCTTGAAGGTTAATATCATTCAATTTGAATTGTTTTAGTTTTAATATTCAAAATGTATACGCTAGAGAGAATCCCGATAGCCAAGTCTATGCCTAAAGGTAAGGTTGTTTATTTGTTACAAGATACGTAATATTTTGTTGTTTGTAATTTATATTTCTTTGATTATAATTTTCAGGTGACCCTGATGATTTGTCGCTGAGAAAGATTGAAAGGAATGTCCTTATTCCAGAATTGATGAGAGAAGTAGCCTCAAAAAATCAATGCAAAGATGTTACCAAAGGTTGGTATGAGATATAGCTTACCAGGAATTACTAGATGCTTATTTACATACAAGTTTTGATATCTTCTAGATTTTTTCGATTGTGCTAAAGACAATGGTATTTTAATTGCTCCAAAATGCATCGATAAACGCGACAAATTGACGGACTGTATGACATATTGGTAAATTTTAATATTCACTTATTATTCACAGCTGTTTACTTTATCTGTTTATCATTTTGAACGACTCACAAATGTGTTGATTTTATTTCTTTATATTATTCAGGCTTAATAACAAAGAGTTCAAAGAAGAAATTACTGCAAAATATTTAAAGGATAGATCAGAATACAGAAAGACGGGAATCTCCAATCGTCCATCAAAGAGAATGCACTCGGGAACTCACAACTAACTTGTTTTATCCGAAAAAAAATTGTACTTTTCTGGTTCAGAGAAATTATTCCTTTGAGTTTCAAATAATGACTCAATCAACTTATTCACTCTCTCAGGATGGCCTTACGCGACTTGCTTAGTTTTACATTGCTATTACCAACTGTCCATCAAATCATTGAACCGTTTGATCACATTGATTGATGATGAAATAGTAAATTACTTTGGTCAACGTTATCTAACCACTAAATAACATGAGACTTTAAGAAATAGCTTGATTATTTCACATAATTTCAGCCATTTCGTGTATTATAAAATCTGCAAATGAATTTATTTAGTGTAGAAAACTAAAAGTCCTGCGATTGATTATTTGAGATTCAATCACCTCAAATTTTATTGCTGCAATAAACGACAGTAAACTTGAATTAAGTATCATCAATGCAACTATTCTCTTTTGAAATGAGTCTATGATGAACTTAAATAGTCTAAATGACAATAAAAAGTTCAACTCAGGACTTGTTGTAGCTCAATTAGTCTATAAATTGACTATTGAATTGAATGGCAACAATAATGAAACAGAAACACCAATTCAAACACTTGCTAACGTAATTCACAATATAATCAGCCAATCAATCAACCAGTTATACCAAATTATCAAAATTGACTTTCCCATGACTCTAGACTAATTTGTAAATCGAGGTGAATATTTGAGAGATTTCGATAGATATTCAGTAAAAGTTGAAGATACTAAATTAAGCTTATTGTATAACATTATGAATAATCAATTTGGTGGTATCGCGCAATAAGGAAATGACTATCCTTTGAATGATAAACGTCAGTCAATAAACATATACTTTTTGTGAACAATTTAAGTAACATTAAAATTTCATTCTTCGGAAATATTAAGAGAAAAAAAAACCTCAAAGAAAATAATTAAAATAACTTTCATAGATAATAATCATTATGAAAGATGAAACATTTAATTTGTTTATGTTTTCTCTGTTTAACAATCGAAACGATTCATAACTTTGCATGCTTTTTTCATGGCGACAGTTTGTATTTTATGAATGGTGTTGAATGAATGATTCAATCAATATCAATCTTTGACAGACCCAATCACCTGATAGAATGGTCTTGCAGCAGGACACAAATAGTTGATTAATTGATGATGATTAAGATTCAAGGTATATCGTTCTGAGCAGATCCCACATTAAAACCGATTTGAAGCCATAATTGACTCTTTCCCAATCAACTGGCTGAGCCAAAATTTGATTGAACCAAAAAACCATTTCATCTCTACCTTCAATTAAATTAAAATGAAACGAAAGCGAGAGGGAGGTAAAAAAGATAGGTAAGTGAGTTAGAAATAGGTATAGAAGAGAGAAAGAGACGATTGGCTCGACTTGTACAAAATGGTTCCACCATGGAATCCAAAATTCATTGATCAAAATTTTCTATTGTTGGCCTTTGAAACGTTCAAAAAATGGCGACTCTGATCCATATTTTTGTGTGTGATCTTGTAGATAAACAATTAATCTTGAAATGAGTGAATGGGGATTTTTCTTGTTACTGTTAACGCATGTTGTGTTGATCAGAAAGATGATAGGAAGATGTAGTAAAAATTGCTTGGAAAAGACGAAAAATCCAATAATGGATCAACTGGTCAAGAGGTTGTTGAAACATCGAGCATGATTCGCACTTGTCTTGATAGTCAAAGCATAACAGCCTTTTTACTTCTTGATCAATTTATGTTTGCACAAAATTTTTACACTTTTCACTTTAACCATCAAACTTGAATTTAAACCTGCATTTTCAATAATTTAAAATTTATTCAGATCAAACTGCCTAGGTTTTTTTTTCAAAAAGCCAACTGGAATGAAAAAGAAAGAAAAAAAGATCAAGGTGAGGAGATAGAATAATAAAGGAAAGGATAGAAAGAAATAGAGATAGAGCGGGTAGTAACATATATCCGGTGTTTTTGTGTGCAAGAGAAGGTGAATGCATGTTGATTATCATTGATGCGGTTGAAATCAAAGTGAAATAATGATGAATGTTGATTTTGATGGTAGATGTAGAAGCGGTGGTTGTAAATTAATTGGTGGGGAAGGACTTTTTAAATGATATTAGGGACAATGTGCCCGTATTTTTAGCTTAGTCTCGTTTTTTTCGTATTTGTATGTAAATATGTATATGCATTTTACAAAGGGTCATCACCAGATTCCAAAAAAATGAAGACACTATTCCTGATTTGATTTGCTTAATAGGTGTTATTTCTCTTTTCACTTATTTGTAGAATATCTTTACTATTTGTTTCTTTTTGAGATTTATATTCCATTTTCATCAAGCTCATAATATTACATTGCAAATGGATTATGGCTTGAGGATGGAGAGCTCAAGGGCACCATTGGTTGGCTTGATATAGGATGATTTGGTATATTAACTGGCATAACTGGTGTTACTGTAGACGGTAAGACAGAACCGATTAATGGATTGACAATTGTATCATTTACCAATGGAAACACATTTTGGGATCGAAGTTGATTGATAGTCGGTGGGGGTGGTTTTGCGGCTTGGAAAGGATTACAAACTGGTACAGTAGCAAAAGGATTTCCTCCAACTGGTAAGCCTGAGAAAAAGAAAAATGATTAGAGATATTTAATTAAAGGAAAACGATAAACAATCATAAAAAGCTAATTTATGCCAATGAAATTTATACAAAATAAGAAGCAATATGACTTTAAAAAATATGTTAAGAAAGTAAACAGATTTTTTACAAGTCTCGTGACGCATTGTTTATCTGAATGTTTCTTTTGATTCATTACCTCCTGTGGTTTTACTGCTCACAAGAGCATCCAAATTAACTAAATTAGAGTTGGGACCAAGAAAACTTTCAGGAGTTTTTCTAGTTTGGGTGTTTGACGCAATTGCAGAGTCGAAACTGGTACTTGATGAGATGGTGTCTTTAACTGTAAAATAATGAATAAAATTATGAAAAGTAATTTATAGTGAAAAGTCTAATCAAAAATGTTACATGTATCATGATTTTTCTGACTATTTACCTGGATTTTCAGATAATGCATCTTCACCAGTTTGAGATGACCAGGGATCTGTTGATTGGGGTGTTAAAGCAGGCGGACTAGGTTGCCAAGGGTCATTGCTAGCTGAGGCTCGACCAGATGAACTATTCCAAGGGTCAGAATTGATTGTAGCATTGTTTACTGGACTAACAGACCATGGGTCATTTGATGCCAATGCTTGAGTGTTATTAGAGTTACTTGCTGTCCCCAGAGATTGAGAGGGTAAAGGAGGAGGTGGAGGCACTGGGAATGCAGCAGCTCCCATAGCGTCTCCAGCAACAGACCATGGATCAACATTAGTGGACGAATTATGCAAAGCATTGGAATTGACACTGATGTTCAGGAGATCATCCATAGCAGTTTTCTTGAGAGGTTTCTCTTTCTGACTCTCATTGAGAGCTAACTGAAACCGAATCTCATCGTTCTTTCTTAATCTCTCTTCTTGTTCGGCCTCCTCTTTACTCATTGCCAAAGCTAATTGCAATTGAAGCTCCTCTTCACCTTTGGTCTGAGGTCTGGCACTTTCCAAATCCAAGTTAAGAGGCTTGGCGCTATCCAAAGCTGAAGCAGATCCTAAAGATTCGTGGTAACTGGCTGAAGATTTAGGAATGGCTTCAATACCAGTTGAGTTGTTCATCAGTGAAGCTGACTGAGCAAATCTTTCTTTCGCTTTAAGAGCACGAATTCGTTCCGTTTTAAGTTTCTCTTCGTCTTTCAACAAGGCCACCAATGCTTTACTTTTCTCTCTTACATTCATTCCTTGATCTTTATTATCTTCAAGGTATTGGAAATCTTTGAGGGTTTGAATAGCAAATATATTTTCTCGACACTGTTGAGCCACTTTCTCGGATCCAGTTTTAATAAGATACTCTAAAAGTACTAAAGCTTTGTACACATGTCTCCAATTTTTACCGTGGTCATTCAATCTTTTCCAGATCATTTGCATGATTTCTGAAAAAGCGACAACATTGTAGGTTAAATCTGCTATTTCACTCATTAGAGTTGACGATGGGCCCCAAGGATCATTTGAAGTGGCTTCTCGTACTTTGACCTGTGGCTCGGTATAGTTTTTAACAACATTTTTAACATTACGTTGAAGACCTCGAACATTAATCATTATGAGTAGATTTTGATTGCGAAGGGATGTTATCTTTTAGTGTTTTATAGACCTAGAAGAAAATGGAAGAAAAAAATATGAGAATCAAGAAGTGAAACAGAGAGAACGTACGGATGTAATGGTATATTGATAAATAAATATGAATACTAAATGAGTGTCAATATTAATGACAGAAAGGCTCATTCTGGAAAATGAAGGGAGGAAAGAGAGATGAAAAAGGTTGTTGATGTGTTTGTAGACAGGAAAGGAGAGAAACGAGAAAACCGAAAAACAGAGTAAAAGAAGATAGAGAAAGAGAAAAGAAAAGATACAAGCACAAAAGAAAGAGGAAGAAAAAAGAGAGACGATGATATGAATAAGAAGAGGAAAGCTGTAATAGCTAACCCAATGATGAAATGAAATTGGAATGATATTAAAATCTATTCCAATTCTCCTAAAGAATTATCTGGGAACATATATAAAACCTTTTGACAGATGTTAATTACCTGGTTCAATGGTTCACCTGATTCAAAAAAACGTATATCCACAGACACACATATGTACACAGAGAAGAAGCAACCAAAAAAAAGAAAAAACTAAACAATTATTTAAAGTGTCAACTAAGAAAGCTGATAACGCTTGAAGTGAAACTGGCGATGATGATAAATAAGTTTATTATAATTATGGTGAGTTAAAATGATAGTAACAATATCCACAAGAAGAAACAGAAACAAAATAAACAAATAAACAAACAAATAAAGGGCTTGGTCACTGTAAAGGTGAAACAAGCAAAGGAATTTGATTCATAACGAAGATGAGAACGTTGTGAAGAAATAATTAATCGAAATAAATTAAATCCAGTCTCGCAATTGAATTAACAAACACCCAAACAAAGCCTGATTTCAACAGCAGTCACAAGAAACGTATCATGACTCGCATTTAGGTCTTTGTGAACATAATTTGTTGAAAAATTACTGTATACAAAAGCGCCATCTAGCGTTAGGAATATGGAAAGGTTAAATTTTATAAATTTATGATGTTTTATATTGTTAGTAAATTATTACGTTAATCACTTTATGTTTACAGATGAAGATTATTTTCTTTATTTTCCCATCCTTCTTATTTAATTGAAGAAGTTGAAGTTATTGTTTTAACTGAATCTTTACCTTTTCTTCAGAAATCATTTCAGCAACCATTTGAGGCGGAACTGTCAACTCTTTCATTCCCTCTTTATTTGTTATCTTATTCAGTTAGATATTTAATTTTTAGATATTTTTCTCCATGTAAAATGTGAATTATCGTTTCCCTTTGGTAGGTGTGCTTAATAAACTTAATCATCCCAAGGCAATAATAAAATGTATCAATTTTATAATCCAACTAGCAGAAAAAAAGCCAAAAAAGGTAAGTACTGTCTTAAGGAGACTAACAAGATGATCGACAACAAAGACGCCAGTAAATTCATTTTTTGTTCAGCTTCTGAAAGATTTTCTTACCTCTCTTTTTTTATAACATGTTTTACAGGCACAACAGGTGCATCTCTAAAAGCCGGAAGTTGAATTCAAAGATAAATCTCTAAAATCATGAACTCAGAATTAGTTTTGCTGTTTGCTTCTGTTGTTCTCACTGTTGGTAGTTGTACTGATATTTCATTGGACCATTAAGTTAACGTCAAGATGAGCCAGGAGGGATAACAACTGAACAAGAAGGAGAAAAATGATGATAAAGATGGAGGAGCAGGTTGTAGGTGTGCGTTGGAGGTTAGGCCAGGATGGTGGAGGTACTTTTGCAGATGAACAAGTGAAATGAGCTGGGGAAAGCTGGAAAGGTTGGCAGCAAGGAATACAATTTATCCATTTTTATATTGCGAATGTTTATCTCGCATCATTTGTTCTGACCTGGTTACATTTATGGTGAAACTCGACTTGATTATTTCAGTTTCGTATTTACTGATAACCTGTAATCATTTTTTACTTTTCCTTATAATAGCTTCAACACCAATCTGAAGACACTTAATGCGGTCACAAGACAGTTTGACCATCTTGTCAAGCAATATTATCACCAATAACATTGGCCTCGTAATTTTTAATTTCAACAACGATGGACAAGTCTGACCAACTTACCTATTTAACTTGAATGGAATACAAAATTTATTCATTTGCTAAGGTCAACCATTATCATGGCCATTCAGTGTAGCCAATAACTATTACAAATCTACCATTAACTTTGATTACAGGAAATATTCATTGTTTTACTCTGGAATTCAATTTGAATTGTTTCCATCTTCTTAGCTGGTTAAATTTTAAGAGACCTTGAATTGACAACAGATGATAATCAATGAAATTTTCATTGTGGTTACAGTTATTTTGTTTAACAAAAGAATCGCTGATTGGTTATCAAAAGGTTTCAAGCAATAGAGCTGAATAAGTCAGAATTGGTACATAATACATAAATTGATTGAAAAAATAGGTGAAAAGTATTTTAAATTTAATCTAAATGGTTACCAACAACCAGCAGTAACAATGGTATCAGCAGTGTATTAGTAGCTATTGTCGAGTGCATAGGAAAGGCAAAAAACCAATTGAATTATATCGACAGTTTCACTGAAAATCATATGAGACTGAAAACGTTATCAGTTTAATAGAGAGAGGAAGAAAAGGCGTAGAAATGAGATTTGAACAATTAGATGATTGTATTTGAAATAAAGAGTAAGATGAAACATGCATTAACACTCATCAATAATGATGTAAATAAACAATCATCAATGTAATTCAAGTTGAATGCTTCAAGCGACCATGAACTTATAAATTGTTATTTTGCCATCCATAATCAGCCAAATTAATGAGAAGAAATGAACGATTAAAATAACTTTTCTTTATCACTCAATCTAATCACTCTAATTGAATTTTAGTATTTTATAACTCCTCTAATTAATCTAATCTTTTTAAGCTGCATATCTAAGTATAATTAAATATTCCATCAGAGGTTAATATAATGAAGATGAGTAAAGTATTTATCATATCACTTATGACTATCCTTAAGGTACACAATCACAGTCCATATGTCAATTGATTTGACTCTTTGAAATGGACTCCGAAATTAGTTGATTGTTGGCGTTTGCAGGCAACTTTAACCATCAAAAACATTGACTCTCTTAAACTTCTTGTCCTCCATTTTTGTAATCAATCATCTTTACAATTGTGTAAACAGTAATCAATTCAGTTTTGTCTCTAAGTTGTATATAAAAGCTGATTGTAATCAGTATTTAAAAAATTGACAAGATGAACAATCTGCTGAGAATCCGCCTACAATTCATTTTCATGTGCACTAAGTTTACTTTGAACAATCTAAAGAAAGATGAGATAAAATAGAAAATATTAACAGCAGTTCGTTAAATTGTATAGAATTCATTTTTTTATTCCTTTGTTATTAAAGATAGGAACGTTTGAAAGAAAAGGTTAAATAACTTCACTGATGTCGACAACCTTGATTGTATGATGAATGTATGAAATATGTCTCAACCAGAAAGGGGAATACATTAATGATGATTTCCAATACTTGAAACATTAATAGATTGCCATTTAAATCACTAGTTAACTCTTTTGAGCATTAATTATCAGACATTTTCATCTACTAACCTAATTAGATATGGTGGTGGATGGATTGTAATATTAATAGATTGAATCTTTAAAGTAATCCTCAAACATCAAGACTAATGCTTTGATACTCGTGATTTCTTAGTTTTCCGGTATCCGATTTGGTCCAAATTAATAGCAATTCAGGATTTAGCAGTTAAAGGTTATCATAAGGTCACTGATTGTTGCGCGATATAAATGTAGTTGCTTTGAATAGCTGGAATAACAAATGTAAATCTAAGAAATTCTAGTTGATGGTGATCTGGTTCCAATTCACGTTAAATCCTAACATGGAATGTACTTTATAAGAATAGAGAAATTTATTAGTCAATAATAAACTAAATATTATTTTCAACCAACCTGAGAAAATCAGGTGCTCGAGAGATCACATGTTGGAATTCAGTGAAAGATATTTTATCATCTCTATCATTGTCAGTCTCTTCCAAAACCTTTTCACGAACAACTGCAATCTCCTCTGGACATAATTGGTTCTTGGTTAATGCAATAGTTGTCTGTTCAATATCTTTTCCCGATATAAAATGATCATCGTCATAATCTAAATAAAGCAAAAATAATCTTAATCAATCAGAAAAGATGAAGTATTAAGTTTCTAGAACGTACCATAAATTTTGAATGCATAATACACTTTTACATCTCTAGGTGCACTTTCACTGAAAACTGAAAGCATATCAAGAAAATCGTCAAATGTCATATTTCCAGAGCCATCATGAGAGAAAACTTTGCATATACGATTTCTAAATGGATTCTCTGCATATACGATTTCTAAATGGATTCTCCTGTTCCAAAATAACCAAACATCGCCATTAATGAAAGAATCGTATTTGATAGAAAAGAGTAAAAGCAAAGTGAATTAATTTCAGAAATGTGAAATGAACAGAAACCAATCATAAGTGAAGATGCACTTTGAGTTTCAAGTCTTCAAGTTGATAAAATGAATGAGAAAAATCACCTTCAACTCAGGCATTTTTTCAAATTTTTCCAAAGGCAAGGATACAGTATGAGCTTCATCTCCAGTCATTACTTGAGGAACCGATTTTGGATCGAGTTCTCGGTACCGTTTGAAAATCCTATCAAGTTAAAGAAAAAATGAATAATGATTAGATTGAATATTGATAAGGCCTTGGAATAATGAAAATTAGAGAACAATAAAGTAAATAAAATAGAAAAACAAAATGATACATGATAACTGAAACAAAAGGATGCAACTATAATTAAATAATAGAATCAAAACATTAGTCCAAGGTATCTTACGTTAATATCTCCTTCCGAGTAAAAAATGTACAATCCTGATGCAGCATTGAAATCAGTTATTTGATCATTATCTTTCATTAATTATATCGACCAATTTGAATAAATTGCATCCTAAAGTTAGATTACTAACCTGATAATTTTCCAATTGCTCATCAGTGAATGTAACCACTTTGTTTCCCATTATGTATAGAGTTGAACGGATTTTTTAATGAATTTCTTCGATGATTCGTATTCAAGGTTGAGTTATTATTCAATTATTCACAAATATATTATTCGAAGGGTGATTCAATATGCTTTAAATACAAAAATAGGGAAAACATCATTATGCGATTGATGCAGAAACATTGACCAGCTGATTTTGGTGGCTGAATTGACTTACTGAATATCCTTTATTCAATTATTTGTTTAATGTTCGTATCAATTCTATAACTTATTGAAATATCGAAAAAAAAACTTCCAACTAAATTTTTCTCGTGAATACTTCGACCACATAAATACTTTAATGATAGATTTGAATTTTGAATTGCACTACAGTAAACACGATTAACAGAAATCACGTGACTGTGATCATATGTTTGAAAAAAGCAAGTTGGTCTTTATTTATGTTGTTCAATCTTTTGCATTATTAAATTCTGGTCATCATTGATTCTTTAGGTGAGTAGATTTATGCCAAAATGATTAGATGTAATTAACTAGATCACTGTAATTAAAACACTTTCTTTTCTTTCTAGTTTTCTTTAAGAATCGTATATTCCTATTGCGGCATCATGTCATTCAGATATTATCCAATGTATCTTAAAGGGAATCCACAGTTGAGGGTTTACTTGCCGAATTTTTGGATGAAACTACTGAAACCTAAAGAAAATGATCCAAAGAATCTGGTCACATTTAAAGTACCTGTTCAGTAAGTTCCATGTCTTCAAAAATTAATTTAACTCTAAGCTCACTCAATTTCAAAATCATTTATCCATATTTCTGTTTCTTTTTATCTATTCAAAATTCAATTAGGATGACTGATTGGGATATTAGAAATTATTTAGAAAAGATTTATAATGTTCCGGTAGTAGGAGTACGATCGCAAGTAAAGTGTGGTGATATTAAACCAGCACAAGGAGCTAAATATTTGATAAAAGATGATGATTATCGATTAGCTTATATTTCTCTACCAAAGGATAAAGAGTTCAACTGGCCAAATCTTTTTCCGGATAAAAAGATTGAAGAAGAAGAAACTGAATTTAAAAAATTTAAAAAAGCCATGGAAATTGAGCAAAAAAAGGGAAAAAGGCAGAATTGGAGTCGCCATCGCGTTCCATCATGGTTTGGTGTTTAATTTCGTCTCTATTGTAGTAAATACATTTATTTATCCTGTATATGACAAATTTTATGTAAACGAAGCATTTACAACGAAATCATTAAACTTGTATTAGGTTTAGTAAATTTATTGCTCAAATTATTTTTAATAACAGTTTCAACATTTTAGTTCACTGATTTTGAAAGTAATCGAAATTCACAACCAAACTGAAATAATAGAAATTTTTTACCATTTTATCTAGAATCAAAACAATGAAGAATGATCGAATCTGGAAAATTATCGCTTCGAAATTATGAGGATCGCTTAAAGTTTATAGTCTAGCGTTTTAAATGGTTACATTCTTTACTCTTCATTTGGAAATGAATGAAAAGATTTGCTATTCTCAAGCTACAATGAATTAGTCTAGGTGTTACTAAGTTTATTATTTATTCTAGGTAAATTACTTGTTTTCAACAGTAAGTTCAGTTTTTCCATCCTTAGTATTAAGAGAAATTAATGACCCTGATTTTGGTCTTTCACTGGTTGCCCAGGAGTAGAATGTGGAAGAAACGAACTCTAATGGAGTCCAAGAGGAATGATCAGCTTTTGGCATAAATTTGCGGTTCATTGGAGTGTCCAAAGTAATTGGTAAAATGGCTAGTACCGTGGAATCATTCGGGAGTCCACTTTGCGGAGCAGAAAGGGATTGGGTCAGTTGATGGACAGCAGCCTTAGCTAATCCATATCCGATCATACCTGTTAAAGAATACAAACAGAGATGAAATTTGATGGAATTTACATGCTAATGTAAATGTAAATACGAACCAGGAGTAGGATCAAGAGCAGCTTTGGCACCAGTCAAGACTAAAAGTCCACCCTCTTTCATATATAATGACGACAAACGTGCAGCTATACAAGAAGTCCAAATACTCTGTTTGATCATCAATTCAGTATTTCCAATGAAATCTATGAGTAACAAATTAGAAAAAATATCAACAAGTGTGTCAAGAAAGCTATTGTAGGCAATGGTATCTGAAATTGACTTACCTTTTGATGAAGCATTACCGCCAGCCCATCCACCAGCAACACACACCAAAGCATCAAGCTTAGAACCACCAAGACTAGTTTCAATTCCATTAATAACTTCAGTCTCTTGATCAGTCAATTGAGCTGATTTGATGATAACATTAGCATCAGCTTCTGGGTTTTCAGCAAAATCAACAGCAGCAACCCACTATTTTCGACAGAGTGAATAGATAACCACAGAAAATAGAATCATTGTTTGGTTCAACATCAGATTTGGTAAAATTCAATGTAAGTTACAACAAAATCAATTTCAATAGATTGTAAAATTGGATCAGTGGCTTACAATTGAGTTTTGAAATGATTACTTACCCAGTTATTTTTTTTGAAGTAACTGACACATGTTGAACCAAGAGCACCTTTGCCACCATAAACCAAAATACGCTTCATAGATGCCATATTTTTAGAAATATTGTGAATTCAAATTGTGAAAAACGGAAAACCAACAAGTAAAGATGCAACAAGTAATGATGTTTCAGCAGAATCAGCAGAAACAATTAGAGATGAGTTGGTCGGTTTCTCTTTTCTTACCCTCTTTATCCTCTTTCTTCATCATCATCACTCAGTCTCTCGAGATATTTTTCTGACCTTGGGAGTCACTTAACAAAAATCAAGTTTATCATCAAATTAAGATCCATTACAGATAGAGTAAAATTCAAAAATACTTATAAGTAATTATTTGATAAAAATCTGATTAACATTATCGTTATTTTTAATATTGATAGCGATGGTTGACATTCAAAAACAATTGATGAATGATTGGCTACTATAATCGATAATCAAAAGTGGGTCATGCTTGAAATACATTAAATTACTGATTATTTGATTATCACCCCGGTCAGGCAATAAGTAACCCAGTTATGAGTCAAAATCTTCAATTGAAACAGAAAATTTCGAACCGTGTAGTCTTGAAAAATGGTTGAGTTGATTGAAAACAATGACAATTTATGGCTATTTACCAAGCAAAATTTCCGATCATACTAAATGTGTTTTGAAATAATTTGCTTAAACCTATGTAATTTGCGAAGATCAACAAACTCACAAATAATCAATGAGAATATTGTCTAATGATGAATTTCCAGTTTTCGAGGTGCATTTGTCTTCACCATCACTCTACTCACCATATCTATTTTCAGAGTTTATGCTTTGAAAATAGCTTCTGTAAAGCTATCTCCACGATGTCTCATTTTGGTTCATTGATTTATGAGACAACTTGGTTTCTCTGGTACCGATGCAATCAACTTCAGTTATTCTTTATCCTAAGTCGTCAAATGATTTACTATGGACAACCAAGTATCAACTTCTGGGCAACTGCATTCATAGAGATTTGACCATCTATCATTCAGTGGATTTCATTCGCCAATTGTCCTATTTCAATCAAGATTTGGTCACCAGATATTTGAGCAGAATCGGACAAATTTTTCAGCTCTTATCCTTCAAGTAATTGTTGCTATCAACATAATACTCAGCATTCTTCCCGTTGTACTGATCGGTCCATTTGAGAGCAGAGAAGCGAGTACTTTCGAATCCTTAAGATCAAAACGCTCAATAAGCTCTGAAATCTTGTAAACCTTGTCCATGTGAATTAATTCGCACAATCTTCAAACTCATCAAAATTTTTATTCATTAGCTTCTTATTTGAGCAAAAGTGGGCAAGTAATGTGGCTAGGCTTCGTGATTGAGTGAAAATGTCCAATAATCATACGAAAGGCAATTTTGATTTCGAGAATTTTTGTCATTTCATTGTAAACTGAATCTGTGTCAGTTTCGTTCCAAGTTTCTTCACTACGGTATAAAAAGAAGCGACTACCAACATGAAGACGTTCAATAGCTGCTCTTAAAATTGGTTAAATTAAATTAATTTAGCAAATGATCCTAGTACCACCCTCGTACAAAACCCGAGCACAAAAAATTCGCACAAGCTATGAAATTTGAGTAATGAAGGGAAAAAGGCAGAATCGGAATCCTTCTCCCTTTTCCTTCATTTTAATTCAAAGTGATGAATATGAAAATAAGTGTTACATTTTTGTATCATTTTTGATTGGCAACAATTTGTTCTAGTTTCTCATTTAATTGAACAAAACTAGGAGTATTCCGTAAATTATGTCCAATCTTTTGAACCTTTTCGTTGATCTTTGGACAGTTTACTATATTATCAATAGCTTTTAACAGTTCTTCTTCCGTGACTTCAAAAGGATTGAATGAAGCGCCAATCTCCATGTCAACAACACGACGTCCATTATCAAATTGATCACCACAAACTGGTAAGATAATGCAAGGTTTACCAAAATAAAGAGTCTCTACAAATGTACTATTCCCTCCATGATGTATCACTAAATCAACTTTAGGTATAATTTTCATCTGGTTTAAATATTTACCTCCCACCATATTACTTGGCAAATCAATGGATTCATGATTAACACCCTTGCTTACTATAAAACGGTGAGGTGATGAAGCCAGAATGGAAATAAGACGTTTCATTAGATCTACATATGCAGTTACCATTGATCCGAGAGAGAAGAGTATCAACTTTTGGTCGCCATTACTTGAAGGATTTAACCAAGATTCATCTGGTATACCTAATGGACTGTCATCAACTTCCCTTACCATGTGATCAAGACGAAACCATTTATCTGGAACTGGTCCAAACTCTTGGTAATCCAAGTCACTTGGATATGGATAGATGTTTAAATAAGGTGATTGGCCGACAAGTGAAAAGTCCAGACGATTCTCAATTACTATGCCTTTACTTTTCAAGTATTCATCAAACTTATTCCTGACTGGCTCGATAGCTTTACTAAAAATTTCTCGAGTCTCATTTATCAATTTGACATCATCACCTTTAGCAAGTCCACTTGAAAATGGAGGAGCATTGTATTGCCAATAAACCATCAAAGGACTGCATGAGAATAATAAAACGTATGGTACACCAGAATGAACTATAGCAGGAACAGTTGTCCAGTAGTCAAATATAATCAAATCTGGCTGAACTCGTTTAATTGCTTCGGCATATTGCTCATTATTTTTTTCAACTGTATCAGCACAACTCTTGAATCCAAAGGCACCAACTAGTGGAAATTGCTGAACTGCTGGTAGCTTGAAAATAGCAGCTTGTTGTGTAACGAATGATGAACTTGACTTTCTAACATCTCCTTGGTTTTCCTCCTCTTGGTCAAATGTTTCTGCGTTAAATCCTGCTGATTTGACCATCTGAGCCCAATTACTAGGCAATATCAGGACACATTCATGATTAAATTTTGCCAGCTTATGGGCCAATGTAAGGCAGATATTTATGCGACCAGAACTAGGAAATAATGAGCATTATTTTAGTTTTAATAACACAATATCAACAGAGATTTACTTACCTGGTCATAGGGATCAAAGCAATTTTCATTTCTAATCAGTTTACTTGAACAATGGCACAATACAGTTAAATTTCTATAACAATCTAACCAGTTTCATAACCATCTTTATTATTTATACTAACAAATTCAATGCTAACTCACTTATCCACCTGTTCCATCAGGTAACTGATAAACAGATTATAAACTGATTAACCAATTCGATTATAATTATGAATGTTATTTATGCTATTAATATCTTCATTTTTATGGTTTTCAATGTGTTTATTGTTACTCTCTGACTAAATTTACATGTCTGATAGTGCTATGAGTATGTTTCAGTTATTGGGAAAATGGTTTGTTTCAAGATTGAATAATCACTGACAGTAAATTAAACTCGTTTGATATCACTATTACATCATGAATTCTCAGAATTTCACCAATACGAGTGAACTCTATTTCAAATTACGACTAATTGACTAAGCAAAAATTAATATTTGTCAATAAGCCTGCAATAAAGATTATTTTTCAGTTGGTGATTCACGGAATTTCCCTTCAGTAATCCTCTAGAAGACCATTTAATCAACAATCAAATAGTAAAGAGATAAACTTTTTCAATTCTACATGCAAAATTCTGTGCTCTAAGATTTCCTTGACTCGGAGCGAGTTGATTGCATCTTATTAAATTTAATAAACTTGAAACAAAAGACTTGTGGCAAGTTATTAGACCTTTATTAGGTTAAGTAAAGTCACTAAGAAAACTAATTGTTCATGAAGTCATCAAAACATCTCACCAATCTTCATCAAATTTGACAGTTAACTAAAGGACAATCACCTTGTTTATTTAATAATTATAAATAATTGTTTGCTAATTTTATAGATGATTTGCTTAATTGCAACCACTCCTCTGGTTGGACTGACAGTAACTAATTCAAGTTTATCAACGAGAGTCATTTCGCTTGATTTAGCTCTTCAAGTGAAAGCAAATTGCAACTATTAATTATCACCAAAATTAGCGTCAAAACCCTAAAAAGAGAAAGTATAAACATCTAACAATTATAAATGAGAGCAATTAATTAGCTTAACTTATCGATTAATCTTCAAAGCAACTGATTACCGGAAAATTTAACAGAAACAAAGGCTTCATCAATTCAATCTTCACTGAAATCCTGAAAGATGGACTTGAATCCTGTTTTTACTGGTTAACAATTTGATTGTTATTTCTGAATATAAGTAATTTTTCCCATTTTCAATCTGGAAATGATTAAAAATTTAGAGCTGATTTTTACCGCTTTGGCAAAAGAAGTCAAAATATGTTTGATGTGTTGATCATTGGAGCGATCAACGGTAAATCATCTTATCTATCATAGATGGTTGAGCAGGTTGATCATGAATAAAAATATATTTCAACCCAAACCAGAAAAAAAGACAAAAAATGTCATCAAGACTGAATTTTAAACAGTTAGTCTGTAGACAACCGTTAATGTTAATCATCATAACCATCTGAACAATACAGAAACACAATTACCCTTGAGAGAGCAAATCGTTACAATTTGATTCTCAAGCTTTTGTTTCTTATTTTTATTATTGATATCTTTCATCTTATAAATAATCAGGTAAAAACATTTGAACCAGATAAAACAAAACAACAGTTAAAGAAACAATTATCGTCAATTTTTGTGAACACAACATCAAACAATGAGATGAACCATGTTCCGAGAAAACACTTGTTTTGTCACATTTTCATACAAATCACTAAAGCAGGCCAACTTTTCAATGGATAGTCAATGATACCATTTCGGTGAAGTGTTTTGTGGTGTCATCTTTAAATCAATTATGAATGAAATGGACGAAAGGCCAAGTCTATCCTCAGTCGATGAATTATGTGTCTTCTTGATGAACCGTATAGGAATCTGTGTATCAGCTTCTGAAGCAGCAACAACACAAGAGCTTGTCAACAAAGTAATTGAGACTTGGTTTACTCCAAGATTGTCTTCCTCTTCGTCTCCTAGATCATCCTTGTCATCTTCATCACCAACGGATTCAGCTTTAAAAAATAACTCTACCTTACCAGATCTACGTTATTCAACCAATGGACCAGATGATTTGATTAAATTTTTTACTCTTTGGATAACCTCACCAACCCTGGAGTTACAGTTAAAACCGCTTCATCGTCCATTCAAAGTGCTTAAACATTGGGAAAATTTATCTAATAAATATGGTTTTATCAAGGAAAATTTTGTTCACCTTTATGGTTCATCATCAGCTTCATCAACCTCTGTTAATTTAGATCCAATTGTTAGCTTCCAACGGAATATATTCACAGCCAAATGGGAAGAGATGAAGACAACCGATCCAGATGTATTACAACTGCTGTATGAAGAGGCCAAAGTGAATGTTCTTGATGGCCGTTATCCTGTAGATTCATTTGAAAAGCTAGCTGCCATCCAAGCAGCAATTGAATTAGGCCCTTTCAACCCTAAACTTCATTCAAGCAAATTTCTTAAACAGATGATTGGTCAGCTGTTTGGATCTGTTTCTCACCATCGATCATCATCAACATCTTCAGTCAAATGGTCAACCTCATTGACTTCACCTTTCACCCAATCGTCATCTTCCCTTGAAAACAAGATTATTCATTATTACCGTAAATTGGGCAATGTGACATCAAAGACTCAACTTTACCGCAATTATTTACAAATGTGCTGGCCTTTACCTTATTATGGAAGTGCCTATTTTCATGGTTTGATTGAACGTTCATCTAAAAATTTTGTTTCCCTCATTAGTAACAGATTAATTCAAGTTTGGATCGCCATCAATCCAATTGGAGTCCATATAATTGATGAAAAACACAGTGTAAGTGACAGTTTTATGATTAAAAACCCATCAGTTGTATTGAAATGCATGTAAACCTTGAAATTTATTATAATTTTAATGATATGATAATCTTTGTCTGCTGACAAAAAATGATTACCATATGATATCAACCTGAAATGCTGTTAATATTGACAAAGTCATGATTTTCATTTATCAAGATGATTTCCATCCTTAAAATTTTTCCGGTTTTCAACAATTCGACTGTTTCCAGGTTAATAACTATCATTAACATTATATTGACCTCAATGTATCTGATTTTGACTGACAATTCGTCTTACTAATTTTTTCATTTCTTTCTCATTCAAATTACAGAGATTGATAATTTCATTGGAATTCAAAAGATTCAAATGGGAATTAGCCTTAACATCTAACAGTCAATCTAAACGAGAAACACAAGTGCCGTCAATATTTTTTTACTTCTGGTCGCGAGTCGATTATAAGACAAACTTAATTCAGGTTATATCACCTCAAGCCTACCTGATGAATACACTTTTAAACGCTTTCCATGAAAAACAATCGGGACATCTTTCTCGACGTCAAATATACTCTAATGACAATGATTTTAATTGTAAGTTTGATCAAAACTACTAATAATTTCCTTACTAATTGTGTCTTTATTTGCTTTTCAGACGCCAATTTTGACCAACAGCCAACTTCAATACAAACTTCAAACCAAAAAACCAGTCAAACGTGTAATTACAAAGGAAATAGGAAATACCGCTCTTAATGTCCACTGATTGTTTCCGTTAATTTTACAGACACCAGTTTAATGCTTTACAATAGACAATCTTTTAAAGTTCAATTTTTTTCTGTGAAAATAATCATGTTTAGCTTTATTCTTAGATGTAAATACATTGTGTTGATATATTACTTGTTTTGTTTAAATCTGACGGATTCAATTTTATGTGAAATAAAATTGTTGATAGAAGAGTTGAATTGAAATATAATTTATATGTTAGTTACAAGGGATTCAAGGGTGATTAGCTTGTCATCAATTGGGTGTAAATTATTGTTGAGATAAGGTTGATTCCAAGCCTTCATAGAATTCGCTGTATCTTTGAACAATGGTTCCTCTAAAAGCAACTTTACCGGATTGCCTGTCTTCTGGTGCATCCCAAACCAGAGTTGCTGACCTTTTACCTCTCCTGTCTGAATGGGAAACAGCTGAACATGAATTGATCATCTTGAGACCTCGTCCTTCTTGCCATTTACCAATCGTTTGGCCTGTTGATGGATCATAAGCTTGAACCATCATTCCTCTGAATGAAAGTCCTTCAGGAGCTTTAACCATTACTTTATTGTGAAATATAAAGAAGGCAATAAAAGATGAAAGTCATCAATAAATCATAATCATAAAGTAAATTAACTGTATAATCCAAGATTATACTTCACCTCAATCAATCAAATGATAAAATATACAACGTTTCCAGTAAAGCTTCAACACTTAATGTTTACAATGTTTAGAGTCAGTCTATAGTCAAGATTAACTTTAAGCTTGAGGAAAGTGAATGTTAAATCACAATTGAGATGAACTATTAGATGGTAGATTGAATGATATGATTGATTCAGATGATTGAATAGACGGATTACAAGATCACACAATTAAATCAATCAGCTTACCTTGAACACTGTCTCCAGTTTTATAGTCGGAATGAGATTGAATGATAACAAAGGGTGATGATGACGGACTTTTGGGCCTATTAGCTCCATGACCGGGACTCAAAGTGTTACAAGCGTTTTCAGGAGCACCACTGGGCCAACTCAATGAACCAGGAAGATGAATAGAGATGAAAACAATTACAAACAAATAAAGACAATTGTTGAGTCTAGTAAACATTTTAGGTAACAAGTGAAACCGTCCGGACAGCTGGTAACCAAAACAAAAACACTTAACAGGTAATGAGGTTTTTTTGTATCCTTTCAATGATCCTTTTTTGCTGAATACAGTTTATCAAATTGAAATGTTTTAATGTTATCCTTATTTATTTTATATTTTGTCTTGATTTGATTATGATGATCAACTCAAACAAGATCGTTAACCACGTTTCCACAATTTCAATCAAACCCGGTTAAGCAAGTTACCAAAATTTTAATACAACATTAACATTCGTTTGGTTCGTTGACATTAACTAAATCATATTATTAAAATACTCAACTTTGGACACTTTCAGGAACGACCTGATTAAAAGATGAAAACTTTGATTAGTTTATTATAGAAGATGATTAATAGAACAAATAGATTAAATTCATCTTCGTATTGACAGTTTACTTGTTGACTTCAATTTTCAAAGTACACAACAGTTCTGAAACAAAGTTAACCAAGTCAAATGGTTCAAGTTTGTGCGTCTAATTAAATTTAAATTGTCCATTTTGTATCTTACCCATTATGATTATTTACCTTTAATTTGTGTGTTCAATTCAAAATTATTTCCGCTATTTTACCTGCAAAATCCTTGAAATGACAAACAATTTCGTTTTCCCTCTGATTTCAATTCTCAATTACATCCAGACTTATTATTTAAGATATTAAACAATTGCTGCTAAACCTTGATTAATGCTCATTTAACGTTAATTAATGACCGTATTATTTTAATACAATTGATTCTTGCAAGGTCGCAACATAAGCTAAAACGGTCCAATAATTAATCAGTTGTATGGATTGAAAATTGTCAAATTAAAGCTGAAACTGTTAAGATTTTTCATTGGCATTAACAGATACCTTTATTCAATTGTTGCCGTTGCCAATAGATGCTAATGTAAATTGGGTTTAATGGATAATTTGATGCTGCTTGGTTTTTTTATCGAGGCTAAATGATAAATGAATATCGATCAGACAAAATGGACCATTCAAGATGATTGTACTGATAAAATATTTTCATATTAACTCGATATGTAACTAACACTTTTTAAGGTGATTAACAACATGTTTAGTCTTTTGTTTTTTAGCAGGCAACCAAGCCTGAAGGTCTCATTGCATGTACATCAGCTGGTTAACCAAAAGACAGCATTATTAAATCTTTCAATCAAATATTTTAAAGATAGGAACGTCTTTATGCCAGATTTTTCCAACTTTATTATCCTGATTTGTATGTCTTCCATGAACTTTAAAGAATTGAAATTGAAAGATGAGCGGTAGAGCGGTCAATAATTTCTGATAATAGATGTAACCAATAACAATTGATTGTTTATTTATAATTAATTTGTGATCTATGATTTAAGCTTGTTGTTTTGTGAAACAAGATGAAAGAAAAAAAATCAAAAGACAGGTCATGATCAAAAAATGCTGGGCCAGTTATGATGTCCAGGAGGAAACTGTAAGAATGAATGAGATTGAATTAGAAATTAGTAAAAATGAGAAAATATGGAAACTACGAGAAATATTTACATTAGTTCATCAAAATGGTTAATTTTAACATCTTATATTTCTTCTTCGCCAGATTTTTCTGCCTTCTTTGGTTCGGTATCTGTATCGGTGAAATTGAATACTCCAGATTTAACTTTCTTTAAGGTACCACGGAAGTCCATTGCTGCTTTCTGGGCCACTTCTCTCATCCGTTCCAATTTCTGTTCATATTTAGATACTTTCTTAAGAGTGGGTTTGATAAATTTACCACGTAAGTCACACACTTGGGCATTCAGTTCTTGCAGCTAGTTTAAAAAAAGAAACAGCCAAGAAATAGAGGGAAAACATGAGAGAATCAGTTTGAATGAATGAATGTAAACACATGTTAAAAAAGAGTTCAAATAATGTTGATGGTGAATGCACATTTGAATGATAAATACTAGGATCAATACTTAATGTTTTGTTGAGTGATTTGAGGGGACAAAAAAGAAAGCAAAACAAATTTAAAATTGAAAAAAAGGAAAATAAACTAATTAAGATGAAGGCGAATAAATTGTTTTCAGATGAGTCAACCATAAAGAAGGTACCTAAACGGCGCTTAACACACCATTCATCCAAATTATTGGGTTGCCAATGTGTACACCAAAACTCATCAACAATGCCAGCAATTTTTTGCCTCTTAACCTTCGCATGTTAATCAACAAAATCAAGAAGCAAGATACAAAAAATTGTCAAAACTCTTTTCATTTTTTATGAACCAAAAACAGGGTTTTGTTCATATTTTAAGAATGAACATTTCAAGATTTTCCGTTACTTATCATTAATATTTCAAATAACTTATTGACTGCAAAGGCTCCATCTTCTGTATGATTTGTCAACAGTAAAAGTAAATAAATCTAACTTTGATAGCTTCTTTTTAATAAATTGATCTAATCTTTGTTATTGTTATTGATATTGTTTTATTATTTTATTACAATTGTGAGCTGGATTAAGTGAAATTTGCCTGTCTTAATCTCTCTAATTCTCTATCTTCTCAACAATAAAGCTTTTTTAGCAAGTAAATCGTAAGCTTTTCATTTTTTGATACACAAGTCGTTTCCTCTTTTTGCATATCAATTTCTTCTTTCATTCATATTAACTTGTAAGTGTCAATTTAATTCTTCAACTACAATTCTTCAAGTGTAATAAATCCTGTGTAAGGAACATTTGGTTGATCATAATGATAATCAAAGTTGATCTTGAAACGATGCCAAAAAATCAATTGGATTACAGACGATTATAAAAATATTCATTGCATGATGTTCACTTTGACAAATTATACCATTTCTTCAGGATAAATATAGTGATTTTGCCGTATAAAATAAAAATCCACTTTGTCCATAATATCAGTTCAAATGTTCAAGTAAGTATAAATTGTAAGTTAAATTACCAGTTGAAATAATTTCTAATACTCACCGTTATATCTTTTCTTTTGACCTCCTGCTCAACATCATAGTTGGCATCAGCCAAAGATGTAATTCGTTTGTGATACTCTTTACAGATTTTCATCAACTCAGCTGATTGGGAAATAAAAAAGGACAAAATAATGAAGATCAAGCAAACATTAACCTTGACAGGATGAAAAGGAAATTAAAAAACGGATTAAACAGATTACCTTCATTTCTAGCATCATTATGCTTTGGTTGACCTGTTCTTTCACGGATTACTCTTTTTCTTTCTTGAGCTTTCCTTTCTTGTTCACGTTTCAACTCTTCAGCCGCCTTTTTTCTTAATAAAACCTGCGAAGAAGATCAAAATGGGATTCATTAAGGAACCAGTGACCATGGACATAAAAAACGAACCGACAGCCAAATTTCTTACCCTTAACTTCTTCTTTCTATCTGGAGTTAGAAAACCTCTTTTCCCTTTAGCAGCTTTCGCCTGTTCCTCCAGACGTCTTCGTACTTCGGCCTTTTTCCTTTCCTTGTCCTCTCGTCTGTACCGTTCATCCTAATTTTGGGTTTATCAAGCAATTGCAAAATTAATATACACTCATCATAAACGTGTCACACGGAACTTTAGTGTCACAAATGTTGTGAATTTTTACCTCACTTTCCATTTTGATATGAAAAGAAGCTACAATGAAAAAGCAAGAAGGAAAAGAAAATGCAAACAAGAATTAGAAGATTGATTCAAATCTTACAAATTCACCCGAAATGGATTAGAAAAATCGGAAAATAATCTCAATTAATCAATCAACAAACCGCTAAACAAATGCTGTTACCAATATTTTTCAATTATATCTTACAATCACAATTTTTAATACTCAATGTCAATTGAATTAATTGATAATAACTATAGATTAATATCCGTAATAGAAATCAATCGTCCCAAATGATTGATAATATTCTTAATATTCAATTATTTCCAGGTCAAACAGTTAGCTGCACCAAAAAATGGCAAATCATTAACAATTCAACAAAAATGATCTAATGTAACAACAATTAGCACAGCAAAACAAAAAAGCAAAATGCGATTGAATGTATCTTCATGCAGAATAACAAGCAAATCAATTGTGAAGAAAAAATCTTGAACCCAATTTCAAATGTTCAAACCTTCTAACCAACAATTTTGTACTTGATCTAGATTGTTCAATAATTAAAATGCTAAGCAATAAAAGTACTAAGCTCTCAACCAATGTGTTTTGAATTCAATTAGCTATTCAATTATGACCAGAATTATGAACAATAGGAGAAACCAAATAAACCATAAACTACCATGAAGTTGATGATTAACTAATGATAAATAGAGTAGCTCATAAAGCAATATGAAAACTGTCAAAAATCAAATGAATCCTTGCCAAGAGTTAATGTTTCACAAATCAAGTGAACCTTAAAATGTAACCAACTACAATAGAGAAATGTTGACAACAATAAATATTATCAGACTGTGTTAATTCATGGAGTTGATTAGATGATTTCTTGCGTTTAATTATTTCAACTGAAACTAGGAAAATAATAAACCACTGAAAAGCGTTAAGATTTTACAGATTGACAATTTACATATGCTTATAACCTTGTTTGCAGTGTTCAATGTTCATCTCTTGAAGGAACCATTTTTACCCTGTTCAGTCCTGTTTTACCCTGTAACATGGTTATAGGAAGGCGAATTAGAGCAAAAAATCATTAGAAGATTGATGACGGGTTTATTTTTACAATCAAAGAATCAATACAATCAATTATTTTGGCAACTTTCTCATCCTTTTGCATTCACTTTCACTTTCAAATGCAACTTTCCAATATTTGTTTCAACCATTTCCTTGATCAACCCCAAAAAGACTCATTTGGACTCTCTTAAACCTAACAATTAATCAATTTCAATAATTTTAATCCAATAACAAGTCAACTATTTAGCAAACTAATTAAACAAGACATTGATTTAGATGAAAATAAACATTAACTGGTTAAACCCAAAAACATTGTCTTCTTTTCAAATCCTCTCATTGACAATTTTAAGCCTAACAATAATCTGATACTAAAACCACCATTTATAATCATCTTCAATCCATAATATAATTGTTAGACTATTTTAATATCCAATCAATCAACAATTAATCTCACCCTTACGAGGTTATTAACAGATTTTAAATTTGACTTGTTCAGCTGAAAATGAAAACCGTGAAAATTGAATCTCACTGTTTTAACATGAAACAATAACAACAATAATGATCATTTGAAGCACAATTACAATCTTTAAAAGTGACTTATAGTGAACCAAACTGATTGTAATCCCAAAATAAAGTTGCTCAAAAAACCAGGAAAATTAACCAGAAAAATTAAGCAAAAAATTAACCAGAAAAATAAGCTAAAAGTGAATCTTGGATGCAATTTATCTCAAAGTTGTTGCTTAAAATGACCTAAAAAGTGTTGCTGCTTAAACGAGGTTTATTATTAAGATTTTTATATTAAAAAATGTCTCAAGTCTATTTAAAATGGGTTAAAAAAAAGGTTCATCATCATTACTCTTGTTATTCATTTGAAAATCGTTGAAAAAAAAGCTGTTTTTGTGAAGATAATTTTGTTTGAAGTCGCCATTATTAGTGTGGTTTAATGAATTAAATGATGGCAATTTGAAATGAATAAAGGTTAATTGTAATCATTGGTGTCTCTCCCTGAATGTAAACTAAAAATGTTGAGTGTAAAATGTTAAATCATTAATTAAATTTGACTCAAGTAAGTAAATGAATGTTTGCTACTTTTGTTAATGAAAGACACTTTCTTGTAACAAGCTTAACATTGGAATACAAGTGTGAAGATGAAGAAGAACACTTTTCTTTCTCTTCTCTACATCATCACCTTTACTTGCTAAGGTATTCAATGGTTCCTAAGATTGCCAAAAAATATCAACTTCTCTGGCTCTGAACAGTTTCATGCTTATTCAGTAAACAATGAGGCGTAGACAAATAAACAATCAGTCAACGGCGTAACAAGCAAAGTATCAACTAGACAACCTTTGTAATCCAAAAGTCAACCCAAACAATCCAATTCAATGTTCAAGCCTAATTCAAGCCTAATTCAAGCCTAATCTAAACTTGATTCAAGCTTGATCCAAGTTTTAATTTTGATCAAAGTGCGATAAGTGCGATATGTTTATAAGCAAAGATTAATTGAATTTTGGTAACTTAATAGGTAAACATTGGCATGTTTTTCATGCTTTCACTGTTGAAGCTTTTTCAATTTATTTTGGTGAATTGTTACATTGATTAAATACATTGCCAAATGTTTGGAAATAAAAATTTCTAATTATTTCAACAATCAAAGCAAATCTCATTGAATTTGGTGAAATATTGCTGTTTCTCTTGAAATGTTGATTATTGCAAGCAATGAGTTACACATTTGAGATGAATTTTAATAAAGATCAGATTGAAGTTTGAAATAATCAATTGAATGGTTGATCTTAATGGTTAAATCTGTTCATCAAATTTGCTTAAAGTTTTTTTGATCTAAATCAATTGTAAATCAGGAAAAGTACAAAGTTAAACAATAATTGACTTGAAATTGTCTCATTGAGTTAGCATTTGAAGAGTTCAAATTTAATGAAGCAACATTTTTAAATATATTTTGCCATTTGTTTGTTTCATCTCAATTAACTTATAAATGATTAGATTATTTGATGATCAATGAATTAAAAGGTAAAATTATATTGAATAACAAGGTTAAGTTAAATGTAAAGGCAATGTTGAATGTAACAAATTAAGAAACTGAAAACCTTCAAGTGATTGAAGCAACTAAGATGGATTAGATTTGGATAATTATTTAGTTAATTATTCAGATAATTGTTACGATGTTGATTTAGATGATTGTTTAGTGAAGAAGACAAGTTGATAGTAATTGGATTAATATATGAGACAATGATGAGAGTAAAGTGAGTGATTGAGATTAACTGGTGAAAGTAAGATGAGGAAAGATTGACTTACCTGATGATTGGCTGGTTGATTAGGCGATGTTGATCAACAAATTAAACAAGCGTATGACACGTTAATCGAGGTCACTGTCACGGTTAAGATTGAGCTTGCTATTAACTCGTCAATTGTTGATTAACCACTAAACAACAAGACTATCAATACGAGTAACAATAATGAACGTTGTACAAGTAAAATGGAAAGGAAGGCAAAAAAACGCGAGAAAAAAGCGCAATATTAAAGGTAAACAAAAGAAGAGAAGAAGATGAGAAGAAGTGAGTTGCAGTGAGATGATGATGAAGATGATGAAAGATGAGGCTGAAAGTGATACTAGGAAAGGATGACAAAAATGTAAATATAAATATCTATTGATTTGTTTCACTAGCTTTGTGATTGGCAGGGAGTCAATAATATTTTGCCTGATCGATTGGGAATTCAAATGAATAGAAATAAAATATTTACTCTCTCTTTCTCTCTGTCATCCAGTTTGTCATCCTGTGGGTTTTAAGCCTCTCTCTGTTCCTCTCCACCCTTATAATTTTCATCATCATATCATCTAGTTTGAGTCCGAATTCATTTAGCACAAACTCAGCTTGTAATGATAACGCCTTTGCAAGATGAACAGAAGCTCAGGAAACATGAAGATAATATGAAGGCGGATGAGCTTGCGCTTCTTCCTCATCTTCATACTCATCTTCATCAGTGTCCTGAGAATGTTGATTATCAAAGTGATACAGATGAATATTTTTAAACTGGTGCAATTTTTCCTCTTTTTTAGCTTTTCTTCTCATTTTTACACCAAACATTCACTTTCTCTCATCTTCATTCGCATTCTCACCATAATTATAATCTTTGAAACTTTCATCTTCCTTGACTTCATCTTCATCATCCTTCTCATCGTCTCGATAATTTTTCTGGTCTTTGTTGTAAACGATTCAGGTGTTGGTTGCACCTTTGGGTTACTCTTTGCTTTAACCTAAAATTTGGTTTATTTTGAACAAAAGCTGAAAACTAATCGATCCTTTGATTCTCAAATGAATGATAATTAGTGAGCTTCAAGAGGATATGATGATGATAAATTCAAGAAAATGTTGTTCTCATTTTGTGCCAATGAGGTTGATAAAATGAGAGATGAAGATGAAAAATAAGGTTCAACAACGCCAAGTTTAGCAAAGCGAATGTAATAGTTGCCATTATCAATGGTGAATATTTCCAATTTTTCCTCACTTCTCTTTATTTTATCATCATCATCTTCTTCTTCCTCTGCTTCATTTTTCCATTCATTTTACTTTCATTTTCCTTCATCAACTGAAGTCGCTTAAAATTTCATTTTCACTCACAAATGAACATCAAACTTCTCATCTTTTTTTCATTATTCAATCTCATTCTTTCACTTTCATCTTGTTCAGCTATTCATTGATTGCTTTTGTAATCATCATTTGCATCATAACTTGAATCATGATAATGAATAGCCAGACAAGTTAAACCTAACCCAATTGAGTGGAAACTAATTTACTTTTTATTTTTACCGTTTATCACTCAACTTCACTCAAGTTCACTTTGAACAAATTGATAAATCTAATTAATTTGTGGTTTATTTTTGTCAATCATTTGATTGTTACAAATTACCGCAGCAACAGTGAATCTTTATTAAAATCTCATCATTTTAATGTGTGTTCAATAAAATTTGATATTTTGAAATGAATCTTTCAATTGTGGTCTTAAATCATGAGGGTTGATTGTTTTTATTGCCTTAATTGAAGCGACAGAACAATACAAAAATGTATTCTTTTTAAATCATCTGGAATCAATGTAAAGATGTGATTTACAAATGATTTAGGTTTATAGTTAAGCTTCCGATGTTGGTTTACAGGCAATGAATATGAGCGATTGATAAATTGTGATCAATATACTGAAAAGATAATTGATGGTAGCATTAAATTGATTGTGTTTTTCCATCAGTACGGCTAATTGTTGGATGTGTTGATAGCCTTATGTATTTGTAATTTATATTATCCAGTATCAACAGGTTTTACTGATTGTTTGGTCTCAATAAACTATAGAAGAAGCAAAAAGATAAAAACGAAACAAAACAAAAATTAGAATAAATGAAAGAAACAAAAAATTGGGTTAATTCAGGTTTAAAGTTAAATGAAAAGGTTAATTTATATGAAATTGTAATACAAATATTGTTAAATCAAATGTATTTGGGTGTTGCTATTTATTTGTTTGAATCACTCACTTGATATTGGTAATAGTGATATTGGAGAGTCAAAAAGTAATAACAATCAGATTAAATGTAATCGTTGGATTGAGCTGCTTCCAATAATTGATTAATTGAAGTTGATTTTCTGGTGATTGTTTGGTGAAGTTGAAGGCTTCTTGTTCTTGTCAATCTTGTTTAGAGTTATACTTTGCATGTTTTTTCAACTCTTTGATTAACAATTTGTGATGTAATTTCCAATTGTAAATATTGACATGAAAAATCGTGTAGTTGAATATTTAATAACAATGTAGTTAACAGGAGATGCAAGTGTAACTTAGCTTGGCCAAACAAAACGGCATTGATTGTGTTCTTACGCTCTTCTTGTCACTTGTTTTCTCCGTGTTTTTGTTGTTGTTGTTGCTTTATATCAGCTTGTTGGCACTAATTGGTCTGACTTTTCCGAGTAATCAGTCTAACCAAAAGAGTTGTAATAATAATTGAAAAGTTGTATGCACTAATACATGCATGTTAATAGAAATCTTGTCTTTGTACAATTAATACAAAAAGAGTTGAGTTGTTGAATCTAATTGAGAAATTATGTTCAAATGATTGATAGTTGAAGTGATTCAATTAGATTGAGAGATGATTTATCAGTGTAAGAAGGAATGAAAAGGAGAAGAGGTGAAGAAATTAAATTATCAGAATGAAATTTACCTAAAGTCTATTGAAGATCACCTATTTTTAATGTTTTTCTGTATATTTGTTTTTAACTGGTACGGTTGAAAATTCTGGTAATTGCTAGGAAAAATTGTGAATCAACAGAAAGATGATTCAGAAATTAAGGAAATAGAGGAAAAAAGGAAAGAAATACAGAAAAATAATAAAAATGATGATATGTTGCTTGATTAGAAGATGATCGGCATGTTGTAATTTGATAGCTTTTCATCGGTATGTTGATCATTAGAAAGGGTGTAAAGTGATCGACGGCGACGTTGATTACGGTTATTATTTAATCGGACTGGTTCGTATTCAATTTCTTTAAATGGATTGAACAATTCGTCTCCATCCCAACGTCGAGATGCTCCTGTTGCTGCTGATGATGATGAGGGTTTAATACGGTTTCGGTCAGGTTTTTCATTTTCAATTAAAGCCTCATTATCCTTAAATTCATCGAAATCAGCCAAACGTTTGGGTGGTGCTACGGTTGATGATGAGGTTAACCTAAGGCTATTACGTGATGATGGAATTGTTGCTGGTTTCAAGGTTGACCGGAGGTAAGGATTTGAACGGTGAGTTGAGAATCGATTTGAAGCAATCCGAAAAGTTGAGCTACTACTAATTGATGGTGAAATGGTAGTTGTAACTGTTTTCGGAGTTGTTTGACGGTCATTTGAGTGTGGGATAAATAATCGATCTGTTAATGATTTTCGAGTTCTCACAACTGGACGTTTGGGTTTTCTGGTTGATTTTCGGAATGTTCGAGGTGCTTCCGTTTCTTCTTTATCTTCATCAGATTCTGTTGTCGTTCTAGGAGTAGTTGTAGTTGTGGTTGTGGTTGTTGTTGATCGACGACGTGGTCTTTTAGTTGAGGTTGTTTTGATCTTTTTAGGAGCAACAGTTGTTGATGTGGTTGTGGTTGTAGTTGATGTTTTTGCTTGTTTCTTGCTTTGTCTTGAAGATCGTTGAGACTTACTTTGCAAGTTTGATACATTTTCTGAATTTGGTTCATCAAAACGAGAAGACCTTCTGACTGATCTTCCTGAAGATGATCGAGCGATTATTGGAGATTTTGTAGTAGACGTTGTCGATTTACGATCTGATCGAGATGAAGTCGTAGTTACATCAGAACAGCAAGATTCTCGTGAAACTTGAGATGAAATTGACCTTGATGATCCAAGTTTAGATGATGATGAGCGAACTGCTTGACGTGACCTACTTTCAATTCGTCCTCTTCGAGCAGCTTCTTTTATCTTTTTCCTACTTTTCTCTGGTTTAATAACGATAATTAATGGAGTTTTGGGAATTGGTGTGGTTGTTGTTGTTACTGGAGAAACTGAAGTTGATGATCCTGATTAATGAAAATTAAAAAATTGGAAATTTCAATGATAAGTAAGCTTTTACTATTATTATTAATGGTGTGAATGATAAAGAAAGAAATGCAAATTGGCTTCCTTTATTCATTATGGTTCAAAAATAATGAAACAATTATAAAAAAAGCTGCAATTGAATTTAATGATAATTAGCTTAATCCCTCTTGTGACTTATTCATATCTTTTTGATTATTTGTTTTGCACTACTTTTGCATTCACTTTTAATTGGATCAAAACTCTTACCTCGAGAGGATTGAAGATCATCATCATAATCTTCGTCTTCAGAAGCTTCAGCTTTGGTTTTCATTGACTGTTTAGCTTTAAAGGATATAAGTTTACTTGAATTATCTTCTTCATCTTCATCCTCATCGTCAGCAATACTTTTTCCTTCAGCTTTAGCTGGCCTTAGACTGCGCTTTCTTGAATCAGTATCACTATCATCTACACCATCTTCATCCTCTTCATCATCTTCCGATTTTTCACTTGGCTTTTCAGTTGTTGTCGTTGTCGTTGTTGTTGTTGATGTGGTGGATGTTGTAGATGTAGTTGTTGTTGGGCTGGTTTCAGATTTCTTATCCTCATCCTCTTCATCACTTTTATCTTCTTCTTCGTCTTCATCTTCACTAGGCTTAGCTGTTGTAGTAGAAGTCGTTGTTGATGTGGATGTTGATGATCCAACAGAAGTTTCTTCATCTGTGCCTTCCTCGTTGTCTTCACCATCAGATTTACGTCCTCCTCGTTCACTTGTTGATCCTTCTGCTGCGTCCTCACTAAACATAAAGTCGAAGAAAGATATTAGTCCAAAGAACATTATATTTGAATTGATTGCAATCAAGATTTCTCACAATTTGTTGATAACTTATTTCTTATTAGAATCAATGCTAGAGTTGGAAAATTATTTCTAACTGATAATTTAGGTGGTGATATCAGTCTATAACCTTGAATACAATTTATTAAATTAATATAACTCAAATATTTAAACAGTTGCATGTAATCTAACTTTCATTATAATTCATGCTAACAAGTTTATGGCTTAAACTCTGATACTTTTCTGCAAATGAATAAAATTATGCATAAAAAACACTTATGAAATGTAATGATCAAGAAAAGTTGAGATACAATCAGATGTAAAAGGCAATTAAATAAGTGAAACATTAATACTTTCATTCATGTAAATCAATGAGCAATTATGCAATAATTACCTTGCTGCATCTTCATCTTCATCTGCATCTTTTACCGACGATGCTGTTGTTGGTTTTGCACTTGTAGTTTCCATCTTGGCTTCTTCGCCTGCGTTAGAGTCCTCGTCTTCAGCATCTTCACTTTTGGTTGAATCACGTTTAGGAGCCGAAGCCGGAGCCGCTTTAGTTGATATTGAAACAGGTTTAACATCAGACTCATCATTTTTATTGCTATTAGAATCGTCGTCATCGTCTTCATCATCAGATTCACTTTCACTGGATTTGGACATTTCTTCATCTCCATCCGTACTTGCTTCACCATTTTTCCCTTTGGCGATTTCTTTCTCTTCCAGGGAACATCTATCCGCACATTGGTTTTTACAAAGCTCCACATTACATGTTAAATGGACATTAGAATGGTCCGGAAACTTGAAAGCCTGAATTACGAAAACAAAAGATTTAATAAATAATATTAATTAATAATTTAACCATTAACAAAGCAATTAGAAGACAAAAAATTAAAAGCAACAAGATAAGCAAAAGAAATAATCACTAAACAAAAACCGTTGCTTAAGACAACAGCAAAATGGCGGGTTAAGCTTTTGTTAAGCTTAACAAACAGCGATGAGTCAAAAGGGTTAAACCAGATCAAATCATTTTCTGACTCAATTTCAGTTACTTTTAACTAAAAGATTGAGATGTAAAGATAAAAAAATCTGATAACCAGAAAATGTGAGTCTTTAAGATATTATTTTTCACATTTTGTTAAAGGAAACATTTAAGTTTGAAATCGATGAACACGTTTCTTTTAGCCTTCAATATTTGCAATGAGACTCCACCTGAACATTTATCAACTATTGTCTATACTACAGGATATAATCAAATCCTAGCCTGGTCAGGAATTAAACAAGAAATGGACTCGATTTGAAAAGGACGGTAAAAAGTGATAGATTGAACCGGATTTTGTTAAAGCTTTTTCATTCAAATGATCGTATAAGGGTAAGTATTGGTTATCATAACCTCATAATGAATCTTTACTCTGTTAAAATACAAGGTACAAAAGACCGTTGAATCAACAATTTAAGTATTATAATACATTTAAATAATGATTGATTAAGTTATGCTTTGATTGGTTTGATCAAAGAAAGATGATGATAATAGTGAAACGAATAAGGAATTAAATAGTGATCAACTTTTATTCCCTAACATCATTTAGGATCTTTACTCAATCAGTTTCTTTCATCGGATGGATTCTTCTAACACTACAATTCAAATTGTAATACAATTCATTAACTCCCCGAGTAAACTATCAAGCAAACGAGATAAATTGATGAAAAGGTAAATTGTAATCAACTTAATCAATAGTTACAAGACACCCACGAACAATTGTGAAATAAATTAACAATAAAATGGATCCAGACAAATCTAAAGCACCAACAGACAACAACAGCAATAGTGATTCTCAATCAGAAACAATTTTGGGAAAATTTTTAATTGCATTGAACTCTTTGAATGATTAAAGCTGTATCAATTTAGTTAATTAAATAAACCAAACGCTAATCAAACGCTGTTTTTGGTCAGCAAAAATGGTTCATTTTCTGATAATTTTCACTCGGAAACAAAGCAAAGATTGAATATTGAATGTAAAGGTTTTATATTGGTTTTATCGGTCATCTCAACAAATCGATTGATTTGCCGTTAATTTAACTATTTAATCATTCAGGTTTAAGGTAAATATTGACATTTATAAAAATACCTCCAAAACAAGTTAACTAATGATTAAGATTTGAATTGTGATTTTTGTTTTTATCCAGTTTTTGCTCCATTAGTTCAATTTGTCTCCAATCTTTCCACAATCAACTTTCGCTGATTGATCATTACAACCATTTGAACTGAACGTTATTGTAAATAAATTGACTGTCCAACTAGTCAACATGATGACCATTTATACGCATTGACAATTTTTACTTTCAGTTTCAAAGGAAGGAAGTTTTTAAGGATAAGAATTGACCTTCTTTTCATTTGATTTTTGTTTTTTATTTTATTTTTTATCATGGCTTTATCATGGTATCTTAATGATTATCTGTAAATAAGGTGAACATGATTAGCCCTACAGTCATTTCCAGTTGATCTAATTTGCCTTACAATTGCCAATGAAAGTGAATCAAAAAGTGGTGAAACTTGAAAGATTAGGTGTTAAAAGAGCATTCTTATTGAATTGAGAAGCTTAATAAGCAAATTATTTGCTTTGAATGCTATCAATTTACTTTGAATTTAAATCTATGATCTGGTTGAAACAAAATTAAGCTTCGTTTAGTTACATTGTTCAATTTGAATCAGCCTTTCAAACTTGTAATATAACAATCAATCACTTCAATCAAAATTTGTATCACTGAAAATTGTTGAAAACCAGTTAATTATGGTAAGAGAGATTGTATGCTGATGGATTATACAGTATAATATGTTTAATCCGCTATTTATTTTGATTAATTCAAATATTTTTCAATGGGTTAATAAAACAATAACATCTCATTGATTGTCATTGCGAAAAATAGATGGCGTAAGAAAGTCCCTTTGTTTTAACGGTTAACATGTGATTTATACTTTTGGTGAATGTTGGATTAATTTAAATTGTCAATTCCTAATTGATTTAAGGTAAATTTATTACTTAACAACTTACCGTTACAGTACTGTATGCTAGAACAGTAGCGTCTTGAGCACCGGTAGTGGTTCTCTTCCAAACATCCATTAACTTGGGTTTTAATGGACATCCATCTTCACCACTCAATTGTAACAAAGCTGGACTCGTGTCATTAACTGACTTTTCATTATCGTATGCGTAACAGTCTTTAACCCGAATATCAGTTCGTTTACGAGTATCTCGAATGTAGATAGCCAGAGTTAAATTTTCACCAACTTTAACTGGACCATCAATTGGCGAATTATTGGGATAACGGCCTTTGGTTACATCCATCCAGCAGTCAACTTTATGCTCATCACCGGCAAAGTCAGCCATAGGAACCTTTATCATGATCAAATAGGAAACAATGAAAGATGTTATATTTAATTTAAACATGACATTAATCAAGTGAGATCCATGGAGAGAAAGGTAACGTAACTTAAGGTAAAGACTTTCAACCAACACTTCAACACTTCAACACCAATTAACCCAAAATATACTATACTCATAACAAACGTTACTATTTCAGATATTAGTACGATATTTTCAACTGGTTTAACCTGTTTATGTTAAATTTAAACTCATTCAACTCTTTTAGCTCTTTTAGATGAGATCCGTTATAATTATGTTCATTCCATGTAATAATTGGTAGATACTCCTTGGATTAATCATCTTTTTTATAACTACTTTCAGAAGAATGGATAACAACTTACCCTGATAACATCAAGCATATCAACGAGGAATGGTTTGAATATAACTCGTTTCTCTTGGACTGGAAGGTCGCGTTGCAGTGAATATCGACAAGATAATAGACGAGCAGAGTCCCAAACTTCTTGATAAATTGGATCGTTTTGGAATATTATTACATTTTCGAATTGTTTAGAATCTTTGACGTCTTTACTGAGAACACTCGCAGTACCACAACCTTCAGCTGGAATTTTGAATGCTAAATTGGACGAATCGCTTTTCTCTTGGACATATCTGTTTTGGGTTGAATCATCGAGAAGCAAGAATTAGCAAGAATATGAATATTCCTTAAGGCTCGGTTGACCAACATTGATCAAAGAAATATATTCAATCAAGATTAATTAGCGTATTTTCTCACTTTCTTCTGGGAACTCTGACTAAATGATCGATAATTATCATTGTGATCAACCATTATCAGCTTCATGTCTGGATATAATTTGCGTGATATGATTGAACGTGATTGTCAAAGAAATAAACAACTCAATTAAATATGCTTATTGAACTCAATTTGTTGGGAATCAAAACTTATTAACTGATAATCAAAAGGAGTTTGCTGTCTGATGCTGATTAATTCAGTTCACCAATGAATGATATTTACACCCAATATATATCAGAAACGTCAATTTGTATTAGAAACAAAAAATTGCTGAACAAATCTTTAAAGAAATTGATTTCAAATTGTTTGGTGGAATCGCACTCTTAGTCGGAATCACTGAAGGAAATTTAAGCCATCGACTAGATCATGCAAAAAGAAGGACTATTTAGATTTATATCATTTTTCTCTGATTCAGTCTGAGAAACAAATAATTTATATTAAATTGTTCCAATTTTTTGTTGGGTGGAAACATTATCACTTATAATTCTAAATTATGATCGTTGATTTGGTTAATAATACACAAGTTTATTGAAATTGAAAATAATCATTGACTGGGAAAAAATCTTGTTTACTAATTTGTATTTACATTAGCTTATTGCAAGAAACCATTTTGTTTCTACAATCAAACCTTGATTTGGTTTATTATTATAATCATTAAAATATTAACAATTTTTAATCACAGTATTTCTTGATCATTTTTACCTTTTGTTTTGCTTTCCAATTTCATTGAGACGCTAATTTAACAATATCACTTGTGAGGTCAATCATTATTTGATTTATATTATTATCAAGAAACATTAAGCATACTTAGTTGATTCATTTGAAATGCTTTAAATTTGATTGCAATGTTAATCTGAAGGAATGAGCAGCCAGAACATCAAATGAGTTTTAATTGACTCAATTTAAGGTTTAATACAATGAAATAGACAAGATTGACCATTGAATGATTACAGGAAGAAACCTTCAGAAATGTGACTGAAAATGGGAAAATTAACAACATCAACAATCAACGTTAATGGTGCTATTAAAGGTGGCCTAAAAGGTGATCAAACCAGACTTACAAACAACCAATGGTAATCTAAATCCAGTTTTAATCTCAATAGAGTTACAGATTTAATAACAAATCAACCTTGAAAAGTACAGGTTATTTGACTTTAAACGTTAAATTTACGCGAAAATTTGGTTTCATTTCATGTCTAGCTCTTCATCATTGCAATCTTTGAAATGGCAAGGACAAACCATGGATAAGATGATTAGATAATTAATATTGTAATCCAAAGATGCTAATAAAAGAATGAACTATTCAAAGAAACAGATAAATTCTTGAATTGAAACTGAGACAAACAAGAAATTGAAATGCAAACATTTCCATGTCTAACCTTTTTCAAGTCCAAGCGCATTCAAGTTTATTTTTACTTTCATTTCACTAACAGCTTATTGACAACATTCAATTAAAAAATTTAAATTGAATTTACATAAATTATTGAAGGAAATAAATTGAAATTGTAAAATCAGAACGAAATAGCAAATGAAAACAATCAAACCTTAAGAGGTAAATCTCCTTCATTTTGGTGAAGCTGCAGCAGACTTCAATGAGACTCAACAATTACGATGAAGATGATTAAACTGTCTCACAATTTGACTAATTGAAAAGTGCAAATCTAATGATTAAAGTGAACGCATTTAATCACTCTCGATTAGAAGACTCAGCCTTGAGCCAGTTTAACCATAAGTTTCTTGATAATCTTGGTTCAACATTTCATTAATTTACCTTCATTCATTTCTCACTAAACACACTGATTCAACATTAACTTCACCATTTAACCATATGTTAATAAGTCCTTCAATGTTGCACTTTTAATAGCGATTAGCTAAATCGTTCTTGAATTGCGCTTCAAAACAAACTAATTCAAGAATCAAATCTTTTCATCATTTCCAATCTCTTTACTAACCTTTTCATCTTCCAATATATTGATGATCATATTTAATTGTTAGGCTAATTGTTGTCAAATTTTAATTCTAAATCAACCAATTTTACCCATTCAATTGAGGTCAGTTTTGGGTTAACCATTTGAATTATCCTTTGCAAGTGACATTCATTTTATAATTTGGTTAACTTGACAATTTTTGCACCTCTTTAACTTTAATCAGGTTCACTTGATTGTTAACTTTTGTGTTATAAATTCAAGAAGAACTGTAATTAAGACAAATCTTGTTAATAACAATTGTTGACTAATTATGATTGTAGATCAGACATTGAATGATGAGTTTAAGTGTTGATAAACAGAGTTATTACATGTTAATAATCAAAATAAAATGAAAATTGTCTAATAAGGAAAACAGTGAAAAATAAATGGTTCAAATTAAATTCTTGTTTAACTGTTTTCCATCAAAATTGTGTTTCCTTCATTTAAATTAAATTAGATAGCAAGTAAAAGACTGCAATTAAGTAAACTGTAAATCGGGTAAAGCCTGAAATTTGCTAGTCTTTTGGGTTACCAGGCTTTGGGTTAGATTTGGGTTTGCATTTGAAATGAAACACAAAAAAAGGTTTGAATTGTCTTGCAATTCAAAATTTTGTCAGTTAATTGTTACTGTTATAAATATAATTATAATGTGAATGGGATAATTGGATGGACCAAAAAAGAAGTCAAATAAAAGGCTAAATTCAAGTTTAAAATGTTGATCAAGTGAAAGTCAAATGTTATTAGAGGTAAAGTTAATTGTAAAGAGGTAAAATAATCAAGTGAAAGTCCACTTAATCAAACACTGATGATTTATCACTTGATCATCATCAAGTTAAACAGTAACGTCTAACTTTAATCATCTGGATTGATGTTAAAATTTGAACCACAGTTAACTATTATTTTACCTCATTTTGTTACAATCTAATACATTGATTGGATGTAATCAACGTTTAGTGTGTTCAGATTGTTAATTGAGTAACACTTGAATCAACAATCATTTCCTCTATCATTACTAAATCATGAGAAATCAAAGAATCAAACCATTTTTAATAAAACACTTTTCCTTCTGAAAAAAAACAGTCAAAGCTTGATCAATGTAATATTACAGCGTAAGACTGACATGACTGAAGCTCAACTCGTGTTTACTTGATAATAATCATGTAAATCACCTTAATAACAATCATCATCCCGATGATAATAGATTCACATGTCTATAATAATATAATCATGTAATATAATAACAACAATCAAGAGTGAAGAGAAGATTGAAAAGTTGAAGTAACAAAAATTGTAAAACAAAAAATGAATCCACACTTCAGTCAGCATTACAAGTTTACCAAGAAACAGAATCAAATATTTGTTAACTTTTCTCGATTCCATTGACTATCTTTAAGCAATTAGTTTAACTTGATTAGTTTAGTTTAATTATTTACTCACCTACAACCCATATCATTGTAATAGCCTTTAGAAAAGATGATTCCGTTGAATGGCGAATCAAATGTAACATTGACTTCCATTCCGTCTGAATCACATTGGACTTTGAGGTCTTTAATTTGTGGAGCCAATGAAGCAACATAACTCAGATTGATAACCTTAATTGTAAGAGAAACAACAAAATCAATTAGTTTGTCTATTGGGTGAGAATTGGGTTGAAATGACAAAAAACCACTTACTTGGGTTAAAATGAAAATAGAGAGCAAATGGTTGACCATAGATTGATATTTTAATCTAGAAGCCATTTTGAGTCTAATTGTAAATATTGATGTTGTTTGTAGGATTGTTGACAAATTAGTTGATTGCCATCAATGAAAATGAGGAAATAAAACGAAATTGATTTACATAAATTGTTTAGTCCATTGGGTGACTTTACAATCACAGTTAACACACAGAGTTGAGGTTGACTTGGGTTTTGCCCTGTTTTTTTTGCTTCTTTTTATCACAATTTAATACTAATTGCTGCGTCCATCAAATGAACGTATCAGACTAACGATAGTAAATCAGTGAAAAAAAGTCGAAACTTCAGGTCATTGAAAGTGAGAGTTTTCTTGATTTATCTTCCTCTTTACAGTCCACTCTCACTTTGCTCCTCATCAGTTTTCAGCTTTACTTTAAAAGATTATTGGAACCGGTTCGGACATTAGGACGAACCTGTTTTTGTTTAGCGAACGTTAGTTTCGCTTTTTACTTTCACTTGGCTCTTTCTTTTTTGTTTGTTCATATTATTATCATTATTATTAACGTTATTTAATTCACCTTCTTTTGTATTATATTATTATTAAGATTGTAATAGTATAAGACAAAAGGGAAATGAGGATGAAGATGAAGGCAGACGGTGTTGATGGTGAACATGTGAAACAAATGAGTTGAAAGATGCTGTGAGCTGATGGATAATGTCACATAAAAAATGCAACAAAAAATTCATTTGTTGGGATATTGGTTTAAACTTTTGCTCTTTTTTTCGGCTAAAACTTTCCAGGTATCAATTTGGTGGGATGGCTTGCTTTTTCCCCATTTCATTCCATTATTCAGCTTTAAAGATGAACTGCATTTACATTATATTCAAAATGAAGGGTTGACTCTTCTTTTTGTGTGTGAATGAAACAAAAAAAGCGTCTCTTTATCTGCCGTTTGCCCATTATAGCTTGATTGTCTTTCAGGAGGCATCTAAATGGTGTCATAATTGGCTTTAAATTGTGCAAATAAATAGAGATAATAACGCCTATTTAACAATTGGTATAAATAAGATATTAATATTAGTTGGGCGCTGGACTACAGTTGAACTCAGGATTCCAATCCAAGTATACGATTCAATATCTTGAGCTGAAAAGCTGGAAGCCAAATACAAATTAACAGCGATAAACGGGCTCATAGTTATAGTGGTCACTACCATACAGTGATTATGATTATGGTGGGATTGAAAGTGGTCGATATATTACTCCTTAGGTATTGATGCATGCACTAGAAAATAAAAACAAAACGTTAATTTCAAGTTGAATTATATTTCAATAATTCTCACCAAGGATTGAATTTAGCAATGTACTTTCCTTGGGAACCGGCTTGATCTCAATGTCATCTGGATTTCTGATAAAGAAATGGAAAATAAAGGGTTAATATTGCAAAAATTTTAATGTGAATTGATATTTAAGCTTTCAAGATCAACAGTAAACACTCATCAAGATTAAATGTATTTTATGAAAATTGAAAATTTAATGTTAGTTAGCTCCATCTTTTGTCAAGTTAGTTAAGAAAATTGAAAAATATCTTGAAAAAGTTATCAACAAATAGCACCACCTATTAGTTGATTAAGTAACTACCGAATAACAATTAACTGATTACATTGCTGGAATAATTTGCTTGTATATTTTATGGCGTGTTTTTAGTTTATTTTTTTAATGTTGTCTTTTATTTCTTGAATTCAAAATGAGTATGAAATTCAATTAAGAAATAACAAATTGTTTAACGAAAAATACAAAACTTTGAAGCTGGAAAGAATCAGATTGAAAAGTAAATACAGATTTGGTTTACCATCGAATCTCGTAACCTTTATTTCCTCAAGAGATATTTGTAAGGGTTTAGGTTAATTTGGTTAATTTAGGTTAATCTTTCTACGGTAATATTTAAAAGGCCAAAAATACTAAGCTACTTTTGGTGTTAATACGTTTAATCTTGACCTAAGTGATACTTAACCAAATTGACACAAATTGGCAAAAACGGGTAAAAACAAATTTCTTTCAAATTCTTATGAAGACATAAAAAGTTAGTTTAGTTAAAGTTAGTTTATGAAGAGATAAAAAACTGAGTCTTTTTGCGCGATTCGAACATTTCTCTGATGAAAATTTCCGAGGGAATCGAGGTCGAAGTAGAAACTTCGATCGCTTTTTGAACAACCGTGCGAACAAATTTTTTATTGAAACTCATTTTGACGATTTAGCTGTTGATGGCCAACCAAAAAATGGTCTTATTTGGAGAAATAACATTTCCTTTTTCTGGAAAACAGATCAAGTTCACTTTTTACTTAAACCGATCACGTTCTGCGATCTCAAAAGTTAGCGAGCTTAAACTTACTATTTGTGTGTAACAAGTGTTGGTTCACATCATAGATTGAATAATTTTTTCAAGATGCCAACAGTTCTTTTGATTTTGGACATTAACCCAAAAACTTTGAGCCTCGATATTTCGAGAATAGCATTGTCTGCAATCATCATTTCTTCACCAATTTAATTCTTTACTAATCGCTAATACGATAAAATGCAACAACTTTCAATTAGTGGACTTTGGGCTTGATATTTGGATTGTATATGTGCGAGAAACAGCTTATTCAAACAACTAAACTCATATTAATGCATATCTTGGTAAATAAAGCAATTTTCTGGTTAAACTTACAAATGAAATAAAACGAGTGATGCCAAAGGCTAGAAAATTTGAGTTATGAGTTGAAACTTTGCAGGGTTTGTAGGCAAATAAAAACTGAGTCCATTGGTACTATTTAATTATGCATTCAATGAACATTTTTCGAGAAAATCGAGGTCGAAGTTGAAACTTCGCTCGCCTTTTGTACGCTTATGAAAGCAGATTTTTTCATGAAACTCATTCTAATGTGGTTAATTTTGATGGCCAACCAGAAAATGGTTTTATTGTGAGAAAAAACATTTTCCTTTTTTCGTTAAGCAACTAAGTTCGATTTTCATTCAAATCGACTTTTTTTGACAACCGTAATAGTTAGAGATCTGAAACCTGGTAATCGTCAATAAAAATGATGTGTTCACATTATGGATTGAATATTTTTTTCAATGCACCAACGGTTCTCTTGATTTGTACCATTTGTCGAAAAACTTTGAACCTCAATATTTCGGGTTTGGGAGCACTTGAGATCAGGGTTCTTTCATCAAACGGCAGATTTCTTTATAGGCTATAACAGCATATCACCAAATACTGAATCAACTCTGAGCTAATTCATTAAT